CTTGTGCATACAAACTTTGAGCTGGGCAAGGTGACCCAGTCCTAGACTCAGATATCTGATGGTGTCAGGATGCTGGCCAGATCTCCTGCTGAACATCCTTGTCATGTCATGTCAATCAAGCTGCTATTACTGCTGTTGGCATCTCTTCATGCATGTAGACATGTCTGAACCATAAAATCTGGCCTTCTAGTCCAAATCATTCAGGCTGCGAGACTCCTCACAAGCTTGGAACTGACTGTGACCACCTGGGACTCCACCAAAGTCTCCTGGATGGCCACACAAGGGCCTCGGTGAACGATTGTGGAAGCCACTATGCACATCGTGCACTCTGAGCTCACCAACACCTCCAGGCCTCTTACCGAAAGATGAGTGCTTAGACCGTCAGATAAGGATGCAGTCCACTTGAGGTTTGTGCCCAACGCCAGGAGAGTGTGCCTCAGGATGGCACCCGCCAAGCATGTCACCGGGACCACTAAATCCCGGCCGAATGCCGCTGACACGGCTGCTAGGAAGGATATTGAGCAAGGCTAGATCAGAAGTGGAGAGCTGCGTGCACGTACTTGAATGGCTTGTGAGCCTCTAAGCCCTCAGACTGATGTTTGACAAGAATGCCAGTGGCATCCTTGTGAATAGCAATAGCCTTGGTGCTGATAGAAGAAGGCCAGTAAATTGATGTATTAACCAGAGAGAGCTGGATCTTCAGGTTGTCAAGAGTGGAGGTTAGTGATTTGACTGGCTCAGCTTCAAGCCAGCAAGCTGTTATTGCAGAGCAATGATCAACAGCTGTGCAAGCACCAACTGGCTCACATGGGAGCACGTAGCATAAGGGGTCTAACAAACAAAGGCAGAACGCTATAAGCTAGTGCAGTGTAAGCATAGGACATAATGCAATGGCAATAAAGGAAGCTTACTCTAGGCGCAAAGGCAAAAGAGCACACAGAGTGGAAATCAGGGATGAGTTCTTATAAGCTACTGGAGATGAAACAAATGATGTCCGCATCAGAAAAGTGAAACTGCTAGCATAGATAAGTCCATGCGCTGTGCATGTTACATAGATGAGACAGTTTGAAACAAGTCTGATTGTCCGAGACACTTATCTGTTCAACACTAGTGGACCAAGCCAAGCCTGCACAAGCTGGGCCAAGTTGAGCCAAAGTGTGCCAGCTTGGAAAGGCTTTTGGCTCAGCTCGGACATCAAGTCAGCCAAGCCAAGCCAGCAAGCTGCAGCTTTAGATAATAAACTTACTGTATTTAGTACTGCTGTTAGAGTAATTAGTGATAAATTCCTAAAATATTATATTGCGCCCTCCTCTATCCCATCTATCTTCTAATGTACATAGATCAATAGATTATTGATAAGACTGAGCCTCACCATGAAGAAACATAGTGGGGGCACTAGCATCTGCCCTGCTTAACCAGCTGCTGTGTAACATTGCGGGCCCCTGTCCAAACAGCTTTGCAAGGTTCTGCCACACATGGAAGGAGAGGCTTATTCAGGCAGATTGCACCTGCCTGCAAGGGCAGCACCTTTCAATTCAAGACAGCAGAGCGAGTGCTAGAGGTTCCTAGCTGCCCGACATCTGATATCTGTATGGCCACTGCATCGAGACACTGTGTGACATGCACGCCGGCAAATGAGCCCTCATATAGGCATAAGATAATTTATCTGGGTGCAACCACCTGAGGACACGCAGGGAACATCATGCTGCACCTCCTGCGGCTCACCAGCACCTCTGGCACCTCTAACTGTGACAGGTGTCTGCCGCGTCATGTCAGCCTCTGCTGTTTGCCACTTGCGCATGCACCGTCTCCAGTGTCCATGCATTTTATTTGGCAGTGTGTCCTTTCTTTTGTATGAAGTTCAAGTTTCTAAACAACTTTATTGATGTTTCACATCTGAATTATATCTCAGAGTATGTATTTAGACATCATACTATACAAAGAAACTCTTCATGTGCTGTACATACTTCTATGTCTACATGTGGCAGCTATGAAACCATTGACAAGGTTAGTCCACAGCACCTGCCTAATTAGGTTTCAAGCCGCAGCCCAAGCCAAAGCTGAGCCACTGGCTTATGGCTTGTGGCCTGGCTTGGGTTTTTACAAGCCTAAGCCTGGCAAAGCCAAGCCAGAGCTACCAGCTTCTGGGCCAAGCTGAGCCAGTCAAATCACTGGTGGGAGTCGCAGCAGCAACAATGTTGAGGGCAATACAGACCCACGATCACTTGAAATTGCTGTGGAGATTAAGATTTCAAGGTCCTAAGTGATGCATGGAGCAGAGAAAGAGGCTGTGAGGGCAGCAGTAGTTATGACACAAGCAGATCAAAGTCAGACTATATCATGAATGGTGAATAAGCCAGATGATGAATAACAATAACCAGCACCTGGGTGTAAGAGGGTGGAGTCAATGAATCAATGAGCTGGGAAGTTGAGGACCAGCCAACCTAAGTCAACCTGTATTATACTCACAGCACACAAAGAGCACTGATTTTTCCTGCCCATGCTGGAAAAAGTCAGCGTTTCCACATAAGACCTGATCATGATTAGGTATGGTAGAAATGTGCATGGAGTTGTATTTATGACTGGACAGAACACCAAGTCCACCTCTTGAACACATCAGATTCAAGCAAAATGTCAACTGATGCAGCCGTGTCAATGACAGCTAATTTGAGCGTATACAACAGCCTGAGTCTGCCTAGCAAATAATTAAGATAAAGACAAGCCCAGCGTAAACCTCAGCAGTAGTAAGAACTTAGCCACCAGCCAGGAGACTGCTTACAATTGATATCACAATCAAAAGAGCTGCTATCTTTCAGTCAACATGAGCCAACTTTGCTGTTTCATATGTTGGCAAGCAAGAAGTTGTGAATCTGCTACTACTAAACTTGTCACAAGTAAGTTCCGGACTGTCCTCATGAGTGAATGCCTCTTCGCAGGCAAACACCATAACCTCTAAGGCCTAAGTTGCAAAAAATGGATCTCATAGTTGTAACATGAATTTTCAGATGTACTGAGCAGCAACACAAGCTTTGACAATGGCTGTCTAAAGAAGCGAGCTGAGCCCGGCATGGTAGGCGCCCTCTAAATAGAATGGATACCATCATGTGGCTGTGGGAAGTGCAAGATCTGAGAGGTTTCACTTGTACATATCAAGTTTGAGGCCAAGAATAGATTGAGAAGGATTTCAGCAGATATAAGCAGTGTAGCTATGGTCTGAACTTTATTTTATTTTATTCAAAGAAGTCATTTGAGGCCAATTAATATATTCCCAGCAGTGCCTAAACCAAGTGCCAGTGGATGGGTGGGACACTGCCTAGTATAGATTGTATGTACATCAGTGCTCTTGCATGGTAAATTACATGCTTTAGGCGTTTGCACAAAAATCATCCCTGCCAATTCAGCCAATTCGGCTGAAAAATGTCTTTTCTACTAGGACCACTTTTTGCCTAATAACTTGATGAAAACAAAATATACAAATATTCTGCCAAATAAGAATTGTAGCCAGAGCTCCTCTAACATTTCTACTGAACAGATCTACTAACAGAGGCACATGCCTGCTGCCATTAAGGCGGTTGCTATTGACTACTGTAAGCACTTAGAAAGCAGACTACTGTTCCGGGAGGAACTACCATGTTAGTAACTGAGAGTTACTAACCTGGTTAGAAACTGGGAGGAAGAAACCATATATTAATAACTCAAAATGTTTATATTGTACTTGGGAATAAACTGTGCAAGGCAGGGCTTGAACATGGCTCTATACATAAATTGTAGAATATAACAAAACATAATAACCAGATCCTTACAGCTGAGACCCTAGCCCTGTGCCCAAGGCTTCACAAAATCTGCCTCTGTCCAGGTGCTTCCACTATGGCTGACGACTGTGCCCACATTCTAATGAGGCAGGAATTTGACAATGTGCTGGTACAGCTGCACGTCTTACTCCTCAGACTGCCTTCAACCATTCTGAAGGGTAAAATGTGCTACAACTTTGAAAGCTACACTCTGGATCGAGAGTGTGTGGAGGATAGGAGCAAAGATGGTTCTCTCAACCATGATCTAAAGATTATATTTGCATCAGAGAGCCAACAGTCAGAAATGATCATATTTAAGAAGCATGGACCTGGCCTGGTTGCAGTTGTCAATGTTCTTCGCAAGCACACTTTGACATATCCAACCAATACGGTACTTCAGAAATGGATCTCAGATCTCATAGCTGCTGCAAGAAGCATGGGCACTGTGAGTGTTGAACAGTTTGCACAGAAACATATCAGACTTAGCTTTGTGAACCAGATGCCATGTGACCTAGCTATGCAGCCTGAGAGTGCTCAACCTCTGCCAAAGAAGAGCATGAAGCACCAGGCGTCAGGCACACCAAGTGTTTATCAGAAGAAGCCACCTGTGACAGCGGAATCAGCTATGCATCTGTACAAGGATGTAGGGCTGCGGGCACAGAAGGGGCCTGGTGGGACCCCGGCTCTCACCATTCTAGATGACTTCACAGTTTTCACTGTGGTCAAGCAAACCAAGGAAACCATGTACCGATGTGCATTTGCACATATAGGGTGTCACTGGACATGTGCCAGGAACTGCTCACAGCCATGGATTCTCAAACATGCAGCAGAGGAGTGTAGCTTCATTTCTGCTGATATGTGTCAGAAAGCAAGTGCAGTCCAGAGTGCAAACACACTCGGCAAGCAGCTGATGGATCAGGACATTCTGGACTCTCACAGCTTCTCTTTACCCTTGCCCTCGAGTGCCGCTATATTGAATGCCATGCCTTCACTTCCTGCCATGTCATTTGGGAGCAACAAGAACCATGTTATTACACCAATATCTTCTGCTGTTGTTCAGGTCACGAAGAGGTTTGAACCTGCGCCATCTAATCAGCCTTCCATACATGAACATAGCCGGAAAGCACGCCAAGACCAACTCAAGCCCTTACTTGACTATCTCATCATGTGCTTCTTGTTGTTTCTGAGATCGCAATCAGTAAGCTGGACATGAAGGAGTGGTCAGACATCTGGGACAAAGCAACACCTGGCCTGTGCATGCCTCCGAATGCTACCATGATGGACGATGTTCTGATCCCTCATGAAGCTGCCTTCATCAAAGAGAAAGCAATCAGCTACCTACGCACCTTACAGGATCTCACGGTCACCTTCTACAGCAACACAACACGTGCACAGGAGTCAGTCTACATGGTGCACATTACAATGCCCAAGCATCAGGTATTCCTGCTGGAGAGAGTCAAAGCCTCTGGTTTGTCACATATAGCAGAGCATACTTTCAATGAAGTACTGGGGAAGGTGAGCCTTGCATACTGTCTATCTTCTGTTCCCTGAGCCCGCACTAACCTAAGTGTGACAACAGGTCATTATTTCCATTGGTCCAGAGTGTTTTTGTGGCATCTCGTCCGATAGCACAGGAAACACAGCGAGGGCCCGTACACTGGTGCTAAAGCAATGGAACTGGATGATTGAGCTTTCGGACACTTGCCACCAACTCAACCCACTTGCAAAGGACATTTTTAAGATCATTTATTTTAACAAGGTGAGTACACATACACAGTCAGAACAGATATACCAAGTACTTACAATGGTATAGACAATCAAAGACATGAGTGGCATCATCAAGCACTACAAGAAGTCATCTTTCACTGCAAGCAAGATTAAACAGCTTGTGAAGGAAACCCAGACTGGCCAGTCCTTCAAGTCGATTGGCAAGACACAGTTTGTCACCTATCACTTTGCAGGAGAGGTGCTGTGACAGAGTCTCGGTCATGTTGAGAAGCTTGGTAAAGAATGTACCATGGTAGTAAAGATGCAGCTCTTACCTCTCTTTTTCTGCATGAGTGCTGACTGCTGCGAATTACCTCATTTAGAAGCTGGGCCACCTTTTTGTCAATGACGCATCAAGTAGCATCTTCCAGCTGTGGCTTAACCGCCTATTACTTGTCCTCACACTAATTGGTGACGTGGACTTGCATCAACACACCACTCGGGACACTACGCGGATCTAACGAGGAGGCGGTGCCGACGACGGTCTGGCAACGATTGCGTTAGTTTGTACAACTAGCCCAATAACCAAGTGTATTAGTGACTATACTAAGATACAAACGAAGGCTTACCTAGCCCAATAACCAAGAGGTTGAGATGGGGGCTAGGTAGTGACAAAGGGGCTCCTTATATACTAGTTAGGCTGCGCACGGACCAGGCGTTTATATAAGTAACTGGGCTACAGCAGCTGCTAGTGTCCAGGGCACTTTGGGCGAGAAACGGGGGCCAGTGTGTTATAGTGTATGATGTTGTCAGGTCAACGGGGATCTGATGTCTGTTGGAGATCAGAGTGCGGCTGTTACCGAGAAAGCGTGATGCGGCGACGAGGCGGTGGCGATACAGGCGCGTCTGATGTGCTGATGCGTGTCCGTTGGTGATGCGTTCTCAAGTTGTTGGCGCGCGGCTAGGAATTGTAAACTGGCGCCAATGCGCCGACGACGCTTGGAGGGCCGTACAAACATAGGAAAAATCATAGAAAATCAGGGAAAATGGGAAAATAATAGGAGGCTGGGGCTACGCCCACGACAATTGGCAAGTCTGTTACATGTCTCAAGTCCATGCATTCAACAATTTCAGATGTTATCATCTTCTGGCTTGCTATTATGCATGAGCTGCATGATATTGTCATCAGTATGTCTAATGGCCTCAATGATGATGTTAAGGAGCACATCAGGCTTGCCGCGAACAAGTGGTGGAAGCAAATGTTTGCAGAGAATGACATCTACCTTACTGGCCTCGTCATCGACTCACACTACCGTGGTATCGACCTGGGGATCAAAGATCTTAACCTGCTGGTTGTAGGAAAGATCAAGATTGGAGGAAGCAGCGAGTTGGCAAAGTCAACCCTGCCAGAGCTGGTGCATACAGCAGCCAACTACCTACTGAACATAATGCAGAAGGAATATGCTTGGAGGCAGAAGATTGCTGGTCCTGAAGCATGCAAAGCCATTGGCCAGCTCAAGGAACAAGTCCCACAGTTTGTGAAGGGGGCTTATTCCTTCAATCAGAAGGTACTGCTCAAGGATGGCTCTCAGCAATGGTGGGATCAGCTCAATGCTGATAAGACGTTGCTGAATGACACACAGCCACTCGCAGTAAGTTCCTATCTCCACCCTCATGATTATTCCCCTTTTAACCAGGTGATTATATTCTAGCAACTGAAGAGCACTCTTTTCTTGATGGTCCCTAACTCTATGGCCAATGAACGAACAGGATCAACATTCACATGGCTCAATGGTCACTTGCGAAACTGTTTGAAGGTTCCCACATTGGTGTGCATGATGCAGGTGCGCCAGTGGATTCAGTATGAGCCTGCAGTGAGCCTACATCTAGCACTACTGGGTACAATGAATGACACATATTACAACCAGGGTTCTCTGCCAGTTTCTCACCCAACAGTCAAGTTTCAAGGCATGAAAACATTGCTCACAGCACCACAAACTAGCCAGAAGCGGAAGAATCCTCCCAGTAATGATGACACAGTGTCCACGGACAGCAGTGAGAGCTCAGATGAAGACAAATCATCTGATGAGGACAGCAAAGATAGTGTTGTGTCAGATAAAGAGGAGCTCGCAGAGGAAGATGACATGACACTGCCTGGTGAGTGGGTCGCCGCGTCGTTTGCAGACCTGAAATTGCCAGCACTTTGCGATATGCTGTCACCAATGTCCTGCATGCCTGCTGCCCCTTGTACTCAGCCTAAGGCTTCACACATGCAGAGGACCCCATCTGCTATTGTAGTAGCTGATTCTGACTGGCAAATGTAGCATATCTCACTGTTTCCTGAGCTGAAACTATGTGTGCAAAAATCAGGCACCTATTAGTTACTAACAGTTAATAACTGGTCACAAACTGCCTGTAAGAAACTCTGGGGTGCTTAGGTTAGCAACTAACTGGTTAGAAACTCGAAAGTAGTTTCTCCCGGAACAGTAAAGCAGACCAGTCTAGCACACTCACAGGTCTGTACACTTCCACTCAGCTAAATTCAGGCATGCTATAGATCTATTACATGGACATCTATGCTATCTTTATGTATATCCAGCTTATATATATATTATGCTGAGTAGAAAGCTTAATATGAATATTTTCCTGCTCGCAGTGCAGGAAACTGGCTCAATCAGGAAGCAGACCACCTGGTATGTGATTAGGTGCTGGACCACTCTCAAGGTGCAGCTGGGCAGCAAACTTGCAAAATTGTGTATAGTTCACAGCTTAGAGCTACTGGGATATGGATAGTCGCAAAATATGATGTTCTGAGCACTTGGGCATGCAACAGAGGCAGAGTGTGGGGCACACATCTAGATTTGTGAAGTGGGAGGAACACCACCATTATGTAAGATACTCACCTTGCAAGTCTGGCCAGTTCCTGTTGCAGAAAGGATGCAAACAACAGCCATAGAGACTGATATCTTCATATATGTGCTTTACAACTGGCCGAGCAGTGCGGAGAGGAGGAGAGAGCCATTCCAGCATCTTAGATGATGAGCACATACCAAGGGACCAAATTCTCGCCACATACTATAATCTCCGTGACATCAACTGCTTCGAAACCACTCCCCTAAGCAAGAAAAACCTTTCTCAGTCCTAATCACATCGCTCCGAGGTACACAGCCGGCTGTCAAAAGTCAATTGTTCACTTGTGTCACGGTGTCTTCTTGAGGGCAGAAATAAGTGGCTATAGAAAGAGAGCATGACTGGCAGTGAGATAAAATCCCTGGAAATACGAAAATGTTAGATAACAGAGGCCTCTGATATAGAAAGACAAGACCTACAGTTTCATGGAGTAAACTTGAGATATACTGTGTAGGTGTACATATCTCCGAGGCATGTATTTTGGGGACCTCTGGGCCACAATCTCAGAACGAATGGATTCTGGACAGGCTGAAAGTCTGCTCCTGACATTCAGAATGGCTAGAATCCATAGGTATACATTGGAATTAGGGACAGACAAGGCATTGGAAGAGTGGGCATAATGGTTGGGCCTGTAGAGAAGATGGACTTGTGCGTGCGGGCACAATTGGGTACTCCAAAATAGGCAATTCGCAGATACAGCAAACAACCTGACCTTGATCTCGCTCATTTTATCTCGGGTGAACTTTAAACTTGGTGCTAGTGTAGATAATGCCCATCTAAGTGCTATTCAATGGCCCGATTCCAGTATGGTACTCATATGTATCTGCTACACACTAAATACCGTGGGGTGGTCCGCTTCCCGGTCCGGTCCGGTACCTGATTTGATACAGTAGCGCCTGCTTACATAATCGATGCCCGTTCCTGGTGACCTTAGCTGAAACACAGGACAATCCGCTGGCTACAATATGAGATATTAGGCTGCAAAGATTGTTCTGCTGCGCACGGCTTTTAGAATCGAGCAGTGACTTCGGCTTGGACTATCGTCGCGCCCAAGATGCTCTCCAAAGCTGTATGTCTTGCGTTGCTGGCGAGCAATGCTCTGTGCCAGCAGCGGGCCCTCAACCAGTGGCCCGTAGTGGCCAATCCGGAAAAACAGGTCATCACTTCTGAACTTTCTGAGTTTGTGGAGAAAATCATGAAGGATGGTAACGTGCCGGGCTTGACTCTGGGTGTTGTGCACTCGAATGGTACTGTCGAGCTTGGTGCGTTCGGGAGAAAGACAGAGGATGGCGATGAGATGACTGTGGACGTAAGTTCCTCGTCTCCTTCCTAACTATTAGGATAACGCAACGGACTAAAGAGGACATCTTAATAGACTCTATACAATATAGCCTCGTGCTCTAAAGCGTTCCTCGCAAGCTCAATGGGCATTCCGATTGACGACTTCGTCCAGGGTAGGAACCAGACTCCGCTTCCGCCTGGCGTTCACAAGCTCGACTGGCATACAAGCTGACTGACCTGTTTCCCGGTGACTGGGAGCTTATGGACAAGTGGGCATCCGAAAAGGCTACGCTTAGGGATGCTCTGTCCCACCAGACCGGGCTGTCAGGGCATGTTTTGCGCCGTGTAAGGTGCAACCCTGTCCATGTTGGCGGCGTAGACTGACATGTATGCGACAGACATGACTTCTCATATCATCCGACTGACAAGCCGGTCGACGTTACACGCAGAACGCGACGTCTAAGGCCCACCTTTGAGCTGCGCCAGCGATATCACTACAACAACCAGGTTTGCCCTTCGCTCGTGAGAATCGTCCATTTCGCGTTAGCTGATGTGTTTGGCTACAGCACTACATAATCGGCGCGCACATCATCTCAACCTATTCGGGCATGCCCTACACAGAAATTGTCAAAGAGCGTATTTGGAAACGCCTCAGCATGACCTCCTCAACATTCAGCCCGAATGAGGCCGCGCTTTCAAGCAAGCTTGCGCAGACTTGGACGGCTAACAGGCGGCGGATCCTATTTTGGTTCTCCGAAGAAGTCGCCGAGCTCAGTGCCGGACCGGCTGGAATTATCACCAACGTGGTGGATATGGTAAACTGAACAACTTTATAAAAATCCTCCTGCGACTGATTAGGGTCTGCAGACAAGGTGGCTCCAGACGCTGCTGAACGCGGATGTGGATTCTGTCACGAATGAGACTATCATTCCCCGTGAGACGTACGATGCCAATACGAGAACTCAGTCGATTGTCTCCACGAGGCTTTGTCCAAGTTGGTTCTCTTACGAAAGCTAGGGATGGGATGGGATACCAAGTCGTATCAAGGCCACAATGTGAGTGCTTTGACCGAGCGACCTCTGATAGTTAGAGTTTTCTTTGCTAACTGCACATCAGCTTTGGATACATGGAGGAGAGATTCTGGGCATACATTCCGAGGTGCTTTTTATGCTAGACAGTGGGCTCGGCATTGTTACTCTGGCGAATGGCGATGGCAAAAACCCACAGGAGCTTGCTACAATGTACCGCATTGTCGAGGACTTCCTTGGTCTAGACAGAAAGGAGTTTGAGAGAATCCTCGTCACAATTGCCGCTAGCAGAGCTCGAAGCGAGGATGGTTCCGCTCAAGTCGCCGACGATGTTAAATACCCGTCCCCTCTGTCTCTCCCGCTGGAGGAGTATGCCAGCAAGTATTACGATCCCGGCTACGGTAATATAACGCTCTGTGCCCCTACTCCGCACCCCTCCGACGAGTGTGCGGACGTGCTCGAGTCTTGGTCGTTCTTCGAGAATACTACCGAAGCCACGCAACAGGTGCTCTACGCGGCGATCTCATCCCTGTGGATCTCGCACCTCCGTCTGGCGCACACGGATGGCGATACATTTGGCGTATCCGGGACTTATCTGTTTACAAATGGGTACGGCAAAGACAAGAGCCCCTTCACGGCCGAAGAGACGGGCGAACCAGCCGCATCTGCAGAGTTTTGGATCATACATGCGGAAGGAAGCTCGCTGGTCCGGGATGTGGCTTTGAATGGATTCGCTGGGGAGATGACGGAGCGGCAGAGGATCAGAGGCACGGTTGAGGAGACGGCCGAGATTTGGCTCACCAAGGTGTAGTTCACGCGGGCTGGACTTGAAGTTTCAAGCTGACACGACAAATCTCGGCAAAAGATAGCGAATAGATGCGCTAACAACACTTGTGCTGCCAGTGGAGAATCGCAGGCTCCCCCCTGCAGCACTAAGCGCTGAAGCAGTGAGCTGAGCGTACGCTTTCTTGTCCTCAGATCCCAATGCTCCGTTATGATTTTCGACAACAAGCAGGTAAGTTCTGGATGTGACTGGCCGTATGACAACGCTAGTGGGGTGTTTCAAAGATGCGCCGGTTACATCGGTAAGTTAAGGCGGTTGGCAACGAAGTACGTACTTGAGCTCTTTTGTCGGAAGGCTGTGCGCAAACTTCTGTACTTCTGCGAGGTGCAATCGCGTTTCCTGACTCATGCCGTTCAGAAGGCGGCATTTCAATGTCACATGTACACATCGTATGGGTATGTGCTCACTCAAGCAGGCTCAAGCATTGTCGAACAGGATGCTTACATCTTCTCGATTGGCTCATGTATCTTCTCGGCGCCGATGGCACATACCGCCCAGCGACGCCCAACCTGCACCATCCACCCTGTCCATGACAATCATGCCTACGCTGACGGGAACTGGCGCCATTTTACGTACATTCCCGCCCCGCTAATGGCGATAATGTGTTTTGATCGTGGATCGCGATGAGTCCATGTGAACTCATTGCTAGTATCGACACGGACGAAACTTCCTTTGACTGCCTTTTCCAGGCCTATAGCGACAACTATTACGCGCCATTCGTCGGTGACCTCAACTCTCCACCACTCATGACTATGTCATTCAGTGCATTGACAGCCAAGCTACGAACTTAAGCAGACATTGGAAGCGGGTGAAAAGGCGCTCACAGTACTTCGGCGCCGCTTTTCAGCTGCAATGATTATCTGCACAATCCAGCATGTCGCACAGCCCGCCCAAAGACATCTCTGCGAACCTGTGTAAAGCCGATATTGCTCGGAAGGGCGCGCTTGCGAATGAAGTGGGCGATATGTTGGATCTTGGCGAATGCCTGCCGTAATGGTCCTCACGGCTTCTCCGCAGTTTCCTGCAATGCTATAAATTAGAGTCGTCGGTGGGTAGCAACGCTTCATCTCGCACCCCATCCTCATCATGAGCTCCAACTCCAAAGATTGGCAGAAACTGTGCGCCGAGCGCAAGGAGAGACGGCTCCAATCCATTCCAAAGGACTGGCTCATTCATGCTCCGCCAGAGAGCCAACGGAACGTCCTGAACGTACCGGAGACTTGTGGCCTACTGACGGGCCACGAGCTGGACATAACTAGTACGACTGACGTCGACACTTTACTGGGAAAGCTCGCGCTTGGCCAATGGTCGTCTGTGGAGGTCACGACCGCCTTCTACAAACGTGCGATCGTCGCGCAGCAGCTGGTGAGCCTAGATTTTTCCTTCGATCTAGAAGCAGAATAATCTCAGCTGGAATGTACCAGACAAACTGCCTGACCGAAATCTTCGTTGAGAAAGCGCTTGCACGGGCCAAGGAGGTCGATGAATATTTCCAGCAGACCGGAAAGACCATCGGTCCCCTGCATGGCCTCCCTATCTCGCTAAAAGATCAATTCTGTATCAAGGGAATGGATACAGTTATGGGTAAGTGTCCTTGGCTTTGCACCAGGTCTGAGAGCTCATTTGCCATGCACATAGGCTACGCCGGCTGGATAGGCAAGCCTGCCGAGAAGGATAGCGTGCTGATCGAGATTCTCTACGACCTCGGCGCGGTCCCTTTCGTGCGAACTAATGTGCCGCAGACGCTGTTGGTACGCCTGCCCAGTGTTGCTCTCTTGTTCTAGGCTGACATGTGCTCCGTAGTGGGGCGAGACCTACAATCACGTCTTCGGGCGGACGACGAACCCGTACGACCGGTACATGACCCCCGGTGGCTCTACTGGTGGCGAGGGAGCCCTGCTCGCCATGCATGGCAGTCCCCTCGGTGTTGGCACTGACATTGGCGGGTACGCTGCTTCGCCCGCTGCTTCTACTCACCGGTACTGACGGACGTCTAGATCTGTGCGCATCCCCGCCGCATTCTGCGGTCTATACAGCCTCCGGCCAAGCTACGGACGTCTGCCTTATCAGGGTTGTGTGAATTCCCAGCTCGGACAAGAGAGTATTTCGTCCGTCCTCGGTCCAATGACAAGCTCGCCCTCCGGCGTGCTGCGCTTCACGAAGGCCATCATCGATGCGAAGCCGTGGAACAGCGACCCACTCGCGGTGCGCAAGCCGTGGAGTAGGGATGAGTATGAGCTCGGGGAGCATGGAAATGGCGTGGGCATGTGCTTTGCCATCATGTGGGATGACGACATCGTTAAGCCGCATCCACCGGTTATCCGCGCGATGGAAATTACCAAGGCCGCGTTGGAAGCTGCTGGGCACAAAGGTAATTATTCTGCATTCTATCGACACATGCATGGGTTGAATGCCGAGTAGTGATCAATTGGGTCCCGCATCGCCATGCAGAGATCTACAAAAACACAGTAAGCTAATCGCTGAATCTCGCGTCAGTTAACTGAGGTGCAACGCAGGCACAAATATTTTTCGCGGATAGCGGACATGATTTCTTCACTGATTGTGAGCTGTCGGGAGAGCCGCTCATTCAGACCATGAGTCCGGCAGAGAACGCACATGAACTTGTCTTGGACGGGCTGCCTCTTTCCCGGACACTTGTCGAAAAGCCAGCCCATCTTTCCGCATATGATGTAAGCTTCCATATCCGTATGAAGCCGTCTCTCACAGTTTTGTGCAGCTCTGGCAGCTCCACAATGAGAAGCGCGAGCTGCGAAAATCATATTTGGACCACTGGGAGGCGACGAAGGCCATCACAGGCACCGGACGCGCCGTGGACGCAATAATTAGCCCGGTGTCGCCACATACCGCCTGTCCTCATGGCTGCCATATGTACGTCCCCTCCATCTGATTCTCTCACAAACCCATGGGGATATGCTAGATCGAGCGGGGCCTTTGGCAGAGAACTCCCTCAGATCGTGCTCATCTTATGACATGTTGAAGCTAACTGCAACCTGCGAATAGTCATGGATTCTACACGGTCCTGTGCAATAACCTCGACCTGACGACGTCCGTGTTTCCGGTCTCATTCGCCGATAAGGATCTCGACAAGAAGCTGCCGCCGCATGAGTTTAGAAACCAGGATGACAAGGCAGTGTACCACCTGTGTAAGATTCTCGTGCTCAATGTGTAGTGCACAAGGCTGACGTAGTGCGTAGACGATTCCGAACTATTCCACGGCCTTCCTGTTGGCCTGCAGCTGATTGGGCGCACTTTGGAGGAGGAAGGTGTTATTGGTATGACTGAGGTGATGGACAAGGCATTGAAAGCCTACAAGGCCGCGTAGGGATCATCTCCAATGTAATCGAGATACAGTATGCCGTGCAATTATCTCAGTAACAAAACATACAAGTGGTTGATTCAGCTGTTGTAGCTAACACCATGTATCATTCTTCTTCCAAGTCAGCGGCCAAGAAAGGGCTATGTGTCAGCCCGTGAGGACGACCGAGCGACCGCGCAGCAAGATTCACACGCCACAAAGTCGCTGGCTGGCGCCTGTACCTTCAACATCAGGGGCAGTAAAGTCAACTCGGTTATCAGAAGGCATGAGATACTCGCAGAAAAAATTACAAATGTAAGGAAATTATTTTCTGCCCCACCATCCCCCAAGCAAACTGCTCAAACCACCTTTCGTCGGCGCAGCCGAAGGCTCCGGCGTCATCGGTCGCTGGATCTCCTCGACTTTCGCTCTGCTTGCCACGCTCTTCGTCTCGGTAGGGCCTGATGGCGCCCTCTGCGGTACCGGAGCAACGATAGCGGGTGCTGGTGCTGCGATCTTCTTGCCCGCGCGCTCCGTCAGCCTGTCCATGTTGAGCTCGGCATAGTTGAGCGCAATGTCAAAGAAGAGAGGCTTCTTGTAGGTAGACCTGTCAACCGTGCCCGAGGCATCGCCGCCGTTGTATGAAAACCAGTCTTTCTTGCATTTCGAGCTCTCGGCGTCGACCTGTTCTTGGAGCTGAGAGATGGAGTTTGACTCGAGTGCGTAGAAGGGAAGTTCGGAGGTCGAGATCGGGTCTTCTGAGGGAGACGGGAGAAGGCTAAGAGCCGATTGCAACTCACGAATATGTATTGTGGCACGTTGCATTAATGCAACAGCTTCGGCATACTTTTTGGATGCTGTGTACGCCTTCGCGAGGTATTGACATCTGTGTGACATGTTAAGTTCAAATAAGAATATAAATATCAGCGTCTCACTTACCTCCGCGCCTTAGAGAAGGATATTCTTGCATCAACCGCAGTGGCCAAGTCGGGGCTGTCGTCGACGATAGAAAGAGCCCGCATTTGGGTCAGGCTCTGAATGATGGTGTCGAGCAGTTTTACGACAGCGGGGAAGAGTCTAGAGTCCACCTGCTGCTTGCTTGCGCTTGCTTTCGAGATCGAAACTTCACCTGAGCGGTGGCTTGACGTCTGCGATTGATGAAGCAGTGTTGAGATGAGGAGAAGATCACGCTGAATGCGGCGCGCGAGGAGCTGGTACACGACGAAGGCGTAAACAAACTGCAAGTCACGGGTACCCGCAGGTGCCGTGCTGCTCCCGCTGCTTAGCTAACCAATGATGAGAATGCAACACAGACGGTGGTCAAGAGTATGCTGCATACCTGTTGAGCTTCCACGAGTTTTCGCGCCACGCCCTCAGCGTCACTCAGAGCGAGAAGGATTGCATCGTATGCAGCGACGTCTTGCTTTGATTTGTGACTCCTGCCAACCTTGCTCTTCTTCTTCCCCGTATCTTCGAGAGGCTCCACAGGCTTCCCCTCGGAAACAGTGTGTAACTTCTCCTCAGCCTCCTGCACTTTCAGAAGCACGTCGACCAACTCGGGGTTTCGAATAGGTACTGCCTCATCCTCCCATAGGAGTGGCTTCAGCTTCTTACGGTCTTCTGCAGCGCCGCCAGCATTCTCTTGCGCCACCTCCACCAACAGCTTATCGTAACCATCTACAAGCTCGTTCTTGTGCGCAGAGGCCGTTTCCGCGACAATGGCATCGACATCGTACGCCTTCGCACTACCGAGCTCATGGGCGCAGTACCTGATTTCTGGACTAATCTCGTCCGCGAAGGTAATGGCCAGGGCTTGATCCCTGCTGGTACTTGCATGCGAGGCGAGCTCGTCAAGGAGTGAGCGGGCGACGCACAGCTGTGCGAGGGCGTTCTCGAAGTTGTAGCGGTAGCGCAGGAACCGGCCGTTAAGGATCAGAGTGTAAACTGTGGCTTGGATGAGATTGGAAGCTGGTAGTCGGCCGGCAGCGTGGAGAGCTTGGCAGTGTGAGAGCAGCTGAGTAGCCCAGTTCACAGCCTTGCGGAAGCGTGAGGTAGCATTCTTCCTAATAGCAGAGGCTTTGTCCTTGGACGCTGGAGCGGCAGCAAGCTGAGACAGTTCTTGCGAGTACGTCCAAGCACGTTCGGCTTCGAAGAGAAGGAGTTGCAGGCTGCATAACTCTTGTTATTTTCCCCATATACTACTCGTAGAAGCGAACCTCACTAGCCGTCTTTGATGCCCTCTAATCTCACAGGCGGGAGCTTCTTGAATTCGCGACCCTTGCCGTGCGTCAACTTCAGGGTAGACCGGAGGCGGTGGGTCCTGTTAGCGCAGTGCTTCCTGTATCTCGCATAATCATTGTAGCGCAGCCCATACGCGTTGCGCTGTTCATTTGCAAGCTGCAACGCTGGATCTCGATGAGCACGAAAGATGTGATGTACGCAAATGAAACGCACCTTGGAAAGTTAGCGTGTCTGCCATTTCGTTCTATTCCTGCGCTTTATTTCGTCTGAAATCACCCTACACCTTGGAAGGCACGTTCAGGATTACGACTTCCACGTCACCAGCGACCTCGAAGGAGATCGAATGTGCGAGATGGTGCGGGTAGTGGTGGAAGAGGGGAGAAGAGTTGTGCGCGCTTGGCCGCGCACGCCTCAAAGCGCGACTTTCACTAGATCCTCCACCATCTCCTTTTCCCCTTCTACATCTTGCCCCCCTGAACGATGTCCGAGACGCTGGAGCCAACCCTTCAGAATGTCCTCGACCAGAAGTCTCTAAAGTGGATCTTCTGCGGTACGTCGTCCCGGCCTGCATCCGGACATTGAGTGTGCTGAGTGGGCAATCCAGGTGGCAAGGGCGGTGTCGGTGCGTAGCGTCACGATATTGTAGGAGTTCGGCGAGTTGATATGACGAGCGCAGGCAAGACAACAACCTCGTGCTCCCTCGCAATCCAGCTGGCGTCCTGTCGCGAGTCGGTCTTGCTCATTGTACGTCCAGCCGTCCATCGGCCCTATGTTACGCTTTGACCCAGTTGCGAACTAGTCGACAGACCCCGCACACAATCTCTCGGATGCATTCGGTCAAAAATTCTCCAAAGATGCGACGAAAGTCAACGGTTTTGACAACCTGTATGCCATGGAAATCGACCCTACGAGTGCGATACAAGAGATGGTCGAACAATGTCAGCCTTGTTTGTAATAGTTGCGAACATCAAGTGCTGACCTTGACCCTCTTCTTAGCGGACCAGAATGGTATGATGGGTAGCATGATGCAGGATCTGGCATTTGCTATTCCTGGTGTCGATGAGGCCATGAGCTTCGCTGAGATCATGAAGTACGTGGTCCTCTTTGCGCTTATGGGGCCTGACTTGACTTAATATTGTGTAGGCATGTCAAGTCCATGGAATACTCCGTCATCGTCTTCGACACCGCCCCAACGGGACATACTCTACGTTTCTTGTCGTTCCCCACTGTCCTTGAGAAGGCCCTAGGCAAGCTTAGCACGCTTAGCGGCCGCATAGGTCCCATGCTCAACCAGATGACTTCGCTCATGGGTGGTCAAGGCGATCAAACAGAGGATATGTTCGCGAAGCTCGAGTCCATGCGCGCAGTGATTACGGAGGTGAACACCCAGTTCAAGGACCCAGAGAAAACGACGTTCGTCTGTGTCTGCATCTCCGAATTCTTGTCGCTCTACGAGACCGAGCGTCTTGTCCAAGAGCTAACAAGCTACGAGATTGACACCCACAACATCGTTGTCAACCAGCTGCTGTTTCCCAAGAAAAGTGCGCCACTCACTTCCGCTCCTACCTCGCGCTGTGACTGACCAAAATATGTAGATTCGAACTGCGAACACTGCGGCGTCCGAAATGCAATGCAGCAGAAGTATCTCAACGAAGCGCACGAGCTTTACGACGAGTTCTTCCACATTGTGCAGCTACCACTCCTCACCGAGGAGGTGCGTGGCCCGCAGAAGCTGAAGGAATTCAGCAAAATGCTAGTCACGCCGTACAAGCCCGAGGAATAAATATCTAGCTAGACGTGCACTATTTGCTTTCAGGGTTGGAGACGATGTATCATATACGCATTAATCGACCGTTGCTTGGATTACATGCTGTCTTGCCGTCGGACAACTATGTGACCATCTTCCAGGTGCGTGACTGAGCGGCATCAGCCTGCCTTCAAGCCTGGGCGGCGAGACGAAGTTATTCTTGCTAGTTGAGGTAAGAGCTTCTTTTATATTATTTCTCTCGTTGCTAATGTATTGCCCCAACATTATTCTGGACAGTGGTCACTCTTCGTTCCTTTATTTGGTGGCGAGCAATAGACTACCCGTCATTGGGATTTGCGAACATAAATATGGTCTTGCTCTGACGTTACCCCAGCGGCGGGCCAGCCTAGTATGAGGCCGACTCACGACCACTCGCTGCAAGTAGTAAGGCCTCAATGAGTCGGCTTATAAGGCTCCTGTACGGCGCGTCGGCCTATAACACGATAATCAGGGCAGAGAACCCCCCCCCCCCCCCCCAACGATCATTACACCTTGACTTCCTCGTGGAAACTCCCTTTTCATTAAAGCTTCCCGGCAAGAGCATGGCAAGGGCGTGATCGAACCTTTTGAAACCTTTCTTCGCTTTCTGCCGCCATCGCCTTCGCTGACGACGCGACCTACTATGCACAGGCTTCAGGGGAAGCTACGGAATAGTGAGACCAGGGATGCCGCCTACGCCGCCATCGGTACCCTGAAGTAGGCTCTCGATACGTTCAATGGTCCCGCCAGCAATCTCCCCGTGTCGGGCTTGTAGGCTGGTGTCAGCGGTCTTTCGGCGGTGTTGGACGTGGTCCAGATGTATGCTCCGTACCGCCTCACGAGTGATGATTCTCATGCCGAGGTCAGAAATCGCATGCGAACGCCGAAGATATCAACAAGCTATCCAAGGAAGTCAACGAGCTGACGACAGTGAGGGAGTACACAGAACTCTATGACCAGAAGTTGTCGCCCCGAACGGACGCGGCTATCCAACAGTTGCTCTTGTAAGTCTGCTGTGGATGATGTTGCTCCAGATTGCTCATACTGTGTATATCGTGGGAGTTGATCAACGACCAGGCCGTGGAGATCAAGTCGAGGTGCAAAGTATCAAGATTGGTGACGAGCAGCGAGGATGCAGGAAAGGTTGCCGGATTCGTGCAAGATTTATCCAGGTCGATTGAGAAATTTACAGTATGAAACATTTGCCCTGGATCATTGGTACCGCTCACTCGAACGTTGCCTTGAACTACAGGCAGTAGGCATCCTCGAAATTCAGCTTGTGTTGAAGGCATGTAAGAGGTGTGCTTCAGCTACTTATATTGACGTTCGCTTGGGACCAACAGGATCAAGCGCGTGTCTCTGAAGGGAGAGGTCAGCGTGTAGAGAGAGAACTAGAAGCCATCAAGAGTAACACTCAAGCAAGGATCTCTTAGCAAGCATTTGGACCACAATCTAACCCCTGATCCTTGCTAGCGCTTGGAGTCCCGTCTGAAAGGTATGTCTAAGACTTTCTCCACCTGTGAGATCTGATGTCGTATTGGGTTATTACCGCTATGTCGCCCTCTCCCGCTCTCTTTCCGTTTTCTTCTAGTAGTCCCGGGGCCCACCCGAAAACGAATATGACTGGACCCCCGACCAACGTCTGGTCACATGTGGCAGGTATGCATTCATATGCATTGCATACACAGCTTCCATCTCGCGAATTATAGCAGCAGATAAGATCGCTCGGACCTCCAGATTCTGCGAGGCTTTGCGAAAGCAGAAATATCAAGGCGCTTATCAAGGGCTTTGTGGCGCGGGGCGTCTATGAAGGTTGGGCATGGACAAAAATCAGCATGTCGTAAACTAGAAACATGCAAAAACTCGTTTTCATTTGAGAGGTGAGCGCCCACGCAACACATTGCCTGAGAGTGCCCAAAAATACACACAGATGCACAGACGTGAACGTACGTGCACGTACATGCACGCGCATGCACGAGCGCGAACTAAAGCGCAACGTCGCCAAACTGGAACTGGGCGGCGGCGTAAATCTCGCACTTGCATCAGCGCTACCGTACGGGCCGAAGTGCATGTAGGTGCACTTTCTTGCGTGTCGGTGTCCCAAAGGGTATCTAGCTGAGTACATATCATGCGGGTTAGCTGTGCGATTGTCAACATTTTGCACCAGCGTGCACAAAGGTGCACTTTGTAATAAGCTTGCGCACTGCCGTCATAGCCTCCCAACGAGTTTGACATGGGCGATAGCGAGTTTGATGGGGATGATAGCGAGTTTGACACGGTCGGTAGTGCACGTACGTGCACTTTTGTGCGCAGCTGTGCATCACCATGTACATTAGCACACCAAAATGTGCTAATGCGCACAGCTGTGAACGCAGTACTATAGTAAGTGAATGCACCCTCACTTGTTGTCAATCACGCGCGGCGAGAACCAGGTTTCCATTGCGAGTTTCGATTTTTGTCCATCAAAGACTGTGATAGGTGTCTGTTAAAGCCAGCTCACAAGCTTCTGCTGTTACTGTGGTACGACCCTTGAGGGTACCGGCATTTAGGTTTGCATCGGAGAGCTAGTAGGTTGAAATTGAAATCCAGAAATAATGCGAGCAACGACAAATTCCCCTAAACAACATCGCAGCCAACGCGATGGCGGGTATGCATCGCCCAGTCGCATCTACTTTCTGTCTCGAGTCTCTCACCTTGGAAAGACAATCACACGCACTCTAGTCTTATTTGAATCCTTATGGATAGCCACTGACACCAAAGAATTGATGTAAAATCCCCGGTAAGCGACTACAATGAGCCACCGCAAGGTCTGACACGCTGGTACCAGAAATCCAGCATGGAGAATCTGCAAGCCGCACTTCCATCCGCCATCCGCCGAAGTCGAAGATATCAGATACCATGTCAACTCTTGCTTCTCCGATCTATATCTTATCGAGTTGCTACCCAAGAAGCTAAACTCTGCGGGGTCGCTTGGTCTGTGGGTATGCAAAAACTTGCAGCAGCTAAGACCTAACCTATGCGTTGGTGGCTGGGACGCGGCGGTATTCGGCACGTACTATAGCGCCCGGTTCGTATTCTCCCTTAGACTTTGGTGCCTCGGTGGACGTGTAGAGCCAATGCGTTCAGACGTAGACGATTGTGTTCCATGCTGAGGAATAGGTGCAGGTGCGTGGGGTAGAGACAGTCAAAATGGACATTTTGAAGTTCACGTAAGAATGAAGCTCATTTCTGTATCTTGCACATGCATATTGCCTTTATTGTGCCAGCCTAAAATTCCGCCTAGTCCGCTCCAACCATTCTTCCTTGAAGCTGCACCTGACCAGCTCGTTACAAGATGTTTAAACACTGGGGAGGTGGCTTTCAGACAGACTTGCAAGAGATCTTGTATTCATATGAACCATAGATTTTTGCGAACGAATCCCTCGTCACTCAACGACAACGATCGAGCCTCCTACTAACATCTTTCTCTATTCTTCGACTTCTCCGAGATCTGACGTGAACCCTTTATCGTGCCCTTTGTTATGATAACCTGTGAGACTGCGCAGAGAAATCGGATTCCGACAATATTACAATCAATGATAAAGTTCAACTGCCAGTCGTCGCGCTAGCTACCAGAATCTCCCTTTCGCCCTCTACTTTTCGCGTCTCCAGTCTCTCGCTTTTATCCCAAATAACGCATATTACAGTGCAGTCACAAGCAGGCATGGTAAGCCTTGGTATCGAAGACAGAGTAGCCCGAGTAAGCCACGATGATAGTTTTTCGCACTGAGTCGCCAGGTTTGACGCGCCGTAGCACCAGGACCCCTGTACTATGGAGACCAGGCATATCGAAACGATGCCCCAAGAGCTGCTCGATGCCATAGTCGACTGCTTGCGCGGGGATAAACAGTCGCTGGCGAGATGCACACTCGTTCTTCCGCAGTGGCTGCCTCGGGCTAGACTGTACCTCTTTGAGGACACTAACGCATCCGACACACGCGCGTTCTTCGGTTTTCTTCAAGTCGCTCCCCAATCCATCAGTACCAGCATCAGACGTCTCACACTGCGCTTCCGCTACAATGAAGAGGTCGACCTTCCTACCCTCGTTAGAGCGGTCAGCAGGTTACCAGCGCTCAATCAGCTGCGGCTAACGCGTTTCTTGCGGACGTCCATCCCCCATCCCGTTTCAGTCGCGGGGTTCGGCTCGACTTCTCTGGTCACCTTGGGGCTAGACAGGGCGACGATAGGCGCAGACGAGCTTTCAAACATATTTGCAATATTCCCAAATCTCCTCGAGCTGTATATTGGGGCGGAATGTTACATTATCGACACATGGGCTCTCGGACCCATGAAAATAAGGGAGGATACGCGACGAGCACTGAACAAAATAAAGTTGAAGAAGCTCGCCATCGGTTCTCTTTTGGTTGATCACGAACCGGTTGTGGGAATTGTGGGCCTCGGACCAATTTCCACAATTACGACGCTCGAGCTTAACTTCCTGCAGTGTCAGCGGTTCCCTACTGCGAAGAGGGTCCTTCGGGAGTGTGGACCTCGACTGGAAAAGCTTGCAATTGATCTCACAAATTTCAATTTCATCTTGAACACGCGTAAGGTCCCATTTCCGAAAGTTGTAATTGATCGCACTCACCTTCTACATGTTCCAAATAGCCGGTGAAGGGAGTCCGTTAAGGTCGCTTGGTCTGTTCGCATGCAGGAAGTTGCAGCAAATAAGGGTCGACCTAGATAGCAGCCATGCGATTACATGGGTACAGGACATTCTCTTCGACCTCCTTCGCCGCAAATCGCTCGTTCCGCTATGCGCCGATCTCGTCGTTGAGGTCAGGGAGATTCCAAATGTTGGCATGTGGGACGACATACTTAGCACGTATAGTGCTCAACGTACAATAATCTTCAGATTGTGGTGTCGCACAGAGCCTCGTTGGGAAGATAGAGGCGATGCGTTCAGACGTGGACGGTTGCTGAGCGTTGAGGAGCAGGAGCGGGTGCGCAGGCTCCTACCCGCGACAGATGGAGCGGGAATTTTGAGGTTCATCTAAGTAGTGACCCTGGTTCAGTTACGTATCGGCTTGTACACATACATATGTCACATAATGTAGCTCGAATCTCCGACGGGTCCGCTCCGAGAGCTCTCACAGCGCAGCAGCGAGCGTCTACGCCACACACTCTGCAAGTGGATCCTTCAGTAATGGCAGGAGTGGAGTCAGCGCACGGAATATGGGCCAAGCGGGCCAAGAAATTTGTGTTCATCTATCCTGGGACACGAGACACCAGCTGAGAGGCGTTCAGGGACTTGCAAGATGCATCTAGGAGTGCATTAATAGGATGCTTCCCCGCTATCCAATCGATGGCACAGCACTGGCTAGCGGAAGAAACTGTGCCCGATGTGTAAGATTCGATGACGATGACTGGGTAGCAGGATGCTTGGCAAGGGTGATCAAGTCGCGCTCCGACTGGGCGGGCAGTGCGTGCCATTCAGAGAAGTGGACTGAGTGTAATGCCTAGAGCTTCTCGAAGTAGTTGGGAGTGCAGGACGCAATACAAGGTCGGGACGTATGCCGCAAGGTAAGCAATCTGGCTAGGAGGTGCTGCAAGGAAGACGAGAGACGCCTAGTACGCAGGCCTCGCCATTAAAGACAGGTTGTTCCCTTGGCCGGATGCTATGAGTGAGAGTAAACGACACAAGCATCGTCCTTTGATAGATATTCGACGCAACCACGATGAAAGTCGCATATTCCTCGAGGACGCAAGGAGGCAGTCGCCTGCAGGTACCCACACCCTGATGCAAGCTGTCAAATAGCTTCTGCCGCATGCTAGACCACTTTCGTCAGCAGGAGAATGTCGACATGACGATAAACTTAGCTCATGGGGGATTTACGAGGGCCGCACGATTAAGGTTCATCCATATTTTGGGCTCGTTGTCGTGTCCGAGTGGTCTAGGACGGGCCCCGCCTCAACTTGGCTGGTAGCTACATTCATCAATTTTCTCCGGTCTGTGCGCACCCGTATCTTCGTTGGCATAGTTCGACACGGACCATGGTGAATGAAGAAGAGTCGGACGCTATGGTGGGAAAAGGAAGCGAAAATGAGTTTCATTTCGCTGGCGCGTGGATGTCTTTGTTCCCGTCACCACCACCTCCCGTCCCTCGCAGCACTAGCCGCACATTTCGTTTACCTTTATATCCGAAAACCTAGCCTTTTGAAGGCTATATTGCCACCACACCTCGCCGTCTCCGTCCAGATATCGATGTTGCGGTCATGACAGTCGCGCCGTCTGCCTCCTTGCACGTCGAAACACCGAAACTCGCAGACATCGGAGCGTCCTCCAGTTATCCACCCACGCCTGTGACACCCTATAGCCACGGCTCTGCGACATCCTCACGCTTGGATCTCCCTGCACCTCCGCTTCACGACGGCAGAAACCCCATAAATTCACTCTCGACCCGGGAGCAACCTCCAGACGCTTCCGCGAAGATCGACCACACAGACTCGCACTCCGACAGGATGCTCCCAGGAGACGGTTCGCGGACTGTTGTGGATCAGGCACTACATGAAGACCAACGGCAAAGGGAGAAGGGCGAGGGAAATGAACGGTTGGCAGGCCTGATAGGGATGCCGGGTATCGTTTGCGCGCCTCCAGAGATCCTGCCCCCAAGCCCACCGCTCACGATTGCGGACGCCCGTGATGAGCTTGAAGCGGGCGGTTCCACGTTCTCGGAGCCAGCTGGAACCTTTGCGCAAGCTCAGTCGTCGAGTGCGCCCCCTGCGACGATGCGCGAGGAAGACATCACCAACTGGCGCGCGTCCATGCACGAGGGTGGTGAAGGTGCCGAGCAAGGGCCACACGATGGCGAGGGGCACGGTCCAGAGGATGAGGACGTTGAAAGCGAGGCGAATGGCGAGTACGATCCGTACGATCTGGGTTACTCTCCTGAGTCCCCAGTGGGCCCGTCGCACGCAAGGATGCCTACGATGCCGACGGACTCGAGTTCCCAACAGAGAAGAGTTACCATGGATCACCCCCTACGATTGGACATCCATGCTCCGTCACCTCCTCCGTGGGAAGTCATCCAACCTCCAGAATCCATCGAGAACGTCCTCGCTGAGACAAGGATGTACCCTCCAAGCGTCGCGAACAACGGGCGGAGGCCTGTGTGAGTTCCGTCCGTCTCGCTCTTCTACATTCTGTTCAAATGTTCTCAATGCAGGCCATCTCGGCCGCTGGTACCTCATTCCGCATATTACTTTGGTCCACCTCCAATAGACTCCGCCTACGGTACTGACCCAGTGGGGCATATCGGAGTTCACCATCCTCGCGAGATTATCAGGATAGAACGGGACTTCGCGAGTGGAGAGCTCGCACAGTTTGCGGCAACATATCCACTGGAACTCGAAGGCCGGGTGAGTGCCACACGAATGTCTGGTTGCTACCGCCCAGTCTCACGCTAAATCTCCGGCAGATAACCCCAACGCAGTTTTTGGAAACCATAAATACAATCAACGAACATCTCATAGAAGCACACAGTCTTCGATATTCATTCATTGACAGCGCGCTCGCCATCTTTACTCTGCAGCTATCGAGGCTAGTTCTCAGCTCGCATTACGAGAAGGTGCGTACGCGCGCGGTTGATATCCTAGCCGCGCTAACTCCCTCATTGCATGCAGGAGATGCAAAAGCTTCAGCAAGCAATAGGCGAGCTGAATGCCAAAGTGTATAACCCTGTGGGCCTAAACATACTCTGGCCGAGGAAGATGGCGTTTATGTTCGTAAGTACTCGATGTTCTCCTTTGATTTCAGAATACTGCTGACTTTTTCTGCCGCATAGCTTGAGATTGAATACTACGTGAGTACCTGACAAAATGCTGTCGCGGATCTATTACTGACGTACTGGTAATAGTAATTTGTGATATATTCCTACACTCTACGTTCATACCTTACACTTCGATACCTTTGTGAACTTGTGTCGCATATGTTCATGCACTTCGTCGCGCGATTTCATCCTCTCATGTTGCCCCACGCCGTCACACTCATTACTTGCTCTACTCTCACATCGCATTACCCAAGCTCGACACAAACAGTTATTTTATTGGGTCCATTAGCTCCTTATTCATTTTCCGCATTGTTTATGAGATGTCCTCTACTGTAGTTCTATAGTATCTAGTGCATAAAATACACCGTGCGATGGCCTGGATTGCCTACTCGCACTCTTCCAGTCTCGTTTTCCGACAGCGGCGACTCATGTGGTGTACCTGAGGACCCCGGCATCTAGAGGTCGCTACACGGATCCGGATTGTTTCAGTAAGGTCGTGAATGCCTCCTGTGTCGTGGCGGGATGTTCATGCCTCGGAGCGCCGGCACAGTGCTCCGTGATCCATGGGGAGGGAAGTTTCACCTCGGATTCCGGCTTCAAGCTATCAACCAGGCTCGCTCCAGCTGCGGTGTGGACGACAGGAGGCGTCCTAAAGGGGAGCGTGACAAGGGCGACGGCCTGATATCCAGGCGGAGATCCAGCCCGCCGCGGAAGCATTCCCCGTCAGTCTGGCGAAGGTTCACAGCGTGCTGCGACAACACAGACACGCCTACGTCATAGTACGGCGGCGACCAATGCTCGTCTGCGCAGAGAATGCAGATATCTCGCGGCTCGAGCTCGTCCGACAGGCGGAAGACACAGGCAGATCTGATGAGGTGCCTGCAGGCTGCGGGTCCAGACGAGGGTCGACGGGGCAGATTGGGCAAGTACGGTCCGGCACACGCAGTCCTGGGAGAGAGCATGGCGTTGCATGTCCCGAAACGTAGCCAGGTGCGGTGATTAGAGGGCGCAGGGGACAGACTAGGGCACAGAGAACATGCATCTGACACGAGCTTCTGCTTCAAAACGGGGACATGTTCGCCTGAATGCCCGTTATGATGCGAATGTCGCGCCCAGATAGTACCAAGATATGGAGACGGGCGAGGGAAGGGGTCCCAGGCATGCCGTATGGGGAAGAGGTGGCGATGTAGTCGTGTATTTCGATACACCGTCGGACCAGGGTATCGCGCTGCGATATCCATCGCCATGCGTGTATCGTCCTGTAGAACAACTATGACGTTGTATGAAGCAGGCCTGGAACGCTTGGTGCTCTAGGGGATGGTTGTTCGCCTTTTGATGCATGCAGCTGTGGCGTATACGCTCCGACCGTCGCAGGAGTAAAGATAATTCGTTGATAGCTTGCTGATGCACTTGCACAATGATACTCCATTCCCAGAGTCTACATGCGGCGAGTGTCCCCGCGAGGCCCCTTCAGCTCACCTTGTTGGTTTTAGGACGCCTAGTCCAGACGTTGAGCGCCAACAATGTCCAAAGCGCTCGTGACGGTGGCAATGTTGGTTGGAGGCACAGGAAGAGAAAAGCTTAACGGAGCCCGAGGCGCACCACGACGTCATTCCGAACAACCTAGGATATTGGAGCCACGCGAGTCCAGAATCGGAAGCAATCCGTCGTCGAAGCAAACAAGTTGACCAAGATACAATGAAACTTCGAGGGCACGCACTAGTATGCTACCTCCGATCTGCTATGGGTGACTCCGAGAGCAGACAGAATAGAAGCTTGCCCACCATGACGTACATGAGCTTTTTGTGTCCCAGTAACCATTTCCGAGCCAAGGATGTCGATGAACACCGCCGCCGTTTCCGACGTATCAATCTTGGGGGTTAGGTCGGCTGGCGTACACCGCAAATGAGATGACGTCTCGCCGGAGCTCCGTCGAGCACTGCATTTCCCCCGTCTTCACATGACGAATGGGTCAGATCGCTGTGCTCGTGCGATGCAGCTCATTTGCGGACTTGAACGTGAGATAGAAGGTGTTCCGCAGAGATCGCCACGTTGAGAAGGGTATGAGGCATAGAGAAAGTGGGGGGGCACTCTATGGCTAGTGATAATCGACAAGTATTACACAATGAACCTGTGCAAGTAAAGCACAAGATGAGACATAGTCTATGTGATGATAGTAAGAGATGCGCGCTTACTAAGGCCAAGTCATCTTCCAGATCGTTTCGTCCAAGCGAATAACCAGTGATCTACATGGCGAGTGAAGCGTACAGCGCAAGGCAGCTAATCTTGCGACTATCTCACGAAGGGTAACGCACCGACGGCGGACCGACGGCCTGGACCGTCTCCGCACTACGTAAGTGTGGTGGTGGCCCCCACAGCATCCGCGTCGATGCTCCCCAGATTCGCGCAATACTTCGACATATACACTGTCGAAGGTCATGAGACCGCGATTTTGGATGATTTTGATCAATTCTCGCGGAACGAATAGTTCAGGGTCGACGCACCTGGGAAGCAAACGTAGCCCGCTTGAAGTCTGGGCCAGAACGCAAATGAGGTATCAGAGAGGACTCGAGTATCGGGCCACTAGTAAAACCTTAGGAGAGAGCGTAGATGAGGATTGGCAGCTCGTGAAACCACAAATTCCGCCTACATTCGACTGAGATTTGCGACCGCCGTTAGCTCTGCTAAGTGGCTGGGTCCTTCGCCATCATATTCCCACGGCCATCGCGCTCGGGGAAACCTCTTGGAAAGGCAATCGCTTCTGGGTGCCCCCGAAGCCCGCTGGCCGCCATTGCGTCCGTGACTCGTAAAAGACGAGCACGACGCCTTGCGGGCGCGCCTGGACGTCATGCACCTGGAGCACTTGACCACCGCCGTCAGCACGCACGGCCCGCCTCTATAATATTTTCCGCTGTCAGACGAAGGGCATAAAATGCGGGGGCGAAAAGGGGAGAAAAGTGTGCTGCTCGCTCACCGCTGCTCCAGACGACGCGATGAAGGTCTCGACGCTTTCTACCGGCGTGGTATTGCTGCCGCTCGTTCTTGCAGCACCCGCTACACAGCCGATTATCCTGAGGAATCTGGCGGTGCCACGATTCTTTGGTGCCGCGGCGAACACGTCGTGGTTGTATCACGATAAGAACTATACAGAAGTTATTTCGACACAGGTTAGTACGGCTTTTAGTTTGTACTCGAGAAAAGTGCTTACCCACATGCATCAGTTCTCCATCTTCACTCCAGAGAACGAGAGTAAGTGGGTGCCTCATCTCAGATAAGCAATCAGCTTACCGATATCATGAAGTGAAGTGGGAGAACATCGAACCCGAGCCAGATAGCTTCGATTTTGGCCCTGCAGATGAGATCGTCCAGTTCGCGGAAAGCGTGGGTGCGAAGATGCGCGGCCACAACTTCATGTGGTATGTTGACTTCATCTGCATCCGAGACATATCCAGGCTGAAGCTGTCGAGCGCAGGGGAAACCAGCTGCCGACATGGGTGAACTCGTCTTTGACGGCAACGGAGCTGGACAAGGCTCTACAGAACCACATTACGACCGTCATGGACCACTACCGAGGCAAGATATATGCCTGGGACGTTATCGTAAGCAGCCGGCGTGCGACCGCCGCTTGCGTCATTGCTCACCATAGCCCCGGATACACAGAACGAGATGATCTCGGACAATACGCCCAACGAGACATTCAAGGACAACATATGGACCCAGAAGTTTGGCGAGGAGGCGATGCCCAAGGCCCTGACATATGCCCGAGCGGTCGACCAGCAGCCGAAGCTCTAGTGAGTAAGCACAGCGCGCCGCACCGTGGCCACGCGCAACTTACCGCGCCGGCAGCATCAACGACTACGGCATCGAGGAGCTCGGCTCCAAGTCGGACACGCTCTACAGCGTCGTGCAGGGCTTCCTCCGCGACGGCGTGCCCGTCGACGCGATCGGCTTCCAGTGCCACTTCACGCTCGGTCAGGTCCCGGGCACGCTCCAGCAGAACCTGCAGCGGTTCGCAGACCTCGGCCTCGACGTCGCGGTCACGGAGCTCGACATCAACCTCGACGGACCGGGCAACGCGACCGCGTTCGCGCAGCAGGCGAAGGACTACTGGACCGTCGTCAACGCGTGCATGCAGACGCAGCGCTGTGTCAGTGTCGTAAGTGTCGTTTTCATGTCCCGGGAACGTGGAGCACGGCTGAGCCGATCTACTGCAGTCGGTCTGGGGCGTCTCGGACGATCATTCATGGATCCCCAATGGCGAGCCCTTGCCATGGGATGCCGAAAAGCAGCCCAAACCAGCGTTTTATGCCATCGCGGATGCTTTCGAGGGAATGCCTGAGCGCTAAGCAAGTCAAATAGAAAGCGTAACGGCCAACGGTGTCGTCACAGTCGTCAAATACACACTTTGAAGGAGCGAGCTTGCGCTATGCGATGTCTTGACTGACTGCTTGCCGTACTACCGGAGCACGTATCTGCTAAGTCCGCTGAGGGTAAGCACGCACCTGCAAGCACGGCCGTACGGAGCGGACGGCACCGCAGCCGTGTGAACAACCGCCTTGCGAAAAGTGTCGTTATTGGCAGGCAGCGCAAATGAACTGGGATTTCCCGAAGTTTAGGAGCAGATCGTAGGAAGGTCAAAAGTGGGATATGACCCGGCTAAACGGTAACGGGAGGCTTGGGACTCAGCGACGTCCTCTCTGCCGGCATCGAGCCAGAGACTCGCTGCGGCATATGATGAACGAGTTCCAAATGAGTATCGAGAGAAGCGCGTTGAGCGTCACTCGCAAGCTCAGGGAAACCCGCAAGCGATCCGAGTGTTGCTTCTTTCCCCACGGAGCGGGAGAGGGAGGACAGAACGGGTGCCCAGAGCGAGAGTGCTGCAAACACGTGCAAGGGGGAAATCAGTGTATAGAGAGGGTATCAAAAATTGCGCCGTGTGCAGAGCGCGGTACACGAGCGAGCCATACGAAAATCGACAAGGCTAGAACTAAGAAGGGTCCGAATGCATAGCAAATCGATAGAAAGGTGGTCGGGAATCGTGGAATGATGAGCGCGTGGTGCCGGACGCCGGCTTTTTTGCGCGCTGTCCGGAAGTCAGCTTGGCTGTGTCCGGTGTATTGTAGGCCCTCAAGCGATGAAGATAATTGCAGGGACGAAGGGCTGATCAGACGAGAAGGCGACCGGTTGTGTCAAGTGACCTGTCCTGTTGATAAAATACAGTGTCGCGTCCACAGAGACGGGACGCGCAGCGTGCCAAGGTGAGATTTGTGATCGCATACGTGGCGAAAAAATCAACTTGTGTGCCCAACGGCGCACGAAACTGCGGTGGGGAGTGCGTGAGCATCAGATTGGTCGGTTTGGGAGCTGGAATTGGCCTCCGAGGAGACCTTGGCCGTTTCTGCTGTGCTAGAGGGTCGGCTAGGGTCAGCAGGTCAGGATCGGACAGCGCAGGGAGGTGCCAATTCATGGTCCAATCCGCGGACCCAATGGCGCGCGAAACCGCGGTGGTAGGCGGTGGTTTGAAAGCTGGAATTAGCCTCCGAGGAGACCTTGGCCGTTTCTGCTGTGCTAGAGGGTGCTAATTCGTGGTCCAATCCGCGGACCCAATGGCGCGCGATACTGCGGCGGTTTGGAAGCTGGAATTAGCCTCCGAGGAGACCTTGGCCGTTTCTGTTGTGCTAGAGGGTAGCACAGAGAGGATTCAGACAGACAAAAACAGGCACGGTGCCGATCCTTGGTCCCAGACTCCGCTGCTGTGATCGCTCTCTCGCATTCGATCTCAGATTGGATTCATTTCCCATCCCGGCGGCGAGAAAGGCAGGTACGGCGTCTGCTTCCGGCGCGTGCAGAGGGATTCTCGTGACGTCGGGGTGCCACGGCTTTGCCCAAGGCCGCGGGCGTTTGCTGTGTTTCGGACACTGTCGGCGTGTGTGAGGGCAGCGAAGCGTCCATGCAATGAGAGCTCTTCGAGCGCACGCCTCACGGCCTACGAGTGCCCGAACCGTGTACCAAACAGTCGCCATGTGTGGAGCAGGCGAGAGTTTGAAGCTAGCGAGACGGAAGCAACACCGCAACAGGCACGGCCCGGTCTCGCTGATAACAGCAGTGGATGCAGATTTCAGTCGAGCATACGGAGCATAGTATTCGCCTAGTGAGGTCACCCCTAGTATCGTGATCACCTGGTTGCAAGGAGAGGTTGCCACGGCACTCAATTTGCGAAGGCGTAAAAGAGAGATCGTCGGACAAATACCGCGGGCACCAAGTATTCCTTCTTGTTGACTTGTCGGAGCTGTGGGTGGGAGACGGCTCTGCAGGGTATTCACACGAAGCACGAGCCTGGAAGCACGCTGTGCATAGAATATAGGCATCTTGTCTGCGAATACTCGCTGTGAAACGTCTGATATTCTTAAGAGGACTGTGAACAGGGGCGAGAGCAGACTGGACGCTGTGTTGATAGGCTGCTATGAGAAGGTAGCCAGAGAGAAGAGCGGGGTCCGTGTGAGACTAAGATCAGTTCGTCTATCTCCACCGCTTTTGTCCGGAATTTTGGGGAAACCTCCACGTTCGTTGAAGCTACACTTTGCATGCCCGCGAACGGAGAAGGCTGAAAAACTTTCTTCCGCTCGAGAATCGGAGGTATACGTATGCCACGGCAGTCGGCAAGGCGCCGCCTCGGTCGTCGGTTCGGGCGGGTCGAGTCAGTCGGCCTTCGGATGGGTGACATTGTCACACTGGGGAGTGTTGGGCACCGGGCTTTCCATATTTGTCTAGCGCCGCTGCCCGAAATGGCTGTCTGTGACCTTGTTGGAACTCCGCTCAGCGGCGCTCTGTCGTGCTCTGACGCTTACCCTCTAGTCTCTCTGCACATGCCACTTTATATCTTTGTCAGCAACTTGTCCGCATTCTCCCCCTGCCTATTCTCCATCTTCATCTCCTTCACGTCGTCGTCGAAATCGACGGTGCGCTCACGGTTCCCGACGTCCTCGACGTCGCAGGCTTGGATCTCGTAGCCCGTATATCCCGCTTTCAGCAGATTCGTTGCTCGCAGCTGTGATCTACCCATCCCTCTGAGGCTCGCTTTGCGTCACTCGCTTCGTATCAACCACACTCAGTCGGCACTCTATTCACCTTCAGAAATGGATGCTTTTGGCAGCCTTGACAGTTTCTGGGACTTGTCCCAACATGCATCGACGTTCTCAACCTTGCCGGAAGACGATTTCCTCGCTCTCCTCCAGAAACAGTTTCCCACCACCGGCCCCTTCGACCTCACCGCCCCCGATGGTATAGACCCTATCAACATCAATCCTTTGCCCATCAATCCCACTCCGCCATCGACCGACAGTAGTCCGAGCCCCCCGAGCACAAACCAGGAACCCGCAATGTCACGGCGGCAGTCAGGGGTCTTTGGAACGACGAGTGCTTCGTCCCAGCCGGAATCACACGAAGATCCCCAATTGAAGCGCAAGGCCAGCGATGATAGCATGTCTGAGGAGCCAACGCACAAAACAGCCCACACAGGTATGTCCGATGCACTCCGCTCCGTTCCCCGTTTGTCAACTGGCGTGTCTTCAGACTTGAACAAGAAGGGCACAACATCCTCTGCCGCTGGCCTAAATCGACGCAAGTCGACAGGGAACCCCCATCAGGTATGAATACTTCTCCTTTCTCGATATAATCTTCATCCACCAATCGTCTAATGCTAGGATGAGTCTCGGATATTGAAGCGCAAGGAGCAGAACCGGGCCGCACAGCGTGCCTTCCGTGAGCGCAAGGAGAAGCATGTGAAGGACGTGAGTAGCATCATAGCTCTCTCCTGATGTGATCTCATCCGCTTGTAGTTGGAGGACAAGGTCGCCGCCCTGGAGGCAAAGAACCAGGTCGCAGAATCGGAAAATGGTAACCTACGCGACCTGCTGTCGAGGCTCCAGTCGGAGAACATGGCTCTCAAACAGGCTGCATTCACATTCTCGGTGCCCAAGCCTAATGCTGCGTCACCCTCTGCCTTCCAGCAGTCGGCCCAGTCGTTCTTCACACCCGGTGCGAGCACAAGCACGCAGCCACAATCGCAGCCACAGCCACAACAGCCGCCGTCATCGCAGTTCGACGTCAACTTCGGCACGCTCATCCCTTTCGATCCAGCGTCGCTGAACATGCTCGACGAACCAACCCAGTCCGATTCGATGAACCTGGACTACAGCTTCGGCCAGCCCGGCGCCAGTCCATACAAGACCATCGCCAGCAATCCGATGTACATGACGTTCGCCGAGCCATCTCCGTACGACCTTGCGTCGTCGCCCATGTCCGGCTTTGTGTCATCACCGGCGTCGACGACTGGAACCGACTCACATCCAACAGGGATGACGTCCTTCGATTGGAATTCGCCTTCGGCCAACAGTCCGCCAACGGCCGGCGTCGAGTTCGATCAGCTCTTCGGCGGTTTCAACGCCGCCCAGTCCCCCGTCGACTTCTCCGCTCTGCTCCGCAGTTCGCCAAGCTCTGTAAGTCCGGTGACACACACGGGCTTGCGGTCAACATCAGTGTCGTCGTCGAACTCGCCGGCGTCATCACATTCGCTGACGGCCTCGCCTGTGTCGCACACTTCGTCGAACACGAGCTACAACGGGTCGTCGGACGAATGCCCGAAGACGAAGCAGGAGTGCGCGGCCAAGATTGCTGCGCAAGGCGCGTCGCCATTCGTGCAGACGCCCCTCTCGGCACAGCAACCGCAGAACAACTCCTTCTTCGCTGCATCCAACATCGATGCCGTCAAGTCACTCGCTGCGAGCACTGGTGGTGGCGACTCATGCCCGAAGATCACAAGAGAGACGCTCCTCGAACAGATCAAGTCGGGTGCAGAGGACTCGGTCGGGCCACACGGCGGGTTCGTTCGCAAGTCAAGCGATGGCAACAACTCGATGATCATGTGCAAGGGTTCGAGTTTCCCGAAGACGGAGAAGAACGATCGCAACATCGAGGTACTCACGGCATGGCGGAGCATCATGTCGAATCCCCAGTTCAAGGTATGTTGCGCGTTTTGTTCATCGGTTGTGGTGCAGTTCTGATGTTGGCGTTTGCGCAGAACGTGGACATTAACGAGCTCTGCTCCGAGTTCACGAAAAAGGCACGGTGCGACGGCACAAAGGTCGTGCTCGAGCCCGAGGGTGTGAACGACATCCTCGAGAACTTGTCCGTCAAACGCACGTGACGCTGCACTGCACCCGCCTTGGCGGTGGCCCCAGCCCAGAGGGCACGCCGCGGACGCCAACGCACCAGAGGGCGCGGGTCGTGGCGGTGGTGCATCAGCCCCTGGGTCACCTCGGGGCGGACGCCTGCACGCGCATCGTCGCATGCGTGTAGAAATGAAGCATTTGACTCGTCGCAAGAGGACACTCATTCTCCCGGGGCTCGCATGCACAGTATAATTCTCATATGGATGGCCTCTCTCTACCTCCCACCCCACTGCCCATCTGGTTAATGATCCACATCAGAGTAATAACTAACCCCCCTTCGTAGGCTTTCTCGCATGTCCATGATGGTCTCTTTTTATCTCCTCACCCTTGTATTTTTGCGCGCAGAGCTGTATCTACAGGAGCCATTTCCTCTTTGTACCGTATATCTTCGGTGAATAGCATTCGCACTGGCCTTACTGAATAGGCATGTCCACTCCTCTCGGATTATCACTTGCTCCTCCATATTGTAAGGTTATTAGAAGGCCGAGCAGGATGAACCGGAACTACTCGCAACCCGGGTCTTCCCGGGTCTGCTGTCCCACTCGCCTGACCACCGCCGACAGTCCCGCCAAGGTTAAGGAGGTCTTCATTTCCTGTGGCTGCTTGGCGTGGCGGCATACCGGGCCCCGCTCACTTCGGCGGAAGGCAATTCAAGAGCCAGCGGGGCTGAGGAATGCTGTCAGGTACATATGACCGTCGTCGTGGCTCATTTTGACCGTCGTCTTCAAAATCAACAGGTACGCCTGCGCCGACATTGTCAGGCCCCAGGCACCGGTGCCCTTTTTCCAGCTATGAGGTGTGTTGGCGTGCGTCGTGGACGTCTCGCGGTGCCAGCACACACTCTGATCACTCGAACCCGGGGCTGTGTCTCTTCTGGCTTGGGAAGCGATTGTCGGTCGACGCTTATGTATGAAAACGGCAATCCGCGGGTATCTAGGCTGTCGATGGCTCGTGTGGACGGCGAGCCAGTCCGACTCCTCCCGACTCCCGCCCACCTCGCGCTTTCAGGCGTGCTCGCGGCTTGGGATGGGCATGGCGGGAGAGGCGGGACCTTCTCCCGACCCATTAAAACTCAGCCGATCACAGGGGCCACACGGCTCTGCGGGACAACTCGTCACCCGAATGAGACAAACGAGGTGAAGCCAAGCCAACCAAAAATTGAGCGCGCCTGGAATTCACGCGGATTCCACTACCATTGAACAGCGCTCTGGCCGACCATTATGTGGCGGTTGCAGAGCCCTGTTCAGGTCCACAAGCTTCTTTCTCTCGCCTCCACCCGCCTGGTGTGTCGGGGCGCGGCGCAAGTGCCTATGCGCCCATATCTCGTCGGCCCTGGCGATGGTCGCTGAAGCTCGTTTGAGAAAGAGGCGCCGGCAGTGCCTCTGGGGCCAACTCCCAGAAAGAAGGGGCTTGCTGCAGGCACCCGTTCGTGTTTCACGACCCATGTCGGCAACGTATGGCGAGGCTGGGCAGCGTGTCGTCTTCCTATAACGTCCTCGACCTCACCGCCTCAGGCGAGCCACCTTTCGACTTCTTCCTCCACGACCGGCGGGTCGCTGCTTTCTTTCTCGCTCTTCTCCCTCCTTACGATCGCGCGTCCTCCGCCGGTCCTGGTTGTTGGCTTGTTTTCAAGTCTTTTTTTTTTTGACAGGTTCTGGCCGAGTGTCTTAACGCGCACTTACAGTTGACGAAGGTCTTTGGTGAGGTACTTGGCTTCTGACGGCCCGGTGACTCATGCTTACGTCCCTCAGTATAGCTTAGGACCCAATTAACTGCCTTTATATATCTCTGCACGATGGTTGGAAAGTCCTTCGCGGCGTTACTGCCATTCGCAATCATGCTATCGCTCGTCGAGGATGCCTTCGCTCTGCGTCCCCCGTTCACAAAGCGAGATACGAGCTCGACGCCCGCCCCCTCTACGCTTCCTATGCCTCTGCAGTTTGACGGACGTGGGGGTTATCAGGTCGCAGTGTCCCTGGTAAGTATAGCTATGTAAGCTCTGTAATATCACTCATTGTTCATAGTCGACCAGCAATCCTCAAAAATTCAACTTCACAATATCAACTGGAACTGGTCTGACGCTTGCTGCAGGCCAAAACTGTACGAATTGCTCCAACACGCCCCTATACAACCAAGGAGCCTCTTCAAGTGCCATGTCGCTCAGTGCGAATGACAGCACAGATTTCTTCGGTGGAGCGGTCAATGGTGTGCTTATCAAGGAAAATTGCGGGGCATTACTCGGGAATGGTACCTTCTGGCAATATCCTAACCAGACCGGTGACTAAACATATTTTCGCCCCTACAAACCTGAACGCTAACCACTATATCAGTCGTCGTCGCCGACCAGCAGTCGCTCAGCTTGCTATCAAACGGAATATCTGGTGTCATGGGACTCGGAACGAACGGCGGCGCCACCGGCACTTCGTCTGGAATCAGCTTCATTGACTCGATCTATGGCCAGTTCCTTAATCGCACTCCGTCTCAGGACAACTTCACGTTCGGCATGATGCTCAACTCGCCTCCGACTCAGGGCAATTCTTCGGCGGGCTCTGATGGCGGCGTTCTCCATTGGATGTCGCCTGATGAGTCCTTCTTTGATGCTAGTAAAGTCACGTTTAAGACCGTGACGGCCCCGGACGGCGCTAGTAATGCGAGCGGGACTACCGTCGGCGGTGGCCAGGACTGGACGGTCGAACTCGACGGGTGGGTTACCACTACAGGAAACAACCGCATAATCAACCAAGATTCCGTGGTTGCTATCGTGGATCCTTTGTACGAAGGCATTTACCTTCCTCACGACCAGGCAGCGCTCGTTCGTAAGTGGCTTTAGGCATTGCTCCCGAGCACGTCGCTGATTAAAGGTTCCAGATGACGCCATCAATGGATCTTCCCTGTCGAGTGTTTCGACACTGCCAGGGATTTCTCAGGCATATACGATTCCCTGCGACGCCGATTTCACGTTTGGCTTGCTTGTCGGCTCGCAGACATTCGTTCTCAACTCCCAGCAACTTGTTCTGCAGCAAGAGAACGGTGGCTGTGTCAGCGCCGTTGAAAGCTTTATCGACCCTACCGTGCAAACGTACCTCCTTGGCTCACGCTTCATCGGCACGGCCTACCTGTAAGTAGCAGTCGCGTATCAGTATGCTCCTCACGCTCACATCTCTCTGCCAGGATCTTCAATATCCCTCGCAACAGTACTCCCACCTTGGGCTTCGCGCCACTCATCTCATCTGGGAGCAAGAGCACCAACGTCGGCGCCATCGTAGGGGGCACCGTCGCCGGCGTCGCGGCTGTCGTCATCCTCGGACTCGCCGCATTCTGGTACCTGCGGCGGCGCACGAACTGGCAGAGCGGGACGTTGGAGATTGAACCCACGGACAAGCACACGCGCCAGTCGGGCGTCGAGCCGTACACGATCGGCGCGCCGACACCCGCACAGCCCTCGTTCGGGTTGAGCACGTTCACCTCGGAGACGCTCCTTCTAGGCCAAGAGGTCCATATGCCACTCGCGCCGCCGTCGTACGAGGAGGCGTCGTCCAGCACCGGCTCTCCGGTCACGCAGTCCTCGAATCTGGGGCGTGAGAAGGGCCGGCGCGTCCCTGCGCCGTTCGTGGCCCCCAAGAAATCGACGACAACGAGCAGATTCTGAAGCGGCGACCGGGCGGAGGTGAATGGTGGTCGTATCTTTTGTCTCATGAGTTCACGAATTCGTGCGTTTCGTCGCTCCCTTGTATTTATGTTATTTCAATAACTGTCGTTAATCGGCTTGGTGTGGACTGGACTGGTCGTACCAGTTTGTACTACATTAATAGCGCGTCTACTTACAGCTGTGTTTAAGATCGTAGCCTGCTTTGTTTCTGAGGCACGTCATGGAGCATCTGATTTGATCTGTTCTGCACAGCCTACAGTCGCTTGAGCTCTTTGTTGGGCTCTTCGTCCGGCACTCCACGTCTCACTCTCGCAATTTACATCATTCGCGGAGGTAAGTAGGTGGTCGTATTTCATGAAGCATTGCAGCTCCCGTTTCACTCCAGTGCCAGTGCAGCCTCGAGGGCCCCACCGCCTGCGAGGTTCCGCCTTCATATCGTTGACGAGATCTCGCAAGACGCGCTTCGCGAGCCCGGCGCCAGCCCGGAGACGGTGTGGCTCGCCTTTTGCGTCGCGAGATGCTGACAGTAGAGAGCGGGTCAGTGTGTCGGCTGCGAAGCTCGGAGAGGAGGTGGCTTCGCTCGTTGGTGTGAAGGGCCGAGTCGTAACGCGCGGCACTGGCTGTCGCAGCACTGCATCGCGCTCTTCATCCGCTGGAGCTGCCGAGAACCCCGCTCAGCTCGCTAGGGTGCTGTCGAGGACGTCATAAGTTTCCATGGTATTAGAAGTTCAATACCTGCTCGATCTTCCATAATGTGGCGGTGAGTGTCGAGCGTTCCAGAAATAGCGCCGCGATCTGTCGTTCTACAGCACACAGGGCGATGAAGAGGAGGGTTTTGCGGAAGATACATGCCAGTGGTACGCAGGCTCTTCGTGGTTCGTACAGCGCAAATAGCACGTCACGCACAGGTTCCATCCAAGACATATTTTCTGTTTGCGATGTACTACGGGTGGCGTGCCACTTTGCCTAGCCGGGGTCTATAGCGGCGTTCCATGGTAAGGTGCCGCTTGTCGTCCTTATAGCTATGTCACGAGTTGGATTTTCCCCTCCGTACTGCAGGGATATCCTCTGATGGGTACGGCTCTGGCTGCTTCGCTACTAGCATTTCAACCAGGTACGAAGCTGCGCAGGATGCACCGGAATAAGCCGATATTCTAAACAGGGATTCAAGAGGAATAGCAGCGCCTTCATTGAATAGCAATTTAAATTTGGCTTAGGTGGTACCACTTTGAGATCCGATTGGAAGCGTTAGGCCCAGCGCTCTCTGGTAGGTCGGATAATATCGTATAAGTCAAAGTATCTTTAATGATGGCGGTAGCAGATGTAAGAGACGGGATGATCAGCCGATGTTGCGTAAGGCTGCGCATGCAATTTGGCGCATCAACTGGCATAGCAGCTGTGATGCTAGTGTCGGAATTTACTGTGCTGCGCATGGTTGTCCGAGCCAAACGGTAATAGCCAGTCGGTGCAGTAACTGACTCCGCCCCCCGCGGCGCCCTATCGCGCGACCGAGGTACCTGACACCCCAGTAACTGCGCCACAAAGCCTCTGCTACTAGTCTGTGTCTCCTGGCGACCCTCTCGCCTGTTGTATCAAAATGCGGCGCCGGCCCTTGTGCACATGGACACTGCACATTTTTCCATTTTTGCGCTTTTCCTTTTCTCGTACGTTTTAAATATGCAGTATAACGTACTCAGACAACATCTGATAGATCTGATATGCGACGAGTTTCCCCCTGCGTTAACACTATGTCCTGAGTCCACGACTGCGTCCCCACGTCCCCCTCCCGACGTCCTGCGCGGCGCGCGGGGCTCTCGCCGGTCTCCGAAGCTACCTCGCGCTACTTTCTGAGCTCTCTCGTGCTCTCGGATCCCTCCCACCACCTCTATTATTTTATTTTATCTCATTCCCATTATTTTAGGTTGGCTCTGAGCGCGCCACTGGCAGTGCATCAATGACGTAATGATATGCTAGACTTGTAGTCGTGTGTATAACAAGAGATATAAGTTCATACCAGGGTCAGTTGGGACACGAGTGTATAACCCATATATAGCTGTGCCATCTGGAAAACCAGATATATTCCTGCTCTTACCTTGCAGTCACAGTGGGATACGGAAAGTTCACTGACGCCACGAAGGCTTTGCCTTTTGAGTTGCCTGCTTTCTCACGGCCCTTTGACGCTCTTCACCAAACACGCTTCCAACTTACATCTGCCCTCCATCATCATCTCTGTGGCGCCCACACCCTGAGGTCTCCAGAACTTTGGCTCCACTCATTTCAAGGTAACACAGAGTTTTGGGTAGCATGCCATCCCTGAAAGGCCGTAAGACTATCGTTGTCGACAATGGTGCGTCAACCATCAAGTTGGGCGTGCTGGGGTCAAGTGAACGTACTCCGAGGTTAGGACTTTTTGCGCACTCAATGATATGCGCAGCTTAGAAATATTACTTTAGGATCATTCCAAACGCGATTGTAAGATCAAAGGGCGACAAAATCGCTTATTACGGACAAGAACTCGAGAACTGCGTTGATTTTTCTTCTCTGCATTATCGCTTGCCCTTTGAAAAGGTACGACCAAGTACGAGATGTTGGGGAAAAGCACAAATGAAGTAGTTTTACTGTGTCGCGAAGCATAGGGATATCTTGTCGATTGGGATGCGCAGAAAGCTATTTGGGACGGCATCTTCAGGAAGGACTTCCTTGGAGTAAGTCGACGTCCCTTTGCGACCTTTATACAAGCGTATTAAGCCTGACACATGAGTAGGTGGAGCCTTCGGAGTCGTCAATTCTGATAACAGAACCTTACTTCAATCTTCCAAAGTTGCAAGACGTCTATGACCAGTTCGTCTTCGAAGAATACGAATTCGAGTCCTATCATCGTTGCACACGTATGGTGTTTGAAATTTTCTCGCTGAGATTCTTTTCCTGATTTGAGGGTTTAGCTTCGGCCATGGTACCGTACAGCGACCTGTATCGACAAACCAACCAGCCTAACCCGGAGTGTATCCTGGTTGTGGATTCAGGCTTTAGCTATACCCACATAGTCCCGTTGATCAATGGATCTATTGTCTGGGAAGCAGTGAAAAGGTATCGCAGCTATATAATAAGCTATATGCGACTAACTAGTCAATCCAGGATAGACGTAGGCGGCAAGTTGCTGACGAACCAGCTCAAAGAGCTCGTCTCGTTCCGCCAGTGGAACATGATGGACGAGACATATGTCATGAACGACGTTAAAGAAGCATGCTGCTATATCTCTACTCAATTTGGAAAGGACTTGGAGGTTTGCCGGTAAGGCAACGCACTCCTGCTCTAAGCTCACTACTGACAATCAATGCGTTCGAAGAGTTGATACGAGGGACAACCCTATCGTCCGGGAATATATCTTACCGGACTTCTCCTCAAGCAGGAAGGGGCGCATCCGAAAACCGGGGGAGATATTAGAAGACTCGTACCAAATATTGTACATGAACAACGAGCGGTTCACCGTCCCCGAGATCTTGTTCCGTCCGGACGACATTGGTACACGCCGGGCTTGTGTTATCCTATGCGCTTGCTCATCACGTAAAGATAGGTTTGGAACAGATGGGGCTGGCGAAAACTATCGCGCATAGCATCTCCTTGCTACCAGAGGATCTACGGGGCATGTTTTGGGCGAACATTGGGCTTATTGGAGGATCCATAAAGTTCCCTGGCTTCCATGACAGACTGTAGGCCGGTTTACTCGTCAGAGTGTACTACAGGAACTGAAAAGACTTTAGCTTTCAAGAATTGCGAACGCTCGCTCCGGTCGAGTGCACTCTCAATATTTACCAGAGTACCGAGTATGTCCTGGCCTCCTTCGAGCTCTGACTCCTACGCTGACACTCCTCCAGCCCTATCCTCGATGCCTATCGCGGCGCTGTGGCCTTCACGAAACAGGCTGACTTCCAGCAGAAGCTTGTCACCAGAGAAGAGTATAATGAAATGGGAAGCAACGCCTCGCGGCGGAAGTTCCGGGGCTGGATGCCTGTTGATGCGGAAGAGGTGGCTGACAAGGGCAAGGGCCGGGCGCGTGACGATGATGACGACGAGCCTACCCCGGTGAAGAGGGGTTCGCGCGGAAGGGGAAGGGGAGAGAGGGCTAGAGGGGCGACGAGAGGGCGGGGACGGGGAAGAGGGAAAGGGTCGGGCCTGAGCAGTACGGCGACATAGCGCAGCTTTGAGAGGGTACAGTTGGCCCGCGTTCCATCCGTTCACTTCGCTTCTGGTCTAGTATGAACTTTCAAGTATACCGCACCAGTCTCTAACCAAGATCTTCACGAGCGTGTAGCTCAAGATTCTGAACGTGATGAGCGATCGAGGAACCGGACAGCTGTATTCAACGAGATGTAGATTCACATTTACGACGAGCAACGCAGGAGCTTTACATTCTTTAGATTGTACGGGCCCGTATTCAAGGAGGAACATCCCGAAATCGATTATGCTCAGGCCAATTTCTTGGAAGGACCGGTTGCGACCTTCTTCTGACCGAAGTAGTACCGGGTCCGCCCGACTCCTGCGAACCAAGCGACCCTGGCAACGTCGTCAGCCAAACGTCGCATCTGTGCCCACGATCACCGGCGCGACCATGGGAACGTTGAAAACGCACCGTGAGAACAGGAGGAAGATCACGAAGGTAATGTTCCCATGCGTGGTGCCATTCCAGCTGGCAAAGTCGTAGCGTAGTGATCCAGGGAGCCCAATCCAGGATGCGGCAATACTACAAGCACCGTGAGCCGGCACTGGGTATAATCTTTGACAATTTAGAGCTCACTGAGTAGCCTGCAACGAAAAAATGAGTTACCTATGCGAGCCCACGAGAGGACAAAACCCTTACATCTGCGACTGCCATTGCAAAGAGGCTAGCACCAATGATATGTTCCTGGGCTACTGGGTCGCCCGGAAGAGCATTGCGTACGGCGCGGAACACGAGAGAGGACAGCATTCCGAGGAGAAGATAGCCTGAACCATAGCGTTAGCGTCTGCACCTCGAATGCTGCGAAACACCCACAGTTGCCCAGCTGCAACACGGCCATGTGCGTCCTTGCATCTTGCAGCTGAGATGCGGGCTGAGATGTTCCATCCGGTATGAGCTCATGGTGGAACCAAGCTGCCCCGGGGAATGTCCAGATGAGCAGACAAGGCAAAGCGGTGAGGACTAGACGTATGAAATGAGCACGCCGGAGAGGCCACGGGAAACATTAGTCCCAGCTGTATGAGCTTACATGGTTCAACATACAAGAAGAGAACGCGATAAAAACCGGTTAAAGCTGGAAACTCCGACATACTGCACGAATGCTCGACGTTACAGTAGACATCAATATTGTTAGCGTGCAGTATGGGGAACACCGTTCCCGATATTGATATTATGTCTCTGTGCACAGGATCATGAATAGCAACTTGGCGCAGGGGTAGCGCGCGGGGCTCATAACCCCGAGGTCGCTGGATCGATACCAGCAGTTGCTAGTAGTAGAAGGTTCTGGGTGTCTTTTTTATTATGTGTTCATATAATTTCTGCGACTTCCAATAGCAGATTTTGAAACAATCCCTGGCTAAACTCTAAAAGACGAGGAGACCTCTCGGAAACCTCGGACACAGCAAGCGCTTGGATATCCACGGTCTCATGTCGGCAACCCTTACGCCGCGCAATGCTGCAGACTGCGACAGTCCAGGCTCCTCGATATTTGACTTGCCTACCACGGTAGACCATCACTCGCACCTGCAAAGCAACACTCACATTGCAAGTGAGGGACCAGGCGACGTATCCTCAAGTCTAAATGTTTCCCGGACCTGCGACGACCTCACCGGAAACGTGCCCTCATGTCTCGTGATTTCAGGTGGGACAGGGTGCAACGCGATATGTTCTGCCTTCGGCACGTCCAGGGCGAGCTATGTCTTGCCAGTCTCGGATGATGGCGGATCGTCAAGTGAGATTATACGCGTAATAGGCGGGCCGTCTATAGGTGCGTGGTCCTGAAGACGAGTCGCGTAGACAGTATTAAGACCCCGGTGCGACCTAGGTGACATTCGTTCGCGACTCATTCGTCTTATTCCGTCCTCCTCACCCGCGTCTCCACTGGCCTGTATACGGAACCTGCTGGCGTACCGGCTTCCTGCAAATTGCTCAGATAAGGAGGCGAGAGATGAGTGGAGGGACATCGTGGAAGGGAGGAGTAGACTCTGGGATGGGATCCCAGTTGACCGAAAGGAGATGATACGAGGTTCGCTCTTGTCCCGTTGTTGGTCTCGTGCCTATCTCTAATTAACGTCAGGTTTCCTTGTACATTTCGAGAGCGAAGTCTTGAAGCGCGCGCACAAGAACTTTTCCTTCATCAATGGCAGGTAAGCTGAGAACAGGGAACGTCCTTCTCTGGCACTAGCACTCAGCAAGCCAGTGCAGCATAGGCAATTACTTCCTCTCAGCTGCCCAAGAGTTCTTCCGCTCTCTACCTTCCGCTATATTCCTGTTCTCGAGCATTACCAATAGCCAGGTGTGCATGATTTCCTCGCAGGGTTATGCGCTTATCAACCTATGCTGACTTTGAGTCCCAGGCAACGATCCTACCGGCCATCGTGACGAACCATACTGTCACAATTGCAGCTGAGCTCGTGCGCAGACCTCCCCGTAGTTGTAGCACAATCTCATTTCCATCCTAGGAAGACGGCTCGCGCCTTGTTGGGCAGTGCGAGATATCTCATCCTGTCCGGCGAGAACCCGTCATCTCCGTCTCAAGCGAAGCCGACCAACATGGAACGCTGGAATACTATGATGACCCAGACGAAGATACGCTTTCTCCTGTCGACGACATACATAACGTGGGCAAGAGACGGAATGTCTTCTTTGAAGCCTCGTCTAAAGAGAAAGATGGAGCGTATGAGAAGCTCAGAGCCGGGATAAGTCGTATGACTATTCTGCGTGATGTTGATGGGGTGTCTCATTGCATTGTCTACCAGGGCTATTTTACATCAACACGTACGGGACTGAGATACATCCGTCACCCAACCCGGAGTTCATACAACATCTTGGTCAAAAGGAGGTCCTAGTTTACTCCTGTGGATCCTTATGGACTAGGTCGGTTTGAAGTTCATCCGACTGCGCACCTTTGCCGACCAATTTTTTAGCATCGTGCCTTGCCTTGCTTTGCGAGGCGTCGCCGATACCATTGCTCGGTCTAAATCTTTAAGGGCCAAGATCTTACTGTGTAAGACGAAACTACGTAGTCTTTCATATCATACACTGACACAATCCCTAGTGAATAGCCAAAACGATAGAGAAACCGACGGCTATTCTGCAGTGGACTACGTAAAGTACGTATCAACGCGCAGCCATGGACCGGGGCACCTAACTGACCTGTCGCATGTACAGCACCATCGTGAGAACACTGAATGCCACGCATACTAGACCATATCCGGGCCTTAGCAACCGTTCAAGATCAGGCGTCAGCGAAGTAGTCACGACCTACCCCGCCTCTGCATTTGTTACGCATCTAGTATATCTGAAGGGGTGCCAAGTTTCCGTGGATGTACAGCGACTGGCTGTGAGTAGTATCATCGTTGCAGGTGTGTACCATGCTCATGAGGATGTTCCGTAGGGGCTCGGGGTCAGATGCGTCGAGGTTGAGGGCGAAGCCGATCAGGATGTTTCTGCTGGTGCCCCGCCCAAATTCGATGCGCACAGCGTTCGAGAGGCAATCACGAGTATTCTGTCCCAGGAGAGCAACGAGGGTTTCTAACAGCCTCTGGTCATCAATGTGATATACGGAATCGAAAGTATCTCGTTGGGATTTCATGTATGGGGCTACCTCAGGCTATTGTGCGGAAACGTGCTAACACTTCGCCGTATCGAGGTGAAGTAGATAATAATCAACCTACCTAGGGCATAACTACTCATGCTATAGGCCGTGAACCGTCTGTCTCGTCTTTCCCACAGTTGGGTGAAAGGTTCATCGAATGTATGGCGTGGACGCCCAATGCTACGAAAGCTGCTGAACCATACAACTGTTGACAATCTGAGCTGCGGTAAACGACACAGGCGTATAATAATACAGGTGTTGACAACTCTGGCGTGTTCTTTAGATGAACTTCAACGTGCCGGCCCTGCCCGTCTTTGGCAGAAGCTTGCGCACCTGTTCCTGCTCCTCAGTGTGGAGTAATCGTCCGCGGAAGAACGCATTGCTCGAGTCCGTCCATCGACTCTTTATACGGCACCAAAATCTGAAGGAAGATACCGCCGTGGTGCTATACGTGCTAAGCACGTCATCCCACGCAGAGACAGTCGGGATATCGCCTGATCTATCAAAAGCGAGATCAACGCGCAGCCCGAGGTCTGGTTGGTGGCGTAGGATGTCCGAGAGGATGCTTTGGATCCATGTACTACTGGAATTGGAGGCTTCGTTCAGGTCAAGTCTCAGACGCTGCAGCTTCTTGCACGCCGATAGACCAAGTGAGCTCAGTGGACAGCTAGAATCGGCTATTTGGGACACATGCGGAGGCCAAGTAGAGATGATGAGTGGTAATAAAATGGGATTGTGAAGGGGTTTGCTTTACCTGCGCTGTGATAAAACGATGATAGGTCTATGGCAAGCTCCTTCAGATGGGCCCCGCACTCTCGAAGGATCTCTTTCGCGGTAGGGAGCCACCAGCATTCCAGAAAGTTTAACTCGACTTCGGTGATAATGGGAAATTGTGCCGCTGAGGTGAAGCGGACAACATCTAAAACGGCCGCATGTCCGACTTTCCCGCCGATAGCAAGTTTCGTCAACTTCTCGGTTCCGGACAACGCCTGCGGTGTATCCTTGCTCAAATTCTTGACGGAGGCGCTTGAAATATCGCAGCGTCCTTCGACGTATAGCTCCGCGAGATTAGGGAAGAGTGTAAGAAGGGTCGCGAGTTCAGGGGCGCTAACCGAGCCTTCCTCCAACACCAGGACCTCCGGGGCAGTCACGCGGAGCTCAAGGATCGAGAAGGACTGCGGGAAGACTACTCTCGAGATATCTCTCAACCAGAGCTCGCTCAGCGACGGCATCTGGCTCACCCCCCTAGCAATCGCGGGCAGGTCAATCCCAAGATCGTGCGGATGTTTGAATTCCAATGTGACCCGGTAGATGGCGCTGGTGATATGCGGCGACGCAATCTGAAGGAAGCAGAAGAAGTCGCGAATACTGTGCTTGTATCCTATGTGAACCAAACGGAAGAGATGCTTTCTGGCGCGACGCAGCCACTGTGGAAGGACGAGGGTGCAGTTTGCCAGCGACTGCTTATCTTCGCGCAGGCAGTGGACGATCGCGTCGAGCAGCTCCTGAGGCAATCTCTGGATAAAGCAGGGTTTGAGATCGCCCTGGATATCATCGACGTCTGCAGATGGGTGCGCTGGGTGCAAGTTCTCGTCGATGGGCTCCTGAGACTTTGAGCATCAATCTTTGGTGGTCGCAAAACCGCAGTACTCAGTGCTCACCCAGACCATCGCATCCGAAGTATCGCAGTTCTCCATGCTTAAGTGCAGCGGCGTGGTAATGTCTCTGGACTAAGGACAAAAGACTAGATGTCCAGCAAGCGGAACGTTATGATCAAGGCGTGGTAATTAGCACCACGCTGAGGAATTCCAGACTCCCCCTATATGTGACATCGACGCTCGCACGATCTTCAGAATACATACCCAGATAATCGCGAATCTTGTACCAAGGGCGGCTACCGTTCCTGCTGTCGAATATATCATCGCTCAAAATGTATCGGGCCCCAGCTTGTTCGTTTGCGCACTCGTTTAGAGCTGGAACAGCAGTCAGAACACCCGTGCACCTCCGCAAAAACGCTCGCATCCTGCAATTTACTCAACGAGAAACCTAACCACAACGAATGCGAATAGCGACAAGTAGCGTAACGGCCGGTTACAGCGTTTACAATATACCAAAGCGTCCCGAGAATCCATATTGATCACGATGAGTAGCGAGAGAGATAGTCGTTTGAGCCTGCGCTTCGCGTCGGCTTATGTTGCGGAGCGGATGGTGTCGGTGGTACAGCCCAGCCATCTGAGCGGCCACGGGTGTGAGTTGTTGAAGGATATTGTGGGGAACTATAGGATGTCAGTATTCAAGTTGTCCAGGCACATGTGCGGGGGTACGCCTTACATGTATGCTCCGTTTCCTGGAGCTTGCGTCATGACAGGCACAGCGTAGCTCCCCATCGAGCTGTCTAAACGCTGCCCTGGCTTGCCGCGAAGACCGGGTTCAAATGAAGAGCCTCGTGGACGTCGACGAGTACAGCGGTAGACACCTATGAGGTCCATGTGAGCCACGCATACCCAACAACCGATGATCGCCCAGGCCAACGTACGGGAGCAAATGAACCAGATAATGAGCAAAATCAGTAGGCCGCCCACAACAGTGACCGGAATGGCGATCTGCAAGTTGTCCCTGTACCAGGCCTTCGCTGTATCGAGTGCGCTTCCAGCCTTACAGGTGCCTTGCGTACACGTCCCTCCGTACCCACAAGGCGATCCGTCGATAAGCTGCGATTGTAGGACGACGCATTGGTTGGATGTGCTCGGATCCTGACATGTAACCTGACAGCTCTTATCATCTTGACTGGGACAAGCCTTCTGCAGGTTCATCGATGCGCCGATAGTCTGGCATTGTGCTGCAAACCAACTGTCAATTCGCTCAACTAGAGTAACAGAAACGCTGCTTACTATCCAGGGACGTACATACGCCGCTGGCGCACGCAAGCCCGCCGGAGCCGCAGCTCTGCCCGTTCGGCGAGAAGTTGTCTGCGGGGCACGTCGACGAATTTCCAGTACACATCTCGGGCTGGTCACAATTCGGGTCCTTTGCGGGCCGACAGACCTGCGTCGACGGCGCGAACGTGCACGTGTCGGTGCAACACGCACTGCTCGCCGGGTCGCACTGGGCGTTGGCTGTGAATTTGCACGTCGACGAGTCGCAGCAGGTCGAGTTCACGCCTAGGCCCGGATCGCACTGTTCGCCCTGCTCGACAATCCCGTTACCGCACATGCCAAGTGAGATGGTTCGTGTGGCATCAGAGGTGTCTATAAGACAGGATGTATTCGTCATGCCGCCACTCGACCCTTGCATGAGAGAACCTGCGAGCGCGTGTTGGTTGTGGGCGGGAAATGGAAGGAGCGCCACGTACAAATGTTGCCAAGGCTACACGGAGAGAACTTCATCTCGCCTGTATCAGCTACTGGGTTCATGATGAACTGCGAGTTAGCATTGCAGCTGTCCGCCGAGAGCGGGCAGCAGACTGGAGATCCGCTAGTCCCACAGCCGTCTGTACACTAAACACCTGGTTAGCTGTGGCCTCATCCCCCACATGTGGAAACTTACATCATGCTATAAACGCAAATGGTCAGCGCATATTTAGAGCTGAAAAGCCTAGGGAACTCACGATGGCTCCGAAATTATGCCCAATCTCGTGCGCAAGAACTTGCCATTCAATTTTGCCAGCAGTTGTGACAGCAGTGCCCGAGACAACCGACCCTGGGTCGCCCGATGCACTTTGTTGGCATCTATCAACAAAACACGTAAGACAGCGAACAAACCTCTAACAAAAGCATAGTGCTCACAGGGTTCCAAGCCAGGCAATTCCAACTTCGGTGCCGGTGGGACATCCGCTCATGAGATGCCATAGACCTGCACTATCGTTGCCTTTCTGGCCTCGCCAGGCTGAGAATAGGGAAAGCCTGTCGTTAAGAGTTGCATTGCCTGAGCAGGGTATGTTCCAAGGATTAGATGGGTCCGTTGTGGCAGGACAGCTACAAGTCGTAATATCAGTACGGATCTTGAACTGCTTCACGACCGACGTACGTTGGGTCCTGAACTTGGAGCTCAACGAGGCCAAGCGACACGTTGAAGGTTGACTTGTACAGGGCACTCGCCGTGTTGAAGTTCGTAATTATTTGCTGCGTAGCGTTCTGCGTCGAACCGTACGTACTTGTATATTCACAGTCGGCCGCGGCACCCATGTAGATGACCTTCTGTGTTGTGGGACATCCCGCAGTCTGTCCAATATTGCCCTCAAAGCTACAACAACGTCAACAAATGTTCGTTCGTCGAATGTCTCATATACTGACTTGCTCCCCATGTTACCCCCTGCTACATCATCGCGTCTGGCAAGGCTGTGGTTGCCACGGGTTTGAGGATAGAGGATGCCCAGCGGGTCATACCATGGCGATGCCAGAGGAGGTTTGCGCAGGATAGGGTTTGCAAGCGGGTTCACGTTCCAGTCCATCCGATCGTGCGCGCACGTTCTCCCAGGTGTGGCTGCCCCACCAACATACTCTTCTACTCTCATGACGTCTGAATCGCGGAAGACGACCAGTCCAGCATCGGGGTGCGCCTCAAGAAGAACGTGTGGGTCTAAAGCATGCTTATTGCGGACATAATTCGCGGTCGTGAGCACATGGTGCACGTCGCCGTTGACTGAGAACGCGCCCTCGAAGCTCGGTGATCTGCCCGCGTCGATGTCTCCCTGATCGTAGACTGTGATCCGCGCCCAGCCTAGCTCGTCCTTCCTGCCTGACGGTCGCGGGTGCACACCGGCTGCATCTTCGCGGAGGCGCGCCTGAGAGACGTCAGGATTGACCACCTCACCCCAGTAAGCCTTGACGTTCTGCCGCAGGAGCGGTTCCGTGTGCGTCACTCTGCGGCCGTCGGAGGTCGTGGTATGATAGGTGATGCGCGCAGCGGGATGGACAAGGTGTTCGTTGGGACGGAGATGGAGGTAAAACGTCTGGTCAAACGCACTGATCGTCAGACGGAACGTGTCTGTATGTTCCAGCACGGACGACGATATCAGGAGAGAACGCTTGGCGTAGAATCCGGAAGGAGAGGGCCGGCGTGGGAGGATTTCAAGTGCATGAGTCGTAGGGTGTGTGATGCGTTTAAGGGGCCGAGGAGGTGAACTGGATGCTGTGGACAGTGCGTGTGAGTATGCTGTCGGTGCCAAGACCCAAGGCAAGCAATAGCACCCGGAAGAGATGCAAGACGGAGTAAGCGTCCCCGCTGCTTCCTGCCAACACACGCAAAGCTTGCGCACTTGCGGGACTCTGTCTGCTTGATACGTGTGCGATGTACGTCGCAAATACGCGAAGTTGCGTAGTCAAGTGGCTCACATACGGCCACATGAGCTCGCGAGACTGAAGCACTCACCAGATGCATATTCCAAAGCAATAGCAAACAGCGAGAGCAACCAGAGCGTCCGAAATGGTGTAAACATGGTGGATGGTTCCGGTCAAGGACGTACGGGTATTTCAGACCTATTTAAAAGCGGTGCAGGTGGCAGAGCGACCAGAGGAGAGCCAAGCAAGGAACGGCTGCGCGACTGCGCTCCCGACCCAAGAGAATGTCCCGGCCAGCGGTGAGAAGTCCAGTCAAGAAGAAAAGAGTGTAGATAGTACAGCGAACGAACTAGAATTATGCCAAAGTAGAGGCCCCGTAGGTCGTCGTGGTCGAGGACAAGCTTAGGCGACGGTTGCTACTTGATGGCTGCACGAGCGCGCTCAGCCGCACTTCGCGATTGATCATTACTTAGTGCTTAGTACTTGCACTCATGAGCTTTATCCGAATGTGTAGCGTGCGACAAACGAAGACAGACACACAAGGCGCGTCCCGCTGTGCTTGGTGCATTAAGCTTGGGGCCTGAGGCATGTACATGAGGGGTCATAGCTCGGCAGGCTGGCAACATCATGGCCGTCACAGGTGTTATTGTGCGTCTATTTGCTCATTTTCCATGCATTTAGTCATGTCGAGGTACATACCGCTATCTGTCTTGAGAATGTTGCAGACGTCGTCACTATATGTTACCAGGTTTGAACCGTCAGCCCAGACGTGGGCTACACCTTGCTGAGCCAAATCTCGGCCGTCTCCTCAACCGTGCCTCCGATCCTCTGCCGTTCCGTCATCTCCCCAACGAACCCATTCAAAGCCACACCCCGAACTAGCGAGCTCCCTTCTGCATGTATGATCCAAAACTCTGCAGACGCGACCGGTTCTTCGCCCGTTTCATCAGTCGTGAGGGGGCTCTTGTCCTTGCCGTAGCCGTGTGTGAATAGATACGCCCCGGACACGCCGAACGTGTCGCGATCCTTGTGCGCCAGACGGAGGTGTGAGATCCACTGGGAAGGGATCGCCGCGTAGAGCACCTGTTGCGTGGTGTCGGTAGTGTTCTCGAAGAACGACCAAGACTCGAGCACATCCGTACACTCGTCGGAGGGGTGCGGAGTAGGGGCACAGAGCGTTATATTACCGTAGCCGGGGTCGTGGTATTTGCCGACGTATTCCTCCAGCGGGAGAGACAGAGGCGGCGGACGTTCGACATCGTTGGCGACCCGGGCGGAGCCATCCTCGCTTCGAGCTTTGTTTGCGGCAATTGCGGCGACTGTCCTCTCTGACTCCTTTCTGTCCAGGCCAAGGAAATCCTCGACAATGCGGTACACTATGGCAAGCTCCTGTGGATGTTGGCTATCGCCATTCGCCAGAGCAACGATGCCGAGCCCGCTATTTGGTAAAAAGAACACCTCAGAAGAGAATCCCGGAATCCCTCCTGAGTGTGTCCAAAGCTGACATGCAGTTAAGAGAATAATCCAATTATCTGGGGCTGCCTAGTAAAGCACTCACATTGTGACCTTGATACGACTTGGCAGCCCAGCCCATCCCATAGCTTTCGTAAGAGAACCAACTTGGACCAGGTCTCGTAGAGACAATCGACTGGGCCCTTGTGATAGTGTCGTACGTCTCACGGGGAATGATGGTTTCATTCGTGACAGGGTCTACCCCTGCATTCAGCAGCGTCCGTAACCACCTTGTCTACAGACCCTCATCAGCCGCAGGAAGATTGGTATGGCTCATAAGACCGTCCAGTTTACCATGTCTACCACATTGGTGATAATCCCGCCCGGCCCGGCATTGAGTTCTACGGCTTCTTCAGAGAACCAAAACGGAATGCGCCGCCCGCTGGCCATCCAAGTCTGCGTGAGCTTGCCTGAAAGCGCAGCCTCATTCGGGCTAAACGTTGAGGAGGTCATGTAGAGGCGTTTCCAAATACGCTCTTTGACGAATTCCGTGTAGGGCATGCCCGAGTACGTTGAGATGATGTGCGCGCCGGTTATGTAGAACTGTGGCAAAGCGCATCAGCTAACGCGTGATAGAAAATTCTCATGAGCTGAGAGCGAACCTGGTTGTTGTAGTGATATCGCTGGCGCAGCTCGAAGGCAGGCCTCAGATATCGCATTCTGCGTATAACATCGACCGGCTTGTCAGTCGGATGATATGAGAAGTCATGTCTGTCGCACACTTGTCAGTCTGTGCCGCTCACATGGACAGAGCTACGCCGCGCACGGCGCAAAACATGCCTCGGTAATCCAGTCTGGTGAGACAGAGCATCCCTAAGCGTAATCTTTTCGGATGCCCATTTGTCCATAAGCTCCCAGTCATCGGGGAATAAATGGGCCAACTTGGTGTGCCAGTCGAGCTTGTGAACACCAGGCGGAAGCGGAGTCTGGTTCCTGCCCTGGGCGAAGTCGTCGATCAGAATGCCCAGTGAGCTCGCGAGGAACGCTTTAGAGCACGAGGCTATATCGAAAAGAGTCTAAGATGATCTCCTCAGTCCCACACACCATATTACTTGGGGAGGGAAGGAGAGAAACTTACGTCCACAGTCATCTCATCGTCATCCTCTGTCTTTCTCCCGAACGCACCAAGCTCGATAGTACCATCCGGGTGCACAACACCCAGAGTCAAACCTGGCACATTGCCTCCCTTCATGATCTTCTCCACGAACTCTGAAAGCTCAGGAGTGATGACCTGCTTTTTCGGATCGGCCATCACAGGCAAGTGGAGGACCTGCTGCTGGCATAGGACATTGCCCGCCAGCAACGCGAGAAACACAGCTTTGAAGAACATCTTGAACACGACAATAGCCCTAGCTGAGGTTGCTGTCCGACTCTGAAAGCCGTGCGCAGCAACACAGTCGTTCCCGCGGTTGACATCTGGGGCCGCATGGGAGAGTCATGAGAACCGATGTTCCTGTTGGCCTGCCATAACGAGAGCGCTAGCCGCGGGGCGGCATTTTCCGAATGTATCACATGACATCTCTCGTCTTCCTTTGGCCACCGAGCTTGGACTTTCGCCTGACACCTTGGAAAGACCTAATATTTGCAGCGTCGAAAATATGTCTGATTGCTACTCAGGTATCCAAGGCTCCGGAAGCATCTCTTGATATTCTCCTGTTACTACTTCTCTATGTCGTATTCCTTTCGCAGAAGCTCTCGCACTCTCGGAGTGTCGGGTTTGATATCCCCGTTCGCGGGAGAGAACCAGGCAATCTTCGATGCACCACATACCACGGGCCAGAACGTCTCGAATGTGCGCTGACAATTGGTGAGCACAGCGAGTGGCGTGGCGACGTTAGAGCACTCACAGTTCGCGCCATCTGCTGACGAGTCCTTAGCTTGCCGTAGATATAGCCACGGGTCCACACGTCAGATTCAACCTTAACCCAGACATATTGACCGTCCTGGTAAAGTAAGTACTCTTGTGCTTAGATTTTGCTATAATGATTTACCTTGAATCCGCACTTCAATAGTGTCGTGTCGAGGTCGCTGATCTCCAGCTCTTCGCTAGAGACCGTACTTGTGCTGTCAAAAGAGCTAGTAGGATATGTAATGACAGGGCTGTTAAGGATAATGAGAGTGTCAGTGGACAATCTGGACCTGGCATTGTCAGGCGCTATCCCCAGCCAATCGCAGTTTGGTCCCTTGGTCTTTACTGGCGACGGCATCGTGGAGTTGGCCAGGGTCTTGCGTCGGGGTGACCTGAGATTATTCATTGAAGGTGGTTGATAGTGATAGTGGGTGGAAGAGGGGTATCGCGTTCTTTAGTGGCACTGACTCACCACGTCTACAGTGGCCTCTGACGAGCACGTGACGGTTGCAGGACAAAGAAGTCGTATGCTTGTCTCTCATTCACATGACAAGTTTCTTTAGACAGCTATTGTCGAATTTCATGTTGTTACTCGGTACGTCTGAAACTCCGCATCATGACCATGGGATTCACGACGTCGCGACTTAAGGGTTGTGGTGTCCGCCTGCGAAGAGGCATCTATACATGTCGCCAGCCCACAACTTACTTGCGACAAGTTTAGCATGTTAATGCTAACATCGCAACTTCTTGCTTGCCAACATATAAAACAGTGAAAGCTGGCTTATGTCGATTGAAAGATGAAAGACGGGATATTGATGCTATCAACCCTTTTGATTGTGTAATTATTCGAACGCCTCAATGTTTGATACACCCCCGAGCGACCTCCAGACCGACGCTGGCACAAAGTGATAGAGCACACCTCGAGCTAAGTTCTTACAACTGCTGGATTTCTATCTTATTTTGACTTATTCTTTGCTCAAAGTGCTCTCCTGTATGACCTTCGTGATCCGCTAGGCGAACTCAAGCTGTCGTATATACTTCGAACTGGTTATTGTTGACACGGTTGTGCATCAATTGACATTACACTGAATCTGATGCGTTCAAGAGGCGGTCCTGATGCTCTGCCCGGTCATAAATATAATTCCACGCGCATTTGTACTAGAGTATCGCGAAACAAATTTCGGTCCATGAACTAATCACAACCAGGTCTTGTGTGGGAATGCTGACGTTTTCCAATGCGGACAGAAAAGCTCAGTGCCCTCTGTGTGCAGCGAGTATAAAGCGGGACGACTGATGCCGACCGGTCTTAAGCTTCCTAGCTCATTCATTCATTGGCCTTACCCTCTTACGCCCAGGTGCTGGTCGGTAAGTGCTCGTCATTATTATTCGTCGTCTGGCTTGCCCACATCTACGATACAGCCTGACTTTCATCCGCTTGTGTCACAACTTCTGTTATTCTCACGAACTCTTCGCTTGCTCCACGCCTACGACCTTAGCCCCCACAACAATTCCGAATGTATCCCAAGTCCGTCATTGCCCTTGCCATCGTTGCTGTTGCGACCCCCGCTTTTGCCATTCCATAGGTCTAGCTCACTTTCCCGTTAAAATTTTGATTTACTGGCCTTCGTTCGTCAGTGCCGAGGCCATTGCTGCTCGTGAGGACGCTACCGGCATCCTTGTCGAACGTCGAACTGAGGGCCTGGAGGCCTGCGAGCCATTCGGGTACGTGCGCCCAGCTCACCACTTCCGACCTTGCATCGCTCAACGTCCGTAACGCCGTCAGGTACCTAGGTCCAGGGGCGAGTCTTCCTTGCCCAGCTCGATCCTGGGATGTGCGAAATTGAGCAATACAAACCGGTAAGGTCGTTATTAGCCGCATTTTTAGTGACAAGTGATAACGCCGAGCGGGCACCTGCAAATTATGCATTACTTGAGGACCGTCATCTACGAAAGGTTTCAGTATCGGGCTACGGAGAATATCGTGATATTGCAGACGACCGCGCGACTCCGGTTCACGCGGTTCAGAGCAGGCCGATCCATTGGTTCATAGATTGGAACTTGGCTTGTGGGCACCATAAAGTAGGCAGGAGGACTTGAGGAGCAGCTCGCCGGCCTTGACGAACGGGGACACCATCCTCCCAATGCTCCGGCCAGAACAGGAGAACGACGCAGAGCTGCAGACGAGTAAGGGCGTCGGGAGGGAGCACGCAATGCGGTGTTCCGTCGCGACGGCCTTGCATGGGCTGCACCTCACGATTAAGTACGGTGGGTAAATTAGATGTTCCTGGAGTACAGTAGCAGCCCGAAGAATCATCAGTGCAGCGACGCGTCCCAGCTAGTTGGGCACGTACCCTGTCTGAGCTGGTAGCACATGAGCCTGACTTTATGCTCCTCTGTGCCCGCTGTCCTCAAGAACTCTTGGTAAGTTTCCTCCGGTGCTCTCCAATAGTTGATATAAGGTTTTGGCTATGGGCATATGACGGAGGCAGTCCGCGGCGTCAGAATCTTGCGGGGTTGGCAATAGAACGGCTGCCAAGTTCAAATGTACAATCTTGTTGGCTGTTGAGTATACGTTAACATGGACATGTGCGACCAAGTGAATGCTGAGGTATATGCTTATTAGTTTTCAAATTTCCTCTATCACAAAGGCGTTGCACATAACTCGCCATTGTCACCAGTCCCTGGCTGCCACAAGACTGGTTTCTAGTCGATTGCGTTTCGATTTGGTCGTCGAGCGCCGCTAGCACCTTCGGTGCTAACAACAGCTATGAGAGGGATGAGGTCATCGATCCCGAGTGGAACGGAAATTGCGTAGGATAATGAAGACTTAGGCGGAGAACAAGATAGAACAAGGTCAAGTGGAAGACGCGCTCGCGATGAACGTTAATGAACGTTTGAACAGTTAGCCGATAATCTATCTACACTGCCATCCCAAACGTCGATTAAATTGTAGACTATCTTCCTAAATAGGCTTCCCCGAGGACGTCAGGCTACCAGGGCTCTCAGGCGTATCAGAGCGAGGGTTCGAGTCATGACCAGCGCATTTGATGCAACTTCGGTTCCTTCAATCTTGCGTCAGTCGATGGCGCAACTCTGAATGCACAAAATGGCCCAGAAATATTGTCAAAAATGGGTGGCTTGAAGTTTGGCCGTGGCCGTCGATTTTTGGTCCCCATCACCAGGGCGCTCGCGAAGCCGGCTGACGCTGGACGGTCTCCCCAACGTTAATCAGGGCGCCTCAGGGCGCTTGCAGTTTTCCTGATGGACACAGGAGAAGATGGAAAGAGCGCCTGGTTGTGTGGACCTTACCTTCGCGTGAGTCAGTCACACTAGTACTGAGAGGACGAGATAGCTAAAGCATGGGCTTGAAGCTAGCTAAACATTATAACCGCAGCAAACATGGCTTCTTGATTCACCGAACCAGTCCCATGGATTTACTGCTTCCCGTTCAGGTACTGTCTGTGTTTGCTCTATGTGGCAATTCACAATTTGCTCACAGCCGACAGCATGCCCTGTTGTCCCATTTCACTCCAGACTAAGGAGAATGTGCTCACACTTCTGCGTGTTGGAGACCTTCTCCTAAGGGAAAAGTTGTATGTGGTGCAGAACAAACCATTGTCACCTCAAGGGATCAGGGATGTCTTAGTGATAACGGTATGTCCATATTAGATGATCCTATATTTGCTGAACTTGTGCTGGTAGCGTCGTATTACTGAAATTACATTTGTGGTGCCAGACAATCAGCACGTGGTCATGTCCGATGCTGTCAAGGGGGTGATGCATGTGATTACTGAGGGCGGAAAACAATGGCCCCTTCTACACAGGGTCAAATACCTCACTGAAGGACTGAATCTTACTGCCCTGGATTTCAACAAGGTTTTGCTGGAAGTTACACCTGGATACAAAGCTTCCACAGAAGACCAAAAGATTGCATCCCCTGAAATGCGAGAATGGTTTACTTTCAAGTTGCAGACACTAGACAGAGAATACCAGACAGAGCGTCAGATGTTTATTCCTCATCAGCTTGAGATAACGACACCACTCCTAGAACAGCAGATAATTCAAATGGACCGCACACAGAACAATATGCAGGGAATGTGGACTGCTGGTAAGTCACCAGTGCTTACTTTGCGGCTTATTCTCACTGTAGTACACAGCTACTACAAAGAATTAGACAATTGTACATGTAGCACAAGCAGTTTATGAATCCAGTGCTACTCTTATACAAATGAGCTGCCATATAGTTTTATTTCTCATCAGGCACGATACCTGTCTCCAGCTGATTCCAAACGAGTTCGTGTTGTAAAGGCATAGTCACAACTTACCTCATTGTTCAACACTGAACTCAGGACCATGACTATGAGCACTGTATCCTCCTCAAACAGCCAGCGAAGCTGAAAAGACTGACACTAGTGTTGTATGGATTTTGGCAAGTGGCACAGACCCACATGTGCTGATATGAGCTGAGGACTTCTCAGAGCGAGCAACTATGATGCTTGTTCCTGTGTATCATATATCTAGCTGGGAAATCAACCTATAACTTGTCTCAGCATGTTCTGACTCCCTTTAGAGAATTAATTAATAGGAGCCCCAGTGGGGGCTCGATGCCTGCCCAATTGCAGGTATCGTATGTGGAGCGGTTAGGAGGTGTTTGGTGGTGCGTGCAAGCTCTTTGGCATTTGCGCGCTATCATGCGAGGGACCTGAACAATACTTTCCACCTGTACATGACACCGAACCGTGACATGTTCTAAGGACCAGCCGCACCCACAGCAGTAACACTAGTGATCTCACCACGTCCCACTGCCCAGCACAAAGGGCATCATGCAAGCTAAGCCCATTGCGAAATGCAATGATCTTTGGTCCAAACACGCTGTGGAGGAAGATTCAGCATATAGATCAGAGCTAGACGGTTGAGGAAGGAACAGCCGATAGCAAACTTGTGTACTATACTTATAGCTCTAGTAGCTCCTTGAACAGGTAATGAAACTCTTACTCGACCACTTGTACCTGGGCTCTTCGCAAACGTAACTTGATAGCTCAGAGACAAAACTGCAAGAGACAAATCTTAGCATAGAGGGGGGAAGAAAGGAGTTTGTCCATGATTAATCTGTGCGCGGCATGTTACATGTTACTGTGCATGCCTTCCCGCTGTCATCCTCTCGACCGGGAGCTAGATCATCTGAAACTAAGGTACTGGGTTCAAAGAAGGAGGTGAAGAAGGGGAGTGACTTGCGACGAGGTCCATGTGAAGGGAAAATAGAAAGAAGATTGCGCCATCAGGTTTACTTAAGCTTGTCTGTCTATGAGGAAGAAAAAATTGTGATGGCTTCTCGGTGGTGGCACCCGTTTTGACAAGCAATGCCTTGGCGCACTCAACGACGAAGGGTTCTGCCTATTTTTCTGCAAATATCTGCTGCCCTCAGATCACGGGTACCTAAGTGTCCTTGTCGAGGTGCTGCCCATGTCCTGTGTTTCAGGGGCATCGTCGATAACCACTGCAAGCTGTACATGGCGCAAAGAAGAAGAGAAAGAGGGGAAAAAAGAAGAGGGGAGAAGCAAACAATGAGATGACACAAACGAGCGTAGCCAGGAAGGTCGTTTATCTGTGATCCATCTCTGCTTCCATCGCGAACATCAGGGAGGCAGTCTATGCCCGTGCAAGTAGTTACCGGTCACCCTCTGAGGTCACATCTGCTGTAAGTTCTCATGCTCATAGTGATGTGGTCATACTGACTTTTAGCCTCGCTGTAGCTTTAGATTTGACAATTTCATGTTGTCCAACACAATATTAATCACCCATTCTGGGTCATGAAAGCTCCCTGAGCACAAAAGTTTCAGTTCGGCAGCCCAGACACGGGAACTTATTAAGTTACACCAGACTAGCCACCCAGAAGCGCCCAAGAGCAGCTAAGACATGCTGAAGAATTAAGGCTCCAACCATTTTGTTTGTTTACTGTGTATAAACATTTATTACTGTTTACCGTTTCCGTGTGTGTAAATGAAGTCATGTAAACTTGGTGTAAACGTTTATACACAGTAAATATACAGTTTCCTCTTATTGTTTGTAAAAAGTCATGGTGTTGTACATTCATAGTCTTGCCAACATACTTGACCTTTATTGGGCTGAAGAGTGCATCACACCACCTGTGCATTGTCCTTGGGCGGCCTCTTTGAACTTCTAAGCCCGGTGCACTGTATCAAGCGCCTATGTGCTGAGACTTACTGGGGGTAATGGTAGTCATGATCGTAACTTGTGTTGAGCACAGTCTGAAGGCAAGCATTATAAATATAATATAATGTGTATTTATTGACTGCTCCTCTACATACAGTCTACTGTGGGCACTGGCAGCCTGCCTGTGAGAGTGCAGTATGCAGGAATGTCGTGAGCCCATACTTCATTCAAGAGGAACAATATTAATATTAGTTCAACCTCATTGAGCAATGACAGTACCACATGCAATACTGAGGCAGATTGACTCTAAAAAAGGGCTATCAGAGGTCCGCACCCATGCGGCAGTCTTTTCTAGGCCAGCTCTCAAAGTCTTAGCATGAGAGTATGTCGTGCCACCCCCGAAGTGCCAGGCTAACACTCGCATAGGTTATCGGTCCACTTCTCAACAACGAAGTCAATGATAGAACATGCCAACCTTCTAAAGGCAGAACTGCAAGCTTCTTACAAGCCCCATAGACACCTTCGTAGGTCTTACCCTCGCAGTACAGTGCTGCCTGGCAATACCACTCCTGCAGCTTGTGATTGCCAGTGTCTGTCCTCCCACAACCTCCAGTGGCCGATCGAGACTATTCATGCACCTGCAATCTGCATACCACGCGTAGAGGACACCAGTGGGCCATAGGGAAGACTATAGCACGATGCTTAAGGTATAGAGTGTTCAGATGCGTCTGATGGCCGGTCCGTGCTCGGGATGTGACACATGCAATGCTCCTTCCCTGTACGCATGAGTAGGTGCACTATCTATACACATCTGAGTTGGGCCTAGTGTTTGGGACATCAATATTGTAAGTAGAAAGCTGTGGCCTCGCTTTTCTCTCGTGCATCAAGCAAGCACCTTGTGTTGCTCGAGCACTGACATTTGTACCTCTCTTTTCAGGCTGAAGTAGAGCAGTATGCTCACACAGGTTTCTCAGAGGCTAATCTGGCGCAATTCACTAGAGTAGGTTAGATCCCTATAATAACTGTTTGTTTACTGTTTATAAACTGTATATAAATGTTTACAACCGTTTACTGTGTGTTTACAAAAAAGTTTACATGTAAACTAAATGGTTGGAGCTTTATGAAGAATTTCCGAAAAGCCCAAAAAATGGCACAAGCAGGAATTGAACCTGCAGCCCAAAAGTAACCGCAGTGTGCTATACCACTAAGGCATAAGACCTTGCAAATATAAGGTTGAAATTGCCCTATAGTACTACTTTTCTACCTCAAAGTCTTAGCTGTAATATTGTAGCCAATTATCAGGTATTAAAGCATTGGAATGTAATTGTACAAAGGTATATTCTAGTGGCATGGCTAAGACATTGAGCCATTAAATATTTGCTATTGATTCTGCTTATTGTACAAATGTATATCCTGATGGCGTGGCTAAGACACTAGTGTGGCTAAAACACCAGAGCAGATGAACTATACTCAAGTGGAATCAATAGCAAATATTTAATGTTCCAATGTCTTAGCCACACTGGTGTCTTAGCCATGCCATCAGGATATACATTTGTACAATAAGCAGAATCAATAGCAAATATTTAATGACTCAATGTCTTAGCCATGCCATTAGAATATACCTTTGTACAATTACATTCCAATGCTTTAATACCTGATAATTGGCTACAATATTACAGCTAAGACTTTGAGGTAGAAAAGTGGTACTATAGGGCAATTTCAACCTTATATTTGCAAGGTCTTATGCCTTAGTGGTATAGCACGCTGCGGTTACTTTTGGGCTGCAGGTTCAATTCCTGCTTGTGCCATTTTTTGGGCTTTTTGGAAATTCTTCAGCATGTCTTAGCCGCTCTTGGGCACTTCTGGGTGGCTAGTCCGGTGTAACTTAATAAGTTCCCGTGTCTGGGCTGCCGAACTGAATCAGCTCCTGAGCAACAGGAACTCCCGCTAGCAATGCAATACATGCATGTGTGTGTATTCCAAATGTTACAGATTTTTGTGACAAGCATATATGACATGGGGGACTAATTGATGTCCCAGCTAGCGTGCTGCTTTTTGTTGCCGTTACGATTGTGGTTCCATCTGTCATTACTTATAGGAGCCATTAACTCCAATCGTGTCTCTGACACGAACGTTACCCCTTCTAACACTCATCAAGCTCAGAATTCCTTCTAGCACCCCCATGGTCAAAATGTCTAGGATGTCTGGATTTACCTTCATGCAGCGTAGGTGGATAGCGGGGCATAAGCAGTGGCAAGATTTCGCGAGTTACTGGCACAGTCAAGACATAGAAAGCACTACACGTGAAGATGTTATATATCTACGCCTGGCCGACGACCTGCCCAGCCACAGATGTCCAGTCCTTATACTGGAGCCATACTGGAGGTTCCTCCATCAGCTCCTGGAATATCAACAGGTGCAACCTCATAGAGGGGTGTTGTTGACAGGGCAGCCTGGGACAGGTTGGTCTACCTCCTCTTCTGCTGGCGGTGCTGACTGAGCTGTCCTTAGGCAAAACCATGTGGCTGTGGTTCCTCCTTGTTGCCTTGCTTGCAAAGAGTGAAGATGCTATCCTATATACCAAATAACAGTATCGTTTGTTCCATGGCAAGCAAGCATATTTGAGCCAAGTGCCCCTGGATATACCAAGGAGTTCTGATACCAAGCGGCCGCTATGATGCCTCATTGATTCTGACACCAAGCTCGGTTCTCCTCCTGGGTTACTCGTCAGTCATGGCAGCGCTCGTTCCCCTGTGCAAGCTAGCTCAATGAATGCTGGCCAGCATTGAGCTTGGATCAAACAATGCGAAACAGTAGTTTGGGATATGGCCAGTATGCCCTTGTGGAATCTTCAAGCAGGGTCCGTCTCTTCTGACGTTTCTCATGTGTCCTTTACTAACTGGCTCGTGCTATCAGAATGTGTTTAGAGCCAATTCGGCCTTGAAGCAAGCTTGGGAGCTGTCTCAGAAACACACATTCCCAGAAGGCCTGTCTACTCGTGATCGTGCGGTGATCATACTCAAGGAATTGTTGCATCCCCGCACGCAATGCTATGGCGAAGCTCCTCCCAATGTCTACGCCGCCATTATTTATCAATCAAACACTGATATTGAAATCCAGAACGCGCTAACAGGGTTGTCACTGAATGCCTTTGCGACGGCTATGAAAATGGTGGCGACTTCCGACTTGGGATCGCACACCAGTACCACGGATTGTTCATACGTGCTAGTATCATTTGCTGTTCACTCCAACCCATCGCCCAGTACTAACGATCTCTTCAGCGTCTTCAAGGGAAACCATCAAGCATTACTGACTGGAGCCTGGATTTTCGAGGGCCTCATTCACAGCATTCTATGCGGCCAGAGCTCCTCCATCAACCTTTGCGGTCCTCTGCTCACCATGAAGAAGAAGGAAAGTGACACAGCTCCCAGATTCATCACTCAACAGAATGATGACGCAAATGTGACCCGGCACCTGCCTCTTTGTTGCAGGTCATTCACGATTGTCAATCTTCACGAAGTCACGTTTGCGTACACGCTTGCGCGCAACATCAAGGACCAGTTCTGTGTACTTGGGATTGTGAACAACCTGCTCTTTGGCTCATTTTTTGTAGAGCTGAAGGTGGATTTGGCCAGGGCCGTTGTGTGGATTTTCTGAATAGCGACTGCTGAGGACCACGGAGGCTTACACTGTGGATACCCGCCAATTAGGGCTATTCGAGAGGTTGCAGCTACTTGTGCACGCGCTCCATCCTTGAGTGTCAAGTTGCATTACGTCCTCGTTTGCCCCAGACCTGAACGGAAGGCGTTTTGGAGAATGCCTGAAGGATGGCAAAACTACGAAGGAGACGTCTTCTGCCAGTTCATTAATTTTTCGGTATGTTCTCATGAGTGCCAATGTTGTCATACGAGAGCTGATGGTTATTGCCAGTCTATCTGCAATTTATAATGGCTTTCTACGTGCACCTGTATATTGTACTGTTATCTCATGTTTCTCTACCGCCTTGTCTAATCCAATTGCCCAACGGATGCTAGCATTTAGGCCCTCGCTGTCAACAGTTAGAATCGCTAGCATCAGGAGAAGCAGTTGTAAAAAGGTCTGGCGAGACACACGACTGCATTGCCAGTAGTCGCATTGCTGCCTAGGGGTAAGGCAGGATAGGACCCGACCGCCCCCAGCTCGGCGCGCTGTCACCGCCACCCTAGGGAGCTCTTTGCCACTCTGTTACGCCTTTTTCGATGTTTGTCCAATACTTGAGGTCAGAATCTCCTCGTGAGAATGGCGGAGGCAACTCGCAGCGCTAGGAATCTGCAAGACATGCAACGGAGTAGACACGGCTGCAGTCAGATTCAGGTACATGATTCTCGCACGCTGGCGAATATCTGTACACAAACGCGAGCAAGTGCGACCAGGTATGCTGTGTTCTGAAGTATGCAATTGTCAGCATTTGAACCAGCTCTATCAGGAATGCGCTACCAATATCTCCCTACCATCACTAGTCCCGGGCTGTCGCGAGACCAGCATGCACAACCGCACTTCAAGTCGGTTGGGCGAGAGCTACAGAGGAGGCAAGTCCAGCTTGGAGAGACGATGCCTTGAGCGCCTTTGGTGCAGACAACTGCGGCAAGAGGTTTGAAACCATTTTCCGCAGTTCAACATGCGCAAGGTAATGGAGGATATACCGAAGAACAAGAGTCCAAGCTCCAAGTGTTATGAAAAGAACTGCACAGGCAAGGGGTTGACAAATAATCAAAGATTAATCCCTAGAATACTATATTGCGTTCTTTTGTAGGGTTGCTGACTCACTCCGCCAATACAATGCCAGTTAGTAAGCTGAGATTGGGAGGAGGAAAAAATAATAGCGGGCGAAGTGACGAACACATGAGCTGAGAGCGCCAAGCGCAGGCGGCGCGGCTGATGCGCATCCGGCGGATCATTGAGCAGGCGCCTCGGGCACAACACGAGCTTCAAGTTAGGTTCTCGCCAACACCGAGCGTGCAATCAAGTTCCACAAGGACGTGCTGCATGTTCTGCTGAGATTTCTCTCCTCATTGAGTCGTCGCCATGACATTTATCGTCCATCTAAAGTGTTCACACCAAGACGTGGGTGACATGAGGAAACTCCGCGCCTGCTCCGCCGACATCGAAGCACGCGAGGCCAAGGCGGTCTCTATACCACGAAACTCTAACACGCAGGGAGGGAACGGCTTCCCTTCCGGCGCGTATGCCCACAATCGCCAGCACACGAAATCGTTCCCTTCAGCGTTATGGAAGCCTGCCTACACCGTCCGTGACACGTACCATAGTCAACGATGTCGCCTGTTGACGCTGCCCTTGATGTCGCCTCTCCTATCCTCGAGCTAGTTGAGGATGCCCTAGGGCTTGCCCCCGTGCCGGGCCTACCCCTCATAGCAAAGGGACTCAACCTCCTAGTCGAGAGAGTCAAAGTGTGTATATTCCGCTCGTCCGATGGATAGCATTCGGTAACATTGCCTCTTTGTTTGTAGGTCACTCGCGAGAATAAGGAGGCGCGTGGTGCATTCCTTGATCAAGCAGACGAGCTCAAGACTGTCATCAACACGACGGCAGCGAAGGTGAATGTAGTAGTCGCTGGATACGACGGCGATGTGCAAGACAAGAAAGACCTATTGGACAAGATCAAGCACTCCGATGACCTGCAGAAGCGTATCAGGAATTTGCAAAGGTGCGATAAGGGTCTAGGACATCCAACTGCTGTCAGAGGCGAAACTAAAACCAGGCCAGTGCAATTGACGATCTTCAAGGACGCGCGGGAGAGCTGAAGGGCGGGAAAGGATTTCGCGGATTCCTGAAAGAAGCCGTCTACGGGTCTCGCAACCAAGCTATCCTTTCGAGCATGAAGGAAGATATAGCGAGAGCAATGTCCCTTTTTATGGTGTGTCGACCTCGTTGATTTTTAATGTGCGCCTTGACATAGTATGCATCTTTACCCCAGCTCAGCGGGTCGGTCTCCATTGAAAATATTCTTGACAAAGTTGCGCAGGATACGAAGGTTTGTACAATACAGTTGTCTTGGACAGCCCGTCTGTAACATCACTATGCAGCAAATCCAACAACAATTACAGGAAGCTCAACGTCAGCTACAGGAAAATCAGCGTCAGCTACAGGAAGCTGGTAAGCCTATTCGCGTTTTTTAGGCACAATTCGATGCAGACACTGACCACCGCTCTTGAAGAGGATCGAAAGATTGTCGACTCTATTCCTTGGGCGGACGCAGGCTATCGGTCAGTGAATGAGCTCAAGAGCGGATACATGCAAGGCACCCGGAAGGAGCTGTTCGCAGAGCTAGAGCAGTGGTCAATTGGTCGATTCCCTGAGGACGAGCCCAAACGAGTTTGTTACCTCACTGGCGGGGCAGGCCTAGGAAAGTCGTCGATTTCCCACCAACTCTGTGTCCGCCAAGACGTAGCGGATCATCTTTCGCTCAGACTTGGCGCTTCATTCTTCTTTGTCCGTGGTGGCGGAGACCTCGAGGACGTTCGCCTCGTCTTTTCGACCCTTGCACGTCAGCTCGCGGTGTCTCAGTCGACCCTTCGCCCTCACATCATCAGCGCCGCGCGGGAATACCTCGATCATGGCGGTCGGCAGCAGATGCAGCACACGTTCGATGGGCTCCTTCGGAAGGCCCTGACTGCTGCCCCCGCGGACCAAGCACCGACACTGATCGTCATCGACGGGATAGACGAGTGCAAGGACAGGAAATTGGTTCCTGAAATGCTTCGATCCTTGTTCAATCTTGTCCGCGAGTTCTCCTGGCTATACATCTTCGTTGCGTCACGACTAGAACCTCATATCCAATCGGTGCTTATAGACCGCAACGAGGCCGGTGATATTCACTGTATGCAGCTAGAAGATACGGCGAACAGCAAAGGAGATGTCGGGCATTATCTCAGGGAGACAGTGCCAAAGATACCCTCCTATGCCGCCTTCCTCGACAAGCACCCCGATGCCCTAGAACGCCTCGTTGGCCGTGCCGCTGGCGTGTTCATCTTCGCTCGCATCACCGTGAACTTCTTGGACCAACACCAAAATCGTCCGGAGGAATGGATCGAACTTGTTCTCTCCAGCGGAGTTCCGGTAACGTCACCCCTCGACGCGCTGTATCTGCAGATCCTGCGGTCCGCATTTCCTCCGGAAGACTTGCACGCTTCACCTGCAGAACGCGAACGTCTCCTTTCGCTCTTGCGTTTCGTGGTGCTGGAAGATGACTGGACAAACCCTGAGACCGTTGCGTTTTACGAACGTGATCTGTCAGCCGACGACGTCTTCTACATGGTGGACCGCCTGCGCTCCGTTTTGATGATTGACGAGCGCGGGCGTATGGTGCCCCTCCACGCCTCGTTCGGCGAGTTCCTTCTTGATGAGCGTCGCTGCAATGATGCGCTCTACCACGTGGACAGTGCTGAAGGGCATGCTCACCTTGCATGCGCTTGTCTAGCAGCCATGTCCTTTCAGAATCGCACATATCATCTGCAGGAACCGGACTTGCCGCCCCAGCTCGAACGTGTCAACTTTAATATAATGGTAACTGGCTGGTGGGAGCATGTTTGGCGCGCCAAATGTATCGCGGAGCTGGAGGAGCAGCTATCTCAGTTCGTGCAAGATATCAGACTGCCCATGCATATGTGGATTATCAGGGAGTTTGATTCTGAAAGCTCTTACAATAATGCCTTCTCTATGCGGTGGATGTGGGGTCATCTGGAGGTGGGTAATTAGTTACAGCTGCTTGTGTGCCGCATATATCTGAATGTTTATTTGTTATTATGATGCAGCCTTCTGGAGCAAGAACTGTGATATGCTCCGAGTTCCTCAAGTTTGGTATTTATAGCAAACTATGGCAACATGGCATCCTCACATCTCCAAGTCGCGCCCCACCACAAATTACCTCGGACGATATATCTCGAGCAGTACGAAGGCTTCCTGATGAATACCAAGAGTTCCTTCCTGACCTGGACCTCACTGTCGACAACAGCCGCTTGGTACGGTATCAGGCCATCATGGCAGATCTGATGAAACAGATAAACCGAGATGAAGCGACCTGGATGCTGTGGGACATACATTACTCGTCGCGCCGGGAGCAAGCTTGTTTAGCAGGTCAGGACCCCGACGGCTCCGAACCCAGTACACCTCTCGATAGCCCGACTGCCACCACCTTATCGTCTTCATCCATGGTCTCCGCCGCACCAGAGATACTTCTCACACTTGACCCAGAGGGCAACACCGTCCTTCCTACCGATAATGGCGGCACGGCGCCCGATGCGGCCAATAATATCCCGTCGCCGGCCCTCGATTCTCCCAGCGGTGGATTTGTTCGTCACCCTGCGACCTTACATATAGCGGCCTCTGGTATCCATACCAGCCCAGCACCCGCTCCTGCAGATGGCCAAGTGTTCTCCACATTCCTACTACCCACTCCGAGCTCTGCCAACGAAGATCCCACTGCGCCTAGCGCTCAGGCGTCGGGAGAAGGTGAAGAGACTTATTAACCATGTGCACGTCTTGTCGTACACACTTATATATCTTTCTATTGCTATTGCTTGTTATGGTCGTGTAGAAAGACATGTTGGAGTACTCCAGAGATTTGTGGACTACTGGTATGATCCAGCACGATACGTGTTATCGTGGGCGGTACGTGAAATACATGGACCCGGCCGTGTGGGGAACGGCTTCTGCACGCCAGAAGACGAGCGGGAAGCCTTCGCGAACGACTCGCCAGCCTAGACAAACGAAGACATCATCCCCTCGAAGCTCGGACCCGGGCAGGGGGATGACGTGGGGGAATGGACGAGCAAAGAAACAGAGACTGAACACAGAGACCGGTGCTTGATCGCGGCAGCTTTGTAAGGGCCACATCCCACCATCCTGGGCCCGTAGTGGCTGATCCCGGAGCACTTAGCGAAAATACCTGCAGGCGGCTTCAGCTCTGACGACGTCCAGGTCGGCGCGGAGAACCAGGCGTCCACCAATCCGTACTTACCGCATGAGCGCGAAGCGTCTCGAGCAAGTCTGAGTGCTGCCTGGGCGAAAGTTCTCCTTACCCAGCGCCGCCGTTCGCTGAGACGATAATTACCTAGATAAGCTCCGAGACATTCTCCACTGGTCCCTTGCCGACGCCGTTAGGCAGCGTTAGGTAGCTCAGAGCAGAGTGACGCCATAGAAGTGTCGCAGAGCCTATCCAGCATCCGTCTTCATGAATTGTCTCATGTACCCGCCTTGCGAGAGCCAATGAGCCGGTGGCGGGCGGACTGGTAGACGGAGAGGACGCTAGTAAGAGCAATAATCAATTTACGACGGCGAGTGACCGCTGTATCAATCAGTAGTACAAACTTAGGCCCTGTTCAGTAACACCTGAGTTTTGAAACTCGCCGAGTTTCTGAACTCGCGTGACTTTCGGTGCTGTCGGCCCAGTCACCGCACTGCCACCCGCACATGTAATTACGCTTACGCAATACAACAACCATTGTCTGTGGACAAGCCACTGCTGTATCCCTTCGACACTGGTCATGGCGAGCTAGGACTGTCCTTCTGGCTCCTGCTGAGCAACAGAGGAAGCATAGAGTGCTGGCTTCGAAGCTTTCCACTGCTTGCCTTTACTGCTGTTATTCCCAGGCTAGTCAGTACTTCATTGTGGCAGTATTACTTCAAAGAGTGCTTCCACATCCTTCCCTTTGCCCTTCACCAGTAGCAGAGCAATGGCTTCCACAGCTTCCTGCAGGGTAACCGCCTTCCAACAGTCACCATCACTAGTTTTGGCACGATGAACAATGAGAAAGTCAAGGGAGGCAAGCTCCTCAGCAAATACCCATTGAGAACATTTTGTAGGCCCCCGGAAGCTGAATGAGGGGTAGTAGCAGCAATTCTGCGGGTCATATAAAGAGGAATAGTGCGACGAAAGTGCTGTCGCCCAATTGCGCGACGCAGCAAGGCAGAGGCTTCACGGTTGTCACATAAAGTCACGAAACGGTCACGTTAAAGTCACGTAAGCGCTTGAGTCTGAGTTCATCAACTCGCGCGAGTTTGGAAACTCGGGTGTTACTGAACAGGGCCTTAGTGTGCTTAATTTCTCGTAGTCCTGATATTGCGGATGCGCCAACTTGACTCACTATCTTCTGGACTCAATGCAGCTGAGTATTCAACATTTGTCTATAAAATTTCCCACTTCTGATCGCAAGAAGATTTTATGGCGATAGTGGAGCTAACGTTCAACGTTCAGCTGCTAACAGGCGCGTGCATTCAAGTTCTGCAATGACGCGCGCGCTGCACGTTCTACTCATGAGGTTACTTTCCCATGAAGCCGTCCTGATGACACATATCGTTGTCTGTCCAAATCATTCACAATCAAGCATGCATAGCATACGGGAATACCTGACCGGCGCACCGTCTTGCCTGATCGGCATCAGACGAAGCATGCCAGAAAGGCACACGAGACGAAGTGCGGCTTTTGTATCATTAAACTCTAACGCACAGCGTGCAAGTACGCAAAGAGACTTATAGCTGCCTCCTGCGCTCTAGACATCTGCTGCTCATATTATTCGCAACATATTTGCCACTACCAACCATGCCGCCCCACAAAGCTATCGACGTCGTTCTCGACGCTGTTCCTCCGATCCTCGAGCTAGTTGGTGATGCCCTAGAAGCTGTCTCCGTGCCTGGTCTGCCTCTGATCGCGAAAGGGCTCAATCTTCTAATCGAGAGAGTCATAGTGCGTAGACCTTAATCACTGTATTCGATGAAAAACGCTCAATAACACTCCCTTGCTTATAGGTCATCCGCAAAAATAAGGAGGCACGTAATGCCTTCCTTGCTCAGACCAATGAACTCAAGATTGTCATCAACACGACGGCGGTAAAGGTGAATGCCATAGTTGCTGGGTACGATGGCGATGCGCAAGATAAGGAAGAGTTGAAAGAAAAGATCAAGCACTCTGATGACCTGCAGAAGCGGATAAGAGATCTGCAAAGGTGCGTTGAGTGCCTGATTACCGTTGGCTACGACGCCAATGCCAAGTCAGCACGATCGACGACCTCCGGGGACGCGCAGGAGAGTTGAAGGGTGGGAAAGGATTCCGTGGATCCATTAAAGGGTTCGTCTATGGTTCTTGGAACCAGGCGATCCTATCGGACATGAAGGATGAGATGAAAAGAGCACTAGAACGATTCAAGGTACGCCGACTCTATCGACTATTAATGTGCGCTTTGACCCATACTTGCTTGCTCCAGCTAGCTGGCTCGATTTCCATTGAGAGCATTGTTGACAGTGTTGCACAAACAACGAAGGTGCGTACGATGCAGCCATATCAGATAGTTTGCACGTGACATCGTAATATAGCGGATTCAACGCCAATTACGTGAAGCTGGTAAGTCTATCAGCGCGCTCTTAGTGCATTATTCAGCGCAGAGACTGACTGCCGCTTCTGAAGAGGACCAGAAGATTATAGACTCCATCCCTCGAGCAGACGCAGGCTATCGGTCGGTAGACGAACTCAAGAGTGGGTTTATGCAAGGCACTCGTAAGGAGCTATTCGTAGAGCTGGAGCAGTGGTCGACTGGTAGATTCCCCGAGGACAAGCCTAAGCGATTTTACTACCTCGGCGGCGGAGCGGGCCTAGGGAAGTCGTCGATTGCCCACCAGCTCTGTGTCCGCTACGGTACAGCAGAACATCTCTCACTCAGACTCGGCGCATCGTACTTCTTCGTCCGTGGACGCGGAGACCTCGAGGATGCTCGCCTCGTCTTTTCGACGCTCGCACGCCAGCTCGCGGTGTCTCAGCCGACCCTTCGCCCTCACATCATTAGCGCTGCACGGGAATACCTCAACCACGGCGACCGGCAGCAGATGCAGCATGCATTTGAGGGACTCCTACGGAAGGCTCTCACCGCCGCTTCCGCGGACCAGGTGCCGATATTGCTCGTCATCGACGGGGTAGACGAGTGCAAGGACAGAAATCTTGTCCCTAGCTTGCTTCAGTCCCTGCTTGCGCTAGTCCGCGAGCTACCTTGGCTGTACGTCTTCGTCGCATCACGGCCAGAGCCTCACATCCTGTCGGTTGTCGCGCCTTCCGGCTCGGCCGACATCGTTCACCATATGCGACTAGAAGACACACTGGAGGACTGGGGCGATGACGTAAAGTTTTACCTCGAAGAGACGGTTCCGAAGATCCCCACCTACGGCGATTTCCTCGACAAACACCCTGGCTCCCTTGAACGGCTCATCCGCCGTGCGGCAGGCGTGTTCATCTTCGCCCGCATCGTGGTAAATTTCTTGGATATGCACCGGAATCATCCAGAGGAGTGGTTCGAGCTTGTTCTCTCAGGCGGAGGTCCAGCAATGTCACCCCTCGACGCGTTGTATCTGCAGATCCTGCGGTCCGCATTTCCCCCCGAAGACTTGCGCGCCTCACCTCCTGAACATAAGCGCCTCCTTTCGTTCCTGCGCTTCGTGGTGTTGGAGTCTCACCGGGTAAATCCTGAAACCATTGCGTTTTACGAACGCGATCTGTCCTTTGACGATGTCTTCTACATTGCGGACCGCCTGCGCTCTGTGCTGATGATCGACAAGGCCGGAGATTTGGTGCCCCTTCACGCCTCGTTCGGCGAGTTCCTTGTCGATGAGCATCGGTGCAGTGATGCGCTTTACCGCGTGGACAAGTCTGAAGGGCATGCTCACCTTGCATGTGCTTGTTTAGCAGCCATGTCCTTTGAGAATCGTACATATTACCTGCAAGACGCGCCGCCCCAGCATACCCGCGTCAACTTCGGTGTAATGGTGGACAGCTGGTGGAAACATGTTAAGCAAGCCAAATATACCGTGGAGTTGGAGGAGCAGCTATCTGGGTTCGTGCAAGATACTCGACTGGTCTTGCATATGTGGATCTACACAGAATTTCGTCCTGAATTCAACAACTATTCTGTACGGTATATATGGGACTGTCTCCAGGTGGGTAATTAGACTTATGTGCCGCATATTTCTGTTACGTGTCCATCGTATATTAGCTAATGGTTTATGGTGCAGCCTTCTGGAGCCAGGAAAGTGATATGCTCAGAGTTCCTCAAGTTCGGTATTTATATCAAATTATGGCAGCTCGGCGTGCTCACGTCTCCAAGTCGTACTCCGCCAGAGATCATCTCAGACGACATATCTCAGGCCATTCAAAGGCTTCCCCATAATCATCAAGAACTGCTTCCTGGCCTGGACCTCGCTGTCGACAACAGCCGCTTGACACAATATCAGGCCATCATGGCGAATTTCATGACACAGATAAATCGAGATGAAGCGACCAAGGAGCTGTGGTGCAAGGATTTCTATGTGAACGAGGAGCATACTTGTTTGATAGGCCAGGACTCCAATCGCTCTCAGCCCAGCGCATCTCTCCCTGTCACCACCTCGTCGTCTTCATCCACCACCTCTGTCACACAGGAAATGATTTCCGCACTTATCCCAGACGGCAGTACCGTCCTTTCTTCCGGTAACGGCGGCTTGGCATCCGATGCGGCTGATACTGGTAACATCCCGTTGCCAATCGATCCTCCTGGCGGTGGACTCCTCGGTTGACCTGCGACCACATATATGACTGCGTCTGGCGTTCACACCGGGCCAGTACCCGCATCCGCAGATGGCAGGATGCCCTCCACTTTCCCACTACGCACTTCAAGCTCTGCTAATGAAGGGCCCACGGTACCTAATCCGAGGGTCGGGAGTTATTAGCCCGTATACTCTTCCTTATCACTCACATTTCTCCGTCTTTCTCCTGTCATAGCCGCATAGAAAGATATTACTCCAGAGATCCATGGACTACTATCTAGTACGAAACATGTTTTATGTATGGCGCGCGAAATAAATGAGCCTGCGCTGTAAGAAGAGAGGAAGAAGTCGGATGAAGACGGTGACGGAGAGACGCCTGCTCATCGTCGCCTGACATGAGGCTCTTCGTCGCTCAGCACCTGTTTCCGCACGTCCTTCGACTTCGGCGGCGGTCGCTCGTCCTCTTCCATCGGTGTCAGCGTAGTCATACGCCCTAGATCCAGCGGCAGCGGCAGCAAGCGCACTGGCATGCAGGACGTCGCTGTTAACAACGGCGCGGATGAACGTCGTATTACTTTCTCCCTCATCGTTGTACACCCAAAATTCCTCCTGTTTGTACGGTCGAGCGTCATTAATCATCAAGTGCCAATCTTCTCGGAAGTCGAGGACATAATTGTAGCGATGTGTTTTTGAAAGGTGGGCGTCGTGCTTGGCTTCTTTATGATCTCGCACTAGTTAGAGTAGAGCTGCAAGAGATATCAGACTATACAAACGGACAGACAGCAGCGACGAATACCAACAGCGAACGATGCGTGAGAATAGACGCCGTGAACCGGGCTTTCATGTATGCGCACACCACTATATATAGCGGAGTGAATGGTACAAACCGTAACGCATAACGCACCTCCTCACCAGTTTGTAATTTTCGTCTTGTTGTCACGCTTTATGGCCTATCGCGGGTCTGAAGGGAGCCCAAAATGGTCAGTCTAGGCAGTATGTCATTCGTCTGGCGTTCTAAACACATCTGTGCTTTCAGTAGGGGCTATAATTGCAGATAGGACAACCAGAAGCACCTAATTGGCCAATATTTGGCCCTAAAAACTGACATGTCACGCATGATTTGGGACCAGTTTGTAGTACGAAGGGCACGTCTACCTGTCACGTCTCACTGATCGGTTGGTACCGTCCACTCCGCTACAGTACAGCGAATGTAATATATGACAGCGCGTAAATTCCCCACTAAAGATACAACAAGATGGATGGGTATCGAGTGAATGCGAGTTGAGTGTCTAGCGAGAGTGAAGAGGTGAAACGTCAGAATTCTCCGCCGGCTACATGAACTTCTCCTTGTATATCCATGCAAGCCCTATGTCGCTTGCTCCTTGAGCGACCTGTGGATAGTGGTCAGCGAAGCTGACGATTACAGACAAGGCAAAAAGCTTACAGCAGCACGGTACCACTTTGCCGCCTCTTTCCGATCTTTTTTGCAGCCTTTGCCGTTAGCGAGGCAGAATGCGAGTTCTTGCTGAGCATCCGGGTCACCGAGTTCCGATGCGAGGCGAAAGTAGCTCTGGACAACAATGAGCACTGAGCAAGGCATAGAGACCAGGTTACTCACGACAGCCATTTTCTTGTCCTTGTTGACGCCCCAGCCTCGGAAGAAACTCTGGCCGACTTCGTAGATAGCGAGCACCATCTCGGACTGCATCATAGTTTAGAAGACGTGCGACAAGGAATGTACGTAACTTGCCTTGACTGCCTTCTTATTAATCCCCGCTGCTCTCTCCGCCTCCAGATCGCTCAACGCCACCTCAGCCGCCTTCTGCAGCCACTTAAACCCCCTCGATTCGCTCTGCGCACATCCCCAGCCGTGCCGTTGCGCCAGGCCCCACATGAGCATGCCCATCCCGCATCCGCCCCCGATAGTCGCACTCTTCTCGAAGCACACGGCAGACTCTGCCAGCTTGTTCGCGAGGTGATGCTGAATCCCGAGCTGCAGGTAGTCTTGTGCCGTCTGCGGGTTCTTCAGAGGATCTTCTGGGAGCGCAGCGTCACGCGCAGGGGAAGGGTTTCGCGAGGAGCTTGGCGAATACACAGCGATCTTTGGACTCGGCAAGGGGGAAAGGTGTGTCTGGCTTCCTGGTGATGGCAGAGGTGCCTCGTACGGATAATAAGAATAGGACGAGTAGAGGCTACCTTGTGGCGAGGGCGCACGCGCACCGGACGGCAGTGGTAGATGCTGTGCTGGTGTAGGGGGCAGGGGTTGTTGTGGCGGCGGCCGCGGCGGCTCGTGCAGGGATGTCGAGGAATGCGAGTGTGCATTGCGCATTAATACCTGTCGCTTTTGCTGCTCGGACGGTCGAGGTGGCGGCACAGGGAGCGAGAAGTTGGAGTGCCCCGGGGGTAGCTTGGAGGGCATCCGTCCGGGGCGCGAAGGAGGTGGCTCGGGCGTTGAGATAAGCACGGACGGGACACGATCGCCGGAGTGGGAGCCTCGTTTATCGTCAGCATAGCTTGCAGTGATCTCGTCAAAGCTGTATTGCGAGGCTACGGATACGCCTCGGCTGTCTTGCGAGAATTGGGGATGTCTGTCCATCTCGTTGTAGCTGTGCTGCGAAGCCATCGAGACTCCTCTTGTATCCCTAGACAAAAGGGTCAGTGGACATCAGGCGATTCGCACGCCAAGCTCACCTCAAGCGATCTCGGTGTACCGTCACATCATACAATTGTGAACCATCTCCGTCCGTCGTATAGGAGTGCTGCTCGTACGCGGAAGGCGCGGTCGACGCGACGGAGCTTCGGAACTGGGTGTGTAGCAACGGGGAGTGCGGCGACATCCACTCTTGCTGCCCCGCAACCTGCTTTGGCGGCGTCTCCGGAACGCTGAGCTGAGCGACCTGCCTGGTAGAAGCTTGTGTGCTCCTCGTCCTGCGAGAAGATGCACGACGAACGAGTGTGTCGAGGGGGGACACCTTCTGAACATGAACGAGCGGCGATGGCGCTCTCTGGTCCATTTTCTTGAGCTCACTTGTCCGTAATCCAGATGACTTGGAAGCTCCACGGCCGGCAGAGGGTCATGAAGATGGTGGTTGAGAGGACGCCAAGTGAATGAAATAGATCGGGTTAGGTTGCTAGTCACCGAGCTTTGCAAAAGCTGCCACCGTCAAGCGCAGCAGCTTCTCGCGTTCTGAGATCTCGTTGCCACAAGGCTAAACTGCTCTGCAAACGGGCTGCTTTGTTCGATTGATAATCTACATAAATTTGGGGCTATTCGAATGCGAGGTGAAACAGGGAGCGAGCTGGTGCGAACTTCGCAAATGTCGACGTCCGGAGGAGAGTTGCGCTTTGACGCCCGCCACCCCTTCGCACTCTTCCTCGACCATCTCGCCGCGGCAGGAAGGTGATAAGACTGCAGTACTTTGCGACCGCTGTATTAATGATGAATGTCTCTGCTGAAGACCTTGCTGAAGCGATCCGTGAGGAGCTGCCCGGTACAGAGGAGATTATCGTCCAGTACCTTTCAGGCTACCTGCTGGACTTGGACGATGCGGCAGAAGACGAGGATGTCCTCGATGTTACCCACACTATCCTCGAATCCGCGACCCCCTCGTCCTCGAAGTTGAACCGAGATGCCCAGCTCGATAAGCTAATGAAAAGGCTCAGCCAGATGCTCGAGGAGCCGCTCAATAGACGGGCAGAGAAGAATCGAGCGGGCACGGCCAGTGGTCTGGTCAGGCTGGACAAGGTTGTGGATTTGAGCAAGGCGGCTATGAGCAACACTATTGCGTTTGGTGAAGGTGTTGATTTGGAGAGCATAAACAAGGGAAAGTGGGTATCTCCCGTCCGTTTTTGCGAAAGTTAGTCTTACAGAATGCATTCAGGGCTTCTCGGGTAGACATGAAGAAGCTGGAGAAACAGGAAGCCAAGCTGAAGGTATGCTCTTCTTGACCTTGACGGAGGACCGCGACCTTAACTGAGTATTACTCGCAGGCCAAAATCGAGAAACGTGCCCGCCGCGGCGTCGAGCTCTATGAGGGCTCTAAGCTCCTAGATCAGCACAAGAAACAGGTGCGTCTCGTAGAGATGTACCAAAGGCGGTACTAAACGGAGCTACGTTTGTAGCAAACGTACGAAGAGATGTTCATGAAGATTAACCCTCTGGAAGCCTCCGCTGCAGCCAAGAATAAGTCAAAGGACATCCACCTACCGTCTATCGACGTCAGCTTTGGCTCCAACCGCATTTTGTAGGTTTTATTACCGTTGTGTCCGGTTTGGACTGACGTTGCTTTCTCTATAGGTCCGGTGCTTCGCTTACACTTGCACACGGTCGTCGGTACGGTATCATTGGTCGTAACGGTGTCGGAAAGTCCACATTGCTTCGCCATATCTCTATGCGTGAGGTACCCATTCCATCTCACATCACCATCCTGTTCGTCGAGCAAGAAGTAAGTCGTTTCTCGTCTCGCAATGCTGCCGTTCTCAATCGAATGTCAAGATTATTGGCGACGACACTACTGCTCTTGATTCGGTCCTCAAAGCCGATGTTTGGCGAGATACTCTGCTTCGAGAGGAAGCCTCTCTCAACGCGACGCTGCAAGAGCTCGAGAATGAGGGCGACGACAAGCGGTTTGAGGACGCCAGAGAAGAGGCGCAGACGCGGCTCGCTGAGGTCCACGCCCGCCTTGCCGAGATGGAGGCTGAGAGTGGACCTGCTAGGGCTGCTGCACTGCTAGCCGGTCTCGGATTCAGCGAGGAGGATCAATCGAGACCGACAAAGTTGTTCAGCGGTGGTTGGCGTATGCGTCTCGCTCTGGCTCGTGCGCTGTTCGTTAAGGTATGCTGAAGAGAGATGTCGGGCATGAGGTTGCGCTGAATGCTTTGTAGCCGTCACTCTTGCTACTCGATGAGCCTTCTAACCACAGTTCGTCCCCTTATTCATATATCGCAGTTTACTCGCTGACAGAAGCCTGTAGTCGATCTCAACGCATTGGCATGGCTAGAGGACTACCTCCAGACATGGTCGGGTACTCTGTTGGTCGTGTGAGTACTTCTGCAGCTCTGGTGTGCAGGAAATATTTTAATGATTTTACAGCTCTCACGATCGTGCATTTCTGTAAGCTACGCACTGATCCTATCGCTAATCTAATACTGATCTGCGTAGTGATGCGGTCGCGACGGACATCATCCACATGCACTCCGGCCGTCTCGACTACTACAAAGGGTGAGTATATACGTGCGTGCGTGCAGCCGTCCTTATTGATATCATCTCCAGAAACTTCACACAATTCTACTCTACCAAGACTGAGCGTGATAGGAACCTCAAGAAAGAGTACGAGACACAGATGGAGTACAGGAAGCACTTACAAGCATTCATCGACCGGTGGCGCTACAATGCGAATCGCGCTGCTCAGGCACAGTCGAAAATTAAAATTCTTGAAAAGGTACAGTGCATAGGGTGCTGAAAATTTTTGTATCTCTGAAGCTCTACTTCAGCTTCCGGAGCTCACGCCACCTGAAGCTGACGAGACGGAAACCTTCAAATTCCCCGAGACAGAGAAGATTTCGCCTCCGCTTTTGCAGCTGAACGAGGTCACTTTCGGCTACACGCCCGAGAAAGTTTTACTCAAGGGTGTCAACATCGATGTTGGCCTCGACTCGAGGATGGCCATGGTCGGCCCCAATGGTGCTGGAAAGTCCACGTTGTACGCTTTTCACTGTCGCTATGTTCGTTAAGGCAATCTGATACTGCATACCCAGGATCAAACTCCTCATGGGCGAGCTGAAACCCATGTCAGGTCACGTCACACAAAATGGTCGTCTCAGAATTGGCTACTTCGCGCAACATCACGTGGACAGTCTCATTCCTACGATGAGCCCAGTGCAGTTTCTTGCGCATAAGTTTCCTGGTAAGACCGAACAGGAGTATCGGTCACACCTCGGTAATTTCCAAATCAGCGGAATGACCGGGTATGATCTATAGAATTTCGAAAATGATAGAGATTGACTGCTTCCGCTAGCTTGCAGTCTATCGCCACGCTCTCTGGAGGTCAGAAATCGCGTGTGGCGTTCGCCGTCCTGTCTCTACAGAGGCCCCACATCCTGTTACTCGATGAGCCCACTAACCACTTAGATATCGAAGTATGTCTCTGTCGGGGAAGCCTGTTGTCAGATAAACTAAGCACCACTGTTTGTAGGGTCTTGACGCCCTCATGACGGCTCTCAGCAGCTGGAACGGAGGTGTCATCGTCATCTCGCACGACGAACGCTTCATTACGACCGTTGCGAAAGAGGTGAGAATGCGCCATCGGAGTAGTTCATAATATATCTGAAACCTTTGTGTCGTAGCTTTGGGTATGTGCCGATGGCACTGTGGGCAGGTTCATAGGGGACGTCCAGGCATACAAGGTGAGTGCTCTCCGTGATTTAAGGCTCCGCCATTGGTCCCGCTCACATTCTCATACAGAGCCTCATCGTGAGCAACGTCAAAGCTAAGCCTTAGAGCTGTTGATGCGCATGCTTTTCTGCGTTCTACCCGTGGATCATGTACACTTATGCTGCAATAGCTGTGAGGAAAATTACCCCAAGCGCTTACGTACACGGAGCGTGATCGTGAGTAAAAATTGAACCTGCGCGTAAATTCGCGTCCTTGTCTTGCTTCAAACCTTTGTCCGACGCATGAGAAAATTCTGTCCGACTTGGCCCTCCCGCATATTTTCGAAGCAATTTTCTTCGTATACTACTGGAGGTCTTAATGGAACACGTTACTCTCGTGTGACTGGCACGAGTCACGTGGTCCGTCACGCTTGTCCTGTTCAAGTCGCGTCTTGTCGCGTTGCGACCAACCACCACTTTCTCTCACTGTCCCCAACCCCATACGCAAGCGCTTCGTCGCTATATAGCACGATGAGCTCGTCGGAGGAGAACTTTGATATGGACGTGTCCGGCTCCGAGTTGGATGACTACGCCCCTGCTCCTAAGAAAACCACGAAGGCCGCTGCGAAACCCAAGGCGACGACGAAGGCCACTTTGAAACCCGCCGCGAAATCGAAGGCCTCGGCGTCCAAGAAGAAGGTGCTCGTGGACAAGGACGACAACGCGAGCGATGCAGACCCGGATGAAGACGAGGACGACGCATTTTCGAGTGAGAAGCCTGCCGCGCCTGCAAAGAACAAGACCGCATCTGAGACATATCAGAAGGTCCGCAACTCTTATTCACTATGGGCGGTTTCAGAATTTCTTATGTTTGGACGCTATGAACAGCTTACACAACTAGAACACATTCTCAAACGACCGGATTCTTACATTGGAAGCGTAGAGAAGATCACACAGCCAATGTGGGTCTGGGACTCGGAGACCAAGCGCATGGTGAACCGCGAGATTACCTATGTTCCTGGTTTCTTCAAGATTGTGGACGAGATTCTTGTAAATGCCGCAGATAACAAGGTGCGTACTCTGGACGTTATATGCGTGTGCATACATGCCGATATCTCCTCCAGATAAACGACCCAAGCATGGACACTATCAAGGTCACCGTAGACCCAGAGAACAACACGATCTCCGTTTTCAATAATGGACGCGGTATTCCTATCGAGATGCACTCCACGGAGAAGGTCTACATTCCGGAGCTCATCTTTGGACACCTCCTTTCCTCGAGTAACTACGACGACGACGAGAAGAAGCTTACTGGTGGTCGTAATGGCTACGGTGCTAAGCTAGCGAACATCTACTCGACCGAGTTCACGGTTGACACCGCGGACAAGAACACTGCACAACGCTATGTTCAGACGTGGACGGATAACATGGGGAAGATGGGCAAGGCGAAGATCACCAAGAACTCGAAGAAGGAGGAGCACACACGCGTTACTTTTAAGCCCGACTTGAAGCGCTTCGGTATGGACTCGATCGACGAGCACGCACTCGCGCTCCTCAAGAAGCGCGTCTATGACATGGCCGGTACTACCAAAGACGTCAAGGTATTTCTGAACGACGAACGAATCAAGGTTAAAGGCTTCAAGCAGTACGTCGAACTCTACCTCAACTCCGTCGCGGAGCAGGCGCAGGAAGAGTCTGGTGGCGCCGCGCTGGTGAAGCCGACGATGATCTACGAGACCATTAGCTCTCGCTGGGAAGTCGCGTTTGCCGTCTCCGACGGTACCTTCCAACACGTTGCATTTGCCAACTCTATCGCCACGACCAAGGGCGGTACACATGTCACCTGCATCGCCGACCAGATTGCGAAGAACCTTGCTGCTAACATCCAGAAGAAGAACAAGGGTGCCGCGGTCAAGCCCGCGCATATCAAGAGCCACATGTGGATCTTCGTCAATGCGCTCATCGAGAATCCAACGTTCGACAGTCAGACCAAGGAACAATTGACGCTCCCTGCCGGCAAGTTCGGAACAAGGCCGACGCTGTCCGAGGATTTCATGAAGAAAGTCCAGAAATCTTCGATTATTGATCAAATCCTCAACTGGGCAAACCGCAAGGCCGACAAGGAGCTGAAGAAGACTGACGGGAAAGGACGCAACAGGTAGGCGGGCATTTCCATATTGTAACATCTGACGCCTGCTGACGCCGCAGTCAGGATCAAAGGCCTCACTAAGTTGTCCGACGCAAACAACGCCGGTACCAGAGGCGCGCAAAATTGCACTCTCATCTTGACAGAAGGAGACTCCGCCAAATCCTTAGCCGTGGCTGGTCTCAGTGTCATTGGGCGCGACAACTACGGAGTGTTTCCACTTCGAGGGAAGCTCCTAAACGTCCGCGAAGCCAAGCACGACCAGATCATGAAGAACGAAGAGATTCAAAACATCAAGAAGATTCTTGGCCTTCAGCATAACAAGGATTACAAGGATACGAACGATCTGCGGTACGGCCAGCTCATGATTATGACTGATCAGGTTAGCCTCATTCTTCTTTGTCGTGCGACATGCTGAGCCCGTAGTATCTAGGATCACGATGGATCACATATCAAGGGTCTTATTCTCAACTATCTGGATCACTTTTATCCTTCGCTGCTCAAGATCCCCAAGTTCCTGGTCGAGTTTGTGACGCCTATTGTTCGCGTAACCAAGGGGAATCAGAAGATCAACTTTTTCACAATCCCCGAGTATGAGCAGTGGCTGGAAAACACTCCGGATTCGCACAAGTGGAAGTCCAAATATTACAAGGTCCGCCTAAGAATTGTTACTTGATTTTATTTTATTTTACCGAGATGCTGATTTATCGATTAGGGTCTTGGTACGAGCAAGGACGAGGACGCCCGGGAGTACTTCAGCAGGATGAACAAGCACATGATCCCGTTTGCGACCGTCAAGGACGGTGAACGCGATCTCATCGATTTAGCTTTCAGCAAGAAGAAGGCGGACGACCGTAAGGAGTGGTTGCGTAACCTCGAGGTGTGTTGCTGAACGGTCTTTAATAAACGATCTACTAATGCAAGCGCAGCCGGGAACCTACCTGGACCACAACACCAGGGAGATCTCGGTTTCAGACTTTATCAATCGCGAGCTCATCTTGTTCTCGTATGCGGACAATGTTCGGTCCATCCCCTCGGTTGCAGATGGCCTCAAGCCCGGTCAGCGGAAGGTCATCTGGGGTTGTTTCAAGCGTAAGCTGAAAAACGAAATCAAGGTAAGGTGATAGGCGCGTTCGATGCTTCACTAAACTGACGTCGCACTAGGTTGCGCAACTCGTCGGTTACATTTCGGAAAAGGCTGCCTACCACCACGGCGAACAGAGCTTGATGATGACGATCGTCAACCTGGCGCAGGATTTTATCGGCAGCAACAATGTCAACTTGCTCATGCCCAACGGCCAGTTTGGTACACGCGACCAGGGCGGCAAGGACCATGCCTCGGCCAGGTATATTTTCACGGAGCCGTCGCCAATGGCGCGGGTGCTGTTACATTCTGGAGATGACCCGCTGCTCAACTACCTCAAGGACGACACGACCGATATCGAACCGGAGTGGTACATGCCGGTTCTACCGCTCATCCTCGTGAATGGCGCCGAGGGTATTGGTACCGGCTGGAGCACGAACGTCCCGTGTTACAACCCTGTCGACATCGTCGCGAACATCCGCCGTCGCATGAACGGCGAGGAGATGGTACCGATGCTTCCCTGGTGGCGCGGCTTCAGGGGCACCATCAAGAAGACGGGCGATCACAAATACGATGTCACCGGTATCATCAACAAGATTGATGACACCACGGTTGAAATCACCGAGTTGCCAATACACAAGTGGACTCAAAACTACAAACAGGAGCTTGAGACCATGATGGGCGAAAAGGGTGAAGGTCCCGTCAAGGTAAACCTCTCCTGTTTTGTCTCGGCGGTATCGTTGACCTACGACCTCGTCGCCCGGTAGGACTACAAAGAATACCACGACAATATGAACGTCCACTTCGTTGTTACGCTCAGCGAGAAGGACATGGAGAAGGCGGAAGCGCAGGGCTTATACGAGTTCTTCAAGCTCACGGGCAAGATCAACACGAGTAACATGATATGTTTCGACTTTGACGGCAAGATCAAGAAGTATGGCTCGCCCGAGGAGATCGTTGAGGACTTCTATCCCGTTCGCTTAGCATGGTATCAGAAACGCAAGGTACGCACCAATTCTTTTGTCACAAGTAAACAAGTTGTCATCAGGAATCGCAGGATCACATGGCGGAGCAGCTCCAGCTAGAGCTCGAGCGATCGACGAACCAAGCGCGCTTTATCTCCATGATTGTCTCGAAGGAGCTCGTTGTCTCCGGGCGCAAGAAGGCCGACGTCATCATTGACCTACGCAAGAAAGAATTTCGGCCCTTTCCCAAGATCTCGAAGGCCAAGGCCGCTGGCGAGACTGAGGAGGTCGTCGAGAACGGCGATGAGGACGAGCAGGAGGACAACGACGGAGCGCACGACTACGACTACCTTTTGAACATGGCGATCTACAGTCTGACAAAGGAGAGGGTGCGTATAATAAATAGACTCCGACTATGGAATTGGATCGTAATATACTGCTGTCCAAATAGATCGAGAAGCTCAAGAAGCAAGCAGCGGACAAGGAAGCTGAGCTTTTGAAGTTGCTCGAGTTAACACCTATTCAGATGTGGAACACCGACCTCGATAACTTCCTTGAACAATGGAAGGTGAGCTTGGCTCGATCATCTAACGGCCGCTCAGACCCTGACGCTTCGTTGTAGATGAGTTCCGAGGCGTGGAACGATAGGGCCATCGAACCGGGCCAGGTTGCCAAGAAGAGCAAGCGCAAGCAGCCAACTCTCGCAGCGATCATGAAGAAAGCAGCGAAGAAAGAGAAAGACGAGGATGACGAGGACGACTTTAAGCCTGGCAAGGCTGGCGCGTCTAAGTCTCGGAAGGCACTAGATCCGAAGCCCGTCAAAAAATCGCCGCCCACGGCACCTGTCGTTACGAAGGCAGAAGTCAAAGACGAGGATTCTGAAGACGACTACATCAAGCCGGCTGCCAAGAAACCGCCGGCGAAGAAACCTCTGGCGAAGAAGATCAAGTCCGAAGACGAGGACTCGGACGACAATTACGCCAAGCCTTCGACGAAAAAGGTACCTACGAAGAAAACTTTGGCGAAGGTCGAGTCTGAGTCTGACGTTGAAAGGGTGGAAGAGAAGAAACCGATACCGCCATCGAAGCGGAAGAAGCCTGCGGTGCCAGACGACTCGGACTCTGAGGTCGAGGTTGTGGCATCGAAAGAGAAGGGTAAGGCGAGGGCTGCACCGGCTGCAGTGAAGCGCAAGAGGTATGTCGTCTCGCTTGTCCATTATAAAAGCGCTGAGCTCATGTCTCGCAGTCCTGGAAGCGACGCTGAGTCTGATGACGAGATGTCTCTCAAGCCCGCAAAGAAGAAATCGGCGACCGAGAAACCGCTCACTGACTTCTTCGACAAAGCTCAGCCCAAGCCTAAGTCGGCGCCGACGGTGCGGAAGGTCTCGAACAACAGCCAAGCGTCGAAAGCCAAGGCTCCGGCAAAGAAGGCCGCGAAGAAGGTCGTCGACAGTGATGACGGCATTTCGATGGACGAGGAGCCCCCGGTAGCGCGGAAACGCGTTGAAGCTCCGAGGCGGACGGCGAGGGCTGCACCGAAGACGTACATCGACATCTCAGACGAGGATGAAGGCTCTGGTTCGGAATTTGAAGATTTCGACTAGACGGCTGCCCGTGTAATTTATTTCTTGCTGACGCTGTACTTCCATGACTTTCGGCCGGTTTGCTTTGATCCATCCAGACATCTTATCATCTTTCACAATCTTTGGCGGCCTGCGATTAAAGCACATCGTTGAATATGGCCTCAAGTCGTGGCCAGTGTTGCAGAAGTATCTGACCAGTCAGATCGGCTGGCCGGCTAAAAGGGGTCAGACGCCCAAAAGCAGCCGGCAAAGAGCCCAGGTTGCTCGACGTTACTCAACCCCGTCGATGACGGTGGGTAGAGTGGCTGTAGCGGCGACGGCCCTAGCATTGCGTAGCCCCAACGACGAGATAAGATTTGATTTTTTCCGCTATACTGCCGCTTTTCGTGTCCGGGCAAGAGCCTTTACTGGTAGCGACGTCGCATCGCTACTCAGTATACTGCATGCGGCGCCTGCGACGCGGAACGTCGCCCAGTACTAACAAGCACTTGCCGTTCTCGGCATTGCAGGCCAGAGGAAGCTTGGAGTTCATAATGAGGAGCTTGGAACAAGAATTACATTGTACAATCTGGTATAGTAAGCTCTCAAGAGATAGAATGTGTTTATGCTGTTACCTTTGAAAGCCACGATCCCTTCACATAAACGTTAAACGTTAATGGCGTAACCAATTTAATCATTAATCAGGCCTGACCTTGGCAATAGCCCAGGGAGCGCGCGAGCTTACATAAGCATACTGATGTAACCCAAAGCGGGCCCCGGGGGTCACATCGTCTTCGTCTTTGCCCTTTGCCTCTGCTGCGGCACTGATTTTCATATGTACGTCGGAGTCACCTTTAAGCTTCGAGCATAGTCATCAGGCACAACCTGCTAGATTGATTTGAGAGCTGTGAAAGAGTCAGCCAATATCATGCTGAGTCGGAGGTACTTGTTCGAGCGTCGACATCCATCGCTGACATGCAAAGAGCTTCAAGTTGCAGCAGCGTTGGTATTTGGCCGATGGTGGACCACCAGAGCGCGTCGCATGCATCAGATGTCGGTGAAACACTGCACATCCCAAACCAGAGTTAAAGTCGCTTCATCAAGCGGTCATGCATATCTAGCAGGATGATGAACACGAAGGTTGCTGGTCCTCCGGATTTTCCCAAATCGCGGCTGATCATGATGAAAGTACGGTACGTAAGACTTGCCGAGATACCGAGTCTGGCGTGTTTCTTTGTCTCGGGAGGTTTACTCGTTCAACGTTGCATGAAACTCGTTTCTAAAGGTCCTCTGTCCGGTAGGCGTCCCCACGGAGCGCAGCGACCGGACCTGGCTGGCGAGTCTGTCCGGCCTCAAAACCGAATGACGTCATGTGCAGACAAATCCGGCTGTTTTTTCTACAGCAAATTTATGGGCCAAAAAAACCTTACTTGTCTTTGTTTCACAGTAGATTGTATTTTTAAACCTGACCCCAGTACTTAAGCCGCGTGCTGATTTCCGGGATGCTGCATAGTGTTCAGCATGGACACGTCTATGCCCCCTCTGGACGGCACTCTGCTCACCGTTTCCGATTTCGTCGACTTCCACGCTAAGCAAAACGCAGACAAACCATGGCTCATGTTCCTGGCCAAGGGGAATCCGGAAGAACTCGTGTCCATCTCCTACCATGAGATGGCGCAGGCGAGCCACCGCATTGCGCACCGCATGCGCCCAACCAGAGAGGGCCCTGATGGGGAGGTCGTCACCCTGCTCATCAACACCGACAGTGTCATCTACGTCGCCGTCGTTCTGGGTCTCATACGCGCAGGCTATGTGGTATGTATAGGTTGATACCATTTGGAAAGATAATAAGGGTAGTGATTGCGTTTACAGCCATACCCAATGTCTCCCCGCAATTCCCCCCAGGCTATGTGCCATATGCTCGAGGCCGTCTCATCTACTCGTATAATCGCCCACGGACCGACTGCAGCTCTCTTCCAACAGGTTCAGAGCGAGATGCAGGCCAAGGGTACCAAGCTCCGCCTTGACGAACTACCAGGACTGCTAGAGGTATTTCCCCAGTTTGGCGAAAACTCCGCCGCCGCAGCCAAGGTCAAGCCTTACCCACCTTCGGACAGGCCAATTGACATGCACATGTCAGCGCTGTACTTTCACTCCTCGGGCTCGACCGGCTACCCTAAATCCGTTGATTTCACGCATCGCAGGATGTTGCAGTGGTTCGGTTCGACTAGTACCTACTGGTCTATCACCTGGTGGTTAAATCCTCTTTACAGGATTTCTTGGCAGGGCTGGTAGTGTGTCACGCTACGGTTCGATGGGCTTGCCGAGCTTCCACGCCATGGGCCTCCTGCTGCAGATGATTAATCCACTCGCGACGGGCAGAGAAGTCGTTGTGTACACCCCGCAGTATCCTGCACCTCCGGTCGTCCCGAACACACAGAACGTTTACGAGGTTGCAAAGCTTGCAAAGTGCACTGGAATGGTCGCACTACCCTCTTTCATCGAGGTACGTATTGTTCCATCATTCATGTGCCGCTGACAAAACTGAGCGCGCGCGAAGGCGTGGTCACACTCCTCAGAAATTATCGAGTACCTGAAGACCCTCAATGTGCTGGTCAGTGCCAGGCCCTCCTTTCAATCTACCGGTGGTCCACTAACATTTTACAGCTGTTCGGTGGCGCCCAGCTCGCGGTGTCCACCGGGGATAAGCTTGTGCAGATGGGCGTGCGTCTGCAGTCCACTTACGGAGGCACCGAGTTCGCGAACCCCTCTATGGCGTGGGGCGGAGTCCTGGTAACAATCGCTCGGCCCAACCCAGATTGGGCGTGGTTTTGTGCGCCGCCGGATGCTCCGAATATCAAGTGGGAGCCTCAAGGCGATGGGACGTACGAGCTGATTGTCTATGTAAGTTGGTCTGAGTACCTTTGGGTGCGTGCTGCTGATCGCTGGTGGTAGGAAACTGACAACTATGACCTCGCCGTGTACAATGTACCCGGAGAAAGGGCCTACGCGACTTCTGACCTTTTCGAACCGCATCCGACGAAACCTGACCTTTGGAAGATGTGCGCTAACATGTCACTTCAGCCAATACGACTTACTGACTAGTCCTCCAGCGTTGGCCGCAAGGACGACGTCGTCATTTTGAGCACTGGTAAGAACATACCAGAGCTGCGCGTGCACCCGTTGATACAAGTTGAATAGGCGAGAAGATTGTACCGCTATCGCAAGAAGCGTACATCACCTCGAGCCCGCTCGTTAGCGGCTGCGTAATGTTCGGTCGGGAGCGCGAGCAGCCAGGCATTTTTATCGAGCCGCAATCCTCATATGCCGTCAATCCGAACGATATGGCCGCACTTGCCGCGTTTCGCGACAAGATCTGGGCGCGCGTGGAGGAGGCGAACGCGCAAGCACCCGGATTCGCGAAGATCTTTAAGGAGATGATCGTCGTCACCGAACCCGACAAGCCCCTGCCCCGGGTGGCCAAGGGGTCCATCGTCCGCAAGCAGGCTTCAGTCGTCTACGAGAAGGAGATTGAACAGCTGTGAGAGAACTTTTTTTGCGTCAAGAACGGGATTTTCACCGCAATATTTAGCTATAAGATGATCTCTGCGAGCATGAGCAATGAGGGTATTGATCCTCCGAGGTCTTGGAAGGCCGCCGACCTGGAGCCTTGGCTCACTGGGCAGGCTATGAGCCTCGTCTCACACGAACAACCCGTCGCACTCGCAGTCGATCTGTTCCAGCAAGGCTTCGACAGGCGAGTGACGCGCCCGGTCTACTTATCACCGCAGAACTAACGAATGCCTGTAGCCTGAGCGCAACATTCTTCCGTAATCACATCATCGGCGCCCTGTGCGCCTCCGAGACCCTAAGCATCCGCCAGGCAGCGCAAAGTGTCTCCGCGAATCTAGTCTTCGAGAATCCGACCATCAAGCAGCTTGCAGATGCGCTCGCTGCACTCGTCGATCCATCCGCCAGCGCTCGCGTCCGCAACCCCGTAGACGAGATCCAGGCGATGATTTCCAAGTACACTGCAGGTCTGCACACTGCGCGGGCGGGAAAAGCGACGGATGTTGGTACGGCACCGGTCGTACTCCTCACGGGCTCGACGGGCAACATTGGCTCGCACATCCTCGCGTACCTTCTCGCGGAGCCGCGTGTCGCGCGCGTGTACGCGCTCAACCGCCCGTCGGCAGACCCGCATGAACGGCTCGCGTCCGCGTTCCGCGAGCGCGGACTCTCAGAGGAAGCCCTCAAGAGTCTGCGACTTGTGTTACTCGTGGGAAACGCCACGCGCGAGCGTTTCGGGCTTGAGGAAGCGCAATACACCGAAGTACGTGCATGTCAATTCTTTCTCTTCTCGTCGCTGACTTGTGCTGGCGGTGGAGCAGGTCATGGCATCAGTGACGCATGTCATACATAACGCCTGGACAGTGAATTTCAATCTCGCGCTGCAATCATTTGAGAGTCAGGTCGCGGGAGTGCGCAAACTCGTGGACATCGCCGCCGCCGCCGCGCGACCTGTGCGGCTGCTTGTCACTTCATCTGTCGGCGTCGCGAACGCGTGGGACTCCGCTAAGGGTCCCGTTCCTGAGCAGCTCCTGTTGAATCCCGAGAATGCAGCTGGCACTGGGTACATCGCGTCCAAGTACATCGTCGAACATGTAGGTGGGAGCTATCTTTTACTTCGGATATTAATTTAAATGCCGGTGACAGATTCTCAGTGCTGCTAGGGAGAAGGGCGTTCTCGCCACTGCGCTACGCATGGGCCAAGCCTGCGGACCGAAGGAAACAGGGGCATGGGGGACGACCGAGTGGATGCCGATCTTGGTTAAGTCAAGCATCGCGCTGGGTGGTCTGCCTGCACTGGACGGCGTACGTATGGAATTTTTAGCCCTAGTCAGCCACAGCTGACATGATTTGTTCTTGCAGCCCGTAGACTGGGTCCCACTTGATGCCATCGGCAAGGCATACGTCGACTGGGTACTTGCGGAGGACGCCCTGCCCGCGTTCGTGAATATCGTGCATCCGCGCCCGGTGGTCTGGGACACTGTACTCAACGGACTGCGGCGGGAATTGGGGGACAGTCTTCCTCTCATGCCAGTGAAAGATTGGGTCGCAAAACTCGAAAAATATGCAAATAGTCCCTCAGCGGAGGACCTCGCTCGGATCGTACGTTTCCCCACTCATAGCGTTTATTCGTTCTAATCATTGTTCCACTGGTTGCATAGCCGGCTCTGAAGATTATGAGCTTCTTCCGCTCGCTTGCTCATCCAACTGCTTCGCGAGACGGCGCGGGCGCCGCTGGAGCTGATGGGGCAATGGGTGTCGCATTCGAGACTGCAGAGCTCCTGCGCTCAAGCCATACGATGCGCAGGCTCCAGCCGGTGTCAGAGGAACACGCCCGTGCGTGGGTCTGCTTCTGGAAGGCGAAGGGATTTATTGCGTGAAAGGGGTTGGGCCTGTGTATAGCGAGCCCTTGGTTTCTGGCGACACTGTGTTATGACATATGTGCCATGAATGTACATGTTCTGTATGGTGACAGTATTGCATTCCGCCGTTGCACACAAAACTAGTGGCACAAGAAGTTCATTCGACCTATGTGGGTAACGGTCCCGCGGAGGAGTTAAGTTGCTGGTGAGGCTTACTGTACTTATTATTGTTGTAAGAAGTCCTGCGCGTGGCTTACTTATCGGTAAGCACAGTAAGCAGATTGTAGTTGCAGCACTTACTGTGTGAACTTTCCCACCATAAGCAGTGAGGACGAAAATTAAGCTAACTCAATATTAGTTCTACTTACTATCCATTTTTGGAATGTAGATCCCACGGCTAACAGAACCTTTTGAAGCGCTAGGTTCTCTGTCCCGACCAAACGTCCACTTCCTAGCTTGCCTCCAGCGATGTATGCTTTGCACAGACTCCCACGGAGCTATGTGCGTTTTGCGCAAGTACGACGGGGCAATGCAACTCTACAAGCCGCCACCAGCTCCGACGCCGTGAATGCTCCGCCGCCGCCTGTACCAGCTCAGCAGAAGCCTCCGGCCGCTTCCACAAAACCTGCGCTGAAGCCCGCAGGCGCAAAGGTCCCGGGAGCACCTGCGAAATCCCAGGAGAAGACTGCGCCCGAAGCCGACGCGAAACGTGGGCCGCGGCGCGTCTGGCCGACACACCGACCGTCCATCTCACTCGCGCGACCTCGGCAGTACATGCGTCCCATTGGCGTTGGCGTCCTCCCGGCTTACGACAGCGCCTTAGAGTACATCAAGGAGGACTCAAATATTCTCAAAAAGGAACTCCGCACCGTGAAGACTGAGCTCGAGAAAGTGCAGGTCTTGCAGGAGCCCGAGGCGGCTGAGCAGGCTGCACGCTTGCAGGAGCGCGTTCGCGTTCTCGAGGTGCAGAGCGAGATTAACTTGCCCTCTGTACGGTGGAAGGCGAAGAACGGTCTTGGTATGCACACTCTTCGTTTTTTGTGAGCATGTTGAAGCGAACAGAATGTAGCCGACATGACCAAGCCCGTTTACCGCCATCTTATTGAGCAGAGGTGGAGAGAGGACGGTATCCTCGATTTGGTGGTACGTGCTTCGTCTATTTTAGGCGCTCCAAGTGCTGAATATTATGAAGATGGAACGTGTCCACCAAATGGGCGTCGTGCCCGACCTTCTCCCTGAGATTCGCCCGTCGTTGGATCTCCGAGTCAACTTCCTTGAGAGACTGCCTGAGAAGCTCCGGAAGATGGATCGCACGAAGCGGAAATCTGAGAAGGTCGAGGCTGGAATTTACCTCCTGCCTGAGCAGGTACTTGGTTTTGGAGCCTGGAATGAGCTGAACTTTACTCAACCTGTCCCAGACTCGTAAACCGCCTGTGCTTTACACCACAGTGTTCCACACAGAGCCAAGGCTCTATACTCTGCTCATGTTTGACTTGGGTACGTCACTACTAGCCTCATTGGATCACTATTTTTCCTGATACCGGTCAGACGTTCCTGATCCTGAAACTTGCGGGTTCCAGAGCTACCTTCATTGGATGCAGTAAGTGCCACTATCGAAGAGATTTGGGTCGCGATTTTGAAACTCTGTAGGCCTAATGTCGAGTTGCACACGTTCTCTAAGAACCCAATCCCGCTTACCACCACACATACCCCCTACATTCCACCTCACCCACAACGCGGAACGCCCTACCACCGATACGTACTGATGCTTGTTCCGCAACGGAGTGCGACAGAGCGCATAAAGGTGCCCGTACCGACCATGCAGGAACGTCTCGGATTCAGCTACCGTGAGTTCGCAGCCAGACATGGGCTCGATGCCACCAAGGGCGGGGGTGTCTTCATGTGGAGAGAGGTCTGGGATGAGACGGTGTCCAAGATCTACGCGGACGTTCTCAGTGCGTATAGCCATCTTATGAAGCATTATGGTCGTGTGCTTACCTATCTCCGCCTATTTTGAAGAAACGGAGGAGCCTGTATACGGCAAAGTGCCGAAGCCGGACCCGTATGCCCACTTCAAGGCCGCTCCAAAATATGCTACTGCATCTGCATAGAGTCTACCCTCTCCCCATACGTACCAAGGCGCTGTCAAGTTACTACATCTGCTTTACATCATTCATTAATGGGTGTTTATCTCAAGTCGCGACACTTAGGATCCAAATGACTGACAGACTAATGAAGGATATGTAAAATCGTATGGCAATGCTCCACTTCACGACTCATTGTCGTATTTCCTCCAATTGCCGCGAACCGTGGGAACTTTATGACACGCGCATTCCTCGCACTCCAGACTCTTGCCGGCGGCACGCGTACTTGACTGTTCTTGCAGCCACATTCTACGCACCGTATACTCATTTCTCGTCCCATTGCTAGCATTTTTGCAGTGCTATCATCGCGCTGCATTTCTAGTCGTGAGATCCAGACGCAGCATTGGAGTTCGTGTGTTGCGCAACCATCTCGCTTTCTGACTCACGTGTATAATGGCGTACATGCTAAGCCCTATCTCCTCAACTATACTGCGCTGCGGTCAATCATGCATGTCCGATGCACGCATACGCAGTCGGCATCACAGTTACGAAGTCAAGCTTGTGTCGTACCATTGCCTATCGGCAAGCGCGACGACTCGCGTGCAAGCGACTGATTACAGACCAATTACTATATAGGTGTTAGTCATACTTTCTGCAGAGGCCACGCAAGCTCTCGGAGCCCGGCAGCCATGAGCATACCGAGGGCTTGCTATCGTCTCCCTTGATGGGCGTCTCTGAGGAGATTATCAGATAAAAGGGGTGAGCGGGCGCGTTTGAGATAACCCAGCATCTACTGATCTCTCCCCTGAGACAACCCAGTATCTACTGCACCTCGCTGAACTCCACGTCCGTCACCATATCCACAACGATGTCGACACCTAAAAGAGTCATTGACGAAAACTGGGTCCGCAGCGACCGCTACCACAACTCATTCCTCATCAGGCCCGACGTCGCGCTCGAGCACGCGCTGAAGAACAGCGACGAGAAGGGCCTCCCGCAGATCTCGGTCAGTGCCGCCCAGGGAAAGCTGCTGCAACTTATTTCCCAGACTATCAACGCTAAGAGGATCCTCGAGGTCGGCACGCTTGGAGGGTATGGTCTCGCATTTGCCTCTTGCAGTATAGAGTCTGATCAAACGTCCAGGTACTCCACCATCTGGTTCGGGCGTGCGCTCCCAGCGGACGGTCACATCATCACCCTCGAGCTCGAGGAGAAGCATGCTACGGTACCTAGCTCCGCCCAGTTTGCTGAAGTGACGGTGTCGGTGCTTACACATCCCCAGGTCGCCCGCCAGAATTTCGAGTACGCCGGTCTGTCCTCAAAGATTGAGGTCCGCGTCGGACCCGCTGTTGACTCTATGAAGCAGCTCCCCGCCGAAGAGCCCTTCGACCTCGTCTTCATCGACGCGGACAAGCCTTCGAATCCTGCGTACTACAAAGAGGCTCGCCGTCTGACCCGTAAAGGTAGCGTAATAGTACGTCTCTTGTGCTTTGCTCTGAAGCTCGCTGCTGATGTTAGCCTATGGCAGATCGTCGACAACGTCGTCCGCGGGGGCCGCGTCGCCGACCCCGCCGAGGAGGGCCCGTACGTCGACGGTGTCCGCGAGCTACTCAAGGTCCTGAAAGAGGACGAGGGTGTCGAGGCGACGACAATTGCCAATGTCGGAGAGAAGGGATTTGACGGCTTTACGTACATTCTTGTTCTCTGAGCGACAACTCCAGTGAACGCTGCTCCTGTAACAACATCCGCGATTTACGTGAACAAGATGCGTAACGTATAGCTCCGTGTATGGCTAGCTGCGTACATTCGAAGATGATATTCGTTTCGTTTCTGGCGTCTGTCATGTGACTGCTTTGCGACCCCGGTGTTTTCCGGTAAACGCTTGCGCCACCAAGCCAGCTCGCACCAAATCCAGATTTTCCAACTTGTACTCGTATTATCGCAGTGACTTCCGCATAACCAACTCTCTTCACGAAAAGCGTAGTTCCTGCTGCGCTCCATACATCTCCACTGGAAGTTGAATACGTTCTGTATCTTCGGAGACTCCCTGAACAAGCTATGGCAGTTCCGAGCCATCGCACCGCATTTCGTGCTGTCTGCTCCAGTTTGGCTACGATCCATGTGCTTCAAGGGCACGTTGCATGGCACGTTCAATGCTCTCTGCTGTACACATGAACGGAAATAGACGAAAGATGGCTTGTATGGAGTAGTTCGAAGTCGTCGCCGGCCCGCTGGAATAAGCTTTGGGCCGGATAGTATTGGTCAAGTTGAGTACGTAATGTGACCTCCAATTGCTCACTCGCTTGATAACTTCTCAAGCATTTATATGTGGTCTCCAACGCGCGGTATTCATGAGAGAGAATAAGAACGCACAATCGCCAGACGTCGTTTTATTCACTCGCATGATTGTACAGGCTTCAAGTAGTTCTGAGAGATGGCTGTCTCCGAAGGATAACCTCCATATGTCATTTGAAATCTCGGAGCCGCATTACGTCGGCAGTAATATCGAACTTAATCCGCAGGTAACGTCACAAGCCCCAGGGGATACAGCAAGGATGAACTAGCATTGAAGCTAGTCTCGCTGACAACAGCTGGATTTACTGTCTCCTTGGAAGGCGATGCAAACGATCCGTAGGTTGTGTCGTTGCTCGGTGTTATGTGAAAAGGTCCGTCGGTTTTCAGGCAACGCAGGCACTGGTTTCACGGAGCCTCTTGAAGTATGGGGCGACTTCTTTGCGCCGTAGAATGCCGATGATCCTCTTGATGTGCGGGGAGACATAGTCAAGTGGTGCGGATCACGAGAATACGGTTTCTCCTGAAACTGAATTGCATAGATTTGACACAGGAGCTGTCGCAGCCCATCCGACTTCGCTGAGCATGCGCTCTGGTCGAGACTTCGGGTGTTCCTATGTTCCGGTATTTCATCGACATACTATAACTACACCCACTCTGGCACGTCAATTGGACTAGTAGGCTTCCATCCGGTCAGCCCATTATCGGTTACGATGTTGCTTCGTGCCACCCTGTTGCTCCTTCTCGGCATATCGACGGCCCTTGGACAGTTGTCTGGTCGTGTTGGCCCCACCACATCCTCGTCGGCGAAGCGTAATACCATTTGCAACGTCCTCGACTATGGAGGCTCCGTCGGATCTAACGTACGTATATTCTAGTGTATGCCTTCAACGATAATATGTCTGACTCTGTTTTACAGGACATTGGACCTGCTATCCAGTCTGCGTTCAACAGTTGTGTTCTGAAGAACACCGGCTCCACGCTGTACATCCCCGCAGGCAACTACAACATGGCAACTTGGGTTACCCTCGAGGGCGCGAGCCAATGGGCCTTGCAACTCGATGGAGTTATTACTCGTACAGGTACACCACTCAGTTCTTCTAGAAGAGTAGGTGTGCTAAGTATAACGCAGCTACCACCGGCGGACACATGATCATCGGTGCGTTTTCTGAGGTCAGATTCTCGCCTGTGTACTCAACAAGAGGACAGTCGAAAATGCAAATGACTTTGAGATGTACTCCAGCAATAGCGCGGGAGCCATCCAAGGAAACGGCTACCAATGTCGCAACGCCGGGTTTGAACCACTTTCCTTCGGACATGACCGTTGATAGCTTAATACACTCCAGGCCTCGTCTCCTGCGCATAATCACTTCAACGAACTTCTCGCTCCACGATCTCATCTTCGTCGACTGTGTGTCTGCCTCTGCATCTCTATGAAACTCCCGTCCTGAAAACTGAATTCTGGTTCGCAGCGCCTGAATTCCATGTCATCCTTGACAACTCGCAGAATGGCGAGGTGTACAACCTCGCAATCCGCGGCGCTGCCATCGGCGGGTCAGACGGAATCGACATGTCCGGCTCGAACATCTGGGTCCATGACGTAGAGGTCACGAACGGCGACGAGTGCGTCACGATCAAGAACCCATCTTCCAATCACCTCATCGAGCAAATTTGGTGCAATCAGAGCGGCGGCTCTGCCATCGGCAGCTTGGGCACCGGCACCACGATTGAGAACATTTTGTATCGCTACGTGTACTGCGTCGGTGGGAACCAGATGTTCATGTGAGTTGCCGCTGTGAATTATACTGGGTTGTAACTTAAATGCAAGCCCCCTTCAGGATCAAAAGCAATGGTGGCGATGGCTATGTCAGTAACGTTGTATTTGACAACTTCCTAGGCTTGGGAACAGCCTACGCACGTACGTACAGCCTTACTTGCCCTTTCGCCGGAGGCTCAACCTACTTCCAGTGGATGTTGATGGATACTGGTCTTCCATATCTACCATCGCCGGCAATGGCGTCCAGCTCACGAATATCACGTTCTCCGTAAGCCCAGCCTGAAACCTTACCGTGCAAAGTCCTCGTAACATCTGACTACTGCAGAACTGGGACGGGTACATCGTCGACGGCGAGCGCCGCTCTGCGTACCGCATCCTCTGCGCAGACAACGCGCCGTGCACCGAGATGAACATCGAGAACGTCCAGCTCTGGGCGAGCAACAACGTCGGCACGTACGCATGCCGGAGCGCGTACGGCACCGGCACATGCCTCGAATCTGGGAGCGGCGGCGGCTACTCGCAGGTGACCGAAAGCTACACGGAACCCGCGGCGTACTCGAGCCCCCCGACCATGAGCGGGAACCTCGCGTCTGGCTTTGCGACGAACTCACCGATCCCTATCCCGTGAGCTAGTTCTGCTCGTCGCAGGATCTGTGAGCAATGCTGACGAGATTGCGATGTCGGCACAGGACGATTCCGACGATGTTTTTCCCCGACAAGCCTGCTATCTCGCCGCTCGCCAAGAACTCAGGGTCGCCCTCGTCCCCGTCGGCGTCGCCAGCGCCGACTGGTGGCAGCGGAAGTGGCACGGCGGGACACTACGCTCAGTGCGGCGGGACAGGTTACACGGGACCGACCACCTGCGCGTCGCCGTATACCTGCGTCGTCTCGAACACATACGTGAGTATATGCGCCTGAAGTTGTTGCTCAACTGAACGCTGATTTTCGGTGTAGTATAGCCAGTGTCTTTGAGCTCAATATGTACTGCAGAACAGAAGAGGCTTGACGATATATGATATGCGGCTGTGACTTTGATTGGTCTCCTAGCTTGAACATGCAAATGCAGAGGTCAAAGGAAATATTCGACTCAGATTTGGCAGAATATAGGCCGTACATGCTAAAGGCGCAGCACACCCTGCTTCGAGACCAGCGGTAGCCTCTCTTCCACGGCCGCCCGTTCCCATTCGTTAAGACGCCTTCCTGAGAAGTCAGGTGCGCTATCTATCAGCGACGGCAGTATCGTCTGGGCCTGAAGCTTGACCGTTTTTATGCGTTCGGGGACATATTCCGCCAGCACCACGTCGAACGCGCCGACATGCTGCAACGAGGACATCGAAAAAGCTATCTCAAGGTCCAGGGGCTGCGTCCTTCCGGCCACTGCGAATAACTGTGTAAGCATCTTCTTGAGAATACCCCAGGAGTCCCTCGGATTTGTGAGCTTGAGGGCGATATGACTGATGTTGGGACAGCTCCTCAGGCCAAAATTTGGCACAGGCGTCTCGTTCCCTTTGCTGCCTATGGCCCGTGCGTAAGTCATAGCATGAGTAAAGTCTCCATCACACACGCACCATGATAGAATGTAGTAAGGTCCAGCGCCACGGAGGTAAGCTTCGGTCCACAGCCCTGGAGTACCATTTCTAGGCTCGAACGGCCGGCGCCTGAAACAATCCACCGGAAGCTGGCGGAAGAGAAACTGAGCGGTATGGGGAATCGCTGCATTGTTTTCGCAATGAGCTCGCAGGCATCTTGATGGTCAAGATCGATGCGCTCGAGTTTGTGCCCGGCCCTAAGCGTATCAACAAGGTCCTCAGAGAGCTTATATTCTCGCGTAGGCGCATATGTGGCGTAATAACGCGGTGACCTGCGGAGCTGGCATGAACGAGAGATTCGGAGTTCTGAGGCGTGGACGTAAAGCAGAATGAGTTCAAGGAGTTGCGGATTTAGCGCGATTCTATCGAGCAAGAGTTGTGTAGTGCAGCAAGGAATGATACGCCGATCTATGAACATGCTCTGGTGTGTCTGCTGTATGTCAAGGTTGTCGAGACGAAGGAGATGTAGAGAGGGAAAGCGGCTCAATACCGCGGCGAAATCGTGCAGACGAAGCCGTCCATAAGCCAGTGTCAAGTATCGGAGGTTGTGCGTGATGGAAGGAGGTGTGTCCCGCATGAAGAATAATGAGTCACGGATCATGTAAACGGTGACATGTCTGAACAGATGGCGTCTCGCGGAAAACACCCACTCGCGAGAGACGAGCGTACAGCAGCAGAGTGTCGGCATGTCGTCCTGCAGGTCGTTGATGATAATGTCAACGAGTTCTTGCGGGAGCTTCAATGGTTCTCGTTGCACTGCCATTTGCAGGAATTGCCTGGCTTTTCCGTCTCTGGAGACGAGATATGCGTTTTTAATTAGGACCGAGACAATAAAACGCCGTGGATAAAAGCGAAGAGCGTTAAACGTACACAGGAAGAGAAGCAGGCGCGCCAATTGAAGTGTTCGTCATGGTGGATATGACAGGTCTGCGTCGCCGAGAGGCAAACACACCTACGCTCACAGTTTTCAGCGAGTCTTATATATTCCACGACAACTAAATACGGCACTGAGATCAAACGTGAGTCTGGAACGCGAACTGAAACAATCAGATAAGCAAGTCCGCATAGGGCGTGGGCTACAGCTTTCCCCAGGAATGATGGACACCCTCGGGCAAATTTTCAGAACTCGGAGTTCGAAAACTTCGCGGGCGCTAGAGAGGTAAGAGACGCTGCTTGTTTCGAAAATTCAAGACACGACCAAGGTCCCCTTTCGGCGAAGAAAGAGAAAAGTTCCCAGTGTTCGTTAATATTCAGTACATTTTGCGAATGTGCGTTGTGCCCCCCTATGCCTTCCACTTACCAGTGCGCAGCCTGAGAGAGCCTCGCCTCGAGCACACGCCGACGATTCAATACTTTGTCAGCCTCCAGATAGCAGCCCTTAAGCCACCTGTTCGTTGTGTCTGCCTCGCTATCGTTCTGAAAGCTTCGTGGTAAATCGTTGAAGGCAGTTCGTGCATGTAGGATCCGCCGGTTATCGAAGAGTATTGCATCGCCCTCGCGCAGCGTATACTCGAAGGCAGCCTCAGGGCTATCGAGGAGGGCTGTGAATCTAGAGAGAGCGGAATAAAACTCGTGTGGAGTCAAAGCAGGTAGCGGTGCTTGGAACGGCGGAGAGTAGTTGATGAACTGGACCCGCTTCCGACCTGTGTGGATGTAGTCCTCGTGATTGAGCTCTATTGTCGGGTGTACATGGTGAAGATGGTTCCCATTGTTGATGTAGTGGAAAGGAACGAGCGTCTTGGTCAGTACGTCAAAATCGGGCGGATGCGTGTCCTGCAGGCGGTTTGCTGCGTACAGGGCATCGACGAAGACGGATGTCCCGCCTTGCACCCGGTTACGCAGACAATGAAGTAATTGGTAACGCGGGGGATGTTGAAAGTATCTGCGAGCTGCCGGTTAGGCTCGTCCGCAAACCTAAGTTGGCCGAACGTACAGAAGATCCATGTGAAGTCCAAGGTGAAGGTTAGTATAAGCGATGTTCTTGCTATTCTTGACGTTCACAACATCCCACATCTCTCCATAGAATGTCTCTCGTATCTCTGCGAATAGCTGGGCGAGTCGACGTGCTTCACATTTGTCGTTCGAGGTTTCATCTGGAGAGACGCCAGTAACGAAAATCAGCCCGTAGCGTGTAAGTTGTGTGAGAGCACGAAGTAACCCAGAGGGTGAGCTGAGGCCTTGATATTCCAAGAAGAGATCCGGAGCCGACTGGACCCGGGGCTTGTCCCAAGGTAAGGGGTCTACGTCACGATGGAACGCATGCAGCTTATAGCTGAAAGCGTATCGCTCTAAGAAATCAGCCGAGTAAAATGTAGAGTGGCCAGGGGCCCAGGTTATGTGGATGCCGTCGTCGGAGAGCCTAACGCTATCGGCTATGGCGTCGTTGGGTATATCGGACGTACGGTGAAGCTTCTGGCGACTAGACGGGTGCACGCAGCGGGGACATTGACAAGAGTCCCTCAGCCATTGTAATGAGTATGAAATGCCCTTGAAAGCGACATTTGCCGCTGGAACCTGGAATCGATTCACCGCAGAGGTAGCGTACTTGCGCAAAGCTAGAGGTCTCAACGAGCGTAGAGCGTGCATGCCCGTGACTCTTGCCTACGAAGAATACTACGCTATGAATGTATTAGAAACTTTTCGAAAACATTATAGAATATTAGGGGACTCACAACAGTATCGGTGGTTCACTTCAGAGATCGATCCAGCTTTCGCGCGACGCGCGCTCTCTTGGATGTAACGCGAGTGTGACAGAGACGTTACGTAATACCGTCAATCCGTTACAGCCGTGACAAAACTTCCTGCTTTTATTCGACTTGCACGCTCTCTTTGGACTGCTCTGCCGATTATTGTCGTCAAGACCCGCTCTCCGCGCCCAGATTCCAAAAATGGCCTCAACATCCTCTTCTGAGGTCTCACAGCCGGTGGCGTTTTCTACACAAACGCAATATCCGTTGCCTACGCAGAAGTTCATGATACCTGCGTCATGGCGGCGTTACCAGCTCTCGCAGCTCGTGAACAAGGCTCTATTTCTCGCGAAACCCGTGCCGTTTGACTTTCTTGTGCGCGGAGAAATCTTGAGGACAACGCTGGGAGAATGGTGTGCGGAAAAGGGCGTTGGCGAGGTAAGTTTCATGTCTGCGGCTCGGAATGCATACTGAGCAGCTATTTGCACATCCTGTGTCCCAGTGCTGATGAACTGCGATGTAGGAAGAAACACTGGAGATTGAGTACATTGAGTCTGTCATGCCTCCGCAGAGGATGACGTCTCTGCCGCATGAAGACTGGGTCTCGTCGATATCGTGCCAGGAACCTGGGTACGTCTATCGGATGCGCGTGCATCACAATCTGACGAAAGAGCAGGCTCTTTCTGACAGGATCCTATGATGGCAACATTCGGCTATTCGATTATTCCCAGACATTGCTACAGACCATCCCTGTGCAGTCTGCGGCAATTACTTCAGTGGCGTATGTCAAAAAGACGAATAAAGATACCCAGCTCGTTGCGACTGCGTCCCACGATCTAACAGCGAAATTGACTGAGGTCAGCATCTCGCCCAGCGACCCTTCTCCCTCCAGAGTTCTTGCCTCTCTCCATCTGCACACAGGCCCTCTGACTGCGATTTCCACGAACGCCGCCGGTTCTCATCTACTCACGAGCTCGACAGACGAGCTGATCGGCCTATGGGACACGTCCATTCCTGATTATGACGAGGTTCCTCCGGACGATGCGTCATCCGAGAGGAAGAAGCGGCGGAAGCTTGACGACAGCCAGGAGTCGAGGGCAAAACGTAAAGCACCTATCTCGGTGCTCAAAAGCCACACGGCTCGAGTGTCGAAGGCGGTTTTCACAAAGGATAACACGAACGCCGTAAGTGCTGGCTTCGACTCAACGGTACGGACTTGGGACGTGGAAAACGGTGTGTGCACAAATACTATCGTATGTATCCCTTCTATTATTGCCCTGTATCTTCCTTGCTCACGCTCGTCTTAAATAGACTGCACCTGCAAAACCTTTCTTGGACATTGCCCTGCCGGTGACAGGTCAAACCATCCTTGCAGCGTCCACCGATCGCACGGTCTCGCAATACGATCTCCGCGCCGCCAGTTCTTCCGCCGCCACACCGTCTATCGCCTCCCTCCCTCACCCTGCGACCCCCTCATGCGTTGCCGCATCACCGGTAGGCTCGGGCTCTTCTGAGCACCAGCTCGTCACTGGTGCGTACGACGGCAGCGTGCGGCTCTGGGACCTGCGCAGCGAGAAGAGTGCGGTGACGAGCTTCAAGGTCTGGGAAGGACGTGCTGGTGGTAAAAAGATCCTCAGCATCGATTGGGCATTCGGCATGGTTGGTATCGGTGGCGAGGGTGGCGTCGAGGTCTGGCGGATTGGCGAAGGCGACAGGCTGCAGTCCTCGTGATGTTGTTTCCGCCCGGTTACAGCTGCAGAATAGAGCGTCATTCCTTCGGCTATTCTTTGCCGCATTAATCATTGCCCGCCAACAAGCCACCTCGCTACGACGTAACGAGTGAATTGCCACACCCCTTGTTCTCGACACATCGGCGTTGTAGGAGGCATAAATGGTCTGTCCTGCCGTGATCAAGTATTATGTGTATTCTGAAGCACGTATGAAAGTGACGCCAAGTCGATGATCGTTCGACTCGGGCTCCTGGCTACTCGGTATCAGCCTGGCATAGTGACCAGCACGGCGCGCACCAAGACTTTTGCATCTAGATCCCAAGTTTACATAGCATCATTCGAGTCAATTGAGCCTTTCTTCATGTAGTCTGCTCAAGCATCGTGCCCAACCGACCCCCAAAGTCGTACACTTCGTCGGCGTTGCTGCTACATAGCGCCTCTGTGATGAGCCAGTGGAGCTGGCGACAGCCGCTTTCCGAACAAAGCCTGCGTAGACGAGAGGGGTTGAAGCTTAGCAGGACCCTAGTGCTATCACAGGACGGTTCCTCTCCCCTACAGCGCCGTCTGATCCCAATGGGTTCTCAGTACCGCCCTTATCAACAGCCTCGCACAAGCTCCCAGTGTTCTTTGCTGCGCCCCCGGCGTTTTCGCGTCACTTGCTGGTTCGCCAGATGAGACCGTTACGAAATTATGCCCCATGTATTGAAATATGTACACTTGCTACGCTGCTGAGATTTCCCGCTGCCCTCAACCTCGAACCTGCTACCCATCACTATTTCGAATCTCTCGAACCTCCGCGGCCCTTACTCCTGGCCATCCTGCCAGAACGGATGATAGATCACTCCGAGGGCAGGGCCTGGGCGTTCAATTAGCCGCCGCATTCAACACAGGTACCAGCCATTTCTATAACCCGCATCTTTCCACACAGGACCATCTCTCTACTTAGACGCCCCCTGGCCGCGACGAAGATCGAGCTTCTTGTAATTATACCACGGCGAACACCGATAGGCAGGGCAAGATTCTAGTCCAGAGGACTCCGCAAGCCTGGGACGGCCCTACAGCTGGACATTGCTGAAGCGTCTCGTACACATCTGGTAGTACCGCAAGGCTCTCTTCTCCCGCAGGTCGTGTCACTATGCGACCCTGGAATGTGCATGGAGACAATAGTCTATCAAGCTGTTTCGGAGCTCTTGTGCACCCCTAAACTCTGGAGCCTATGCATCAAGTTACACGCTGAGCTTGCGTTGAATCCTCATGGCAGCGGCCTTTCAAAGCTCGAACTTCGAAAGTCTCAACAAACAAGGACAAGCAATTATCGTAGAAGGCTGTGGCAGACGGCCGCCGAAAAAAAATGACGAAAGTGACTATCGATGGACGTGATTGCAGCCGCAATGAATGACGCGTGGGTGTCGTGCCTTGCCTCATGGTCCGGAAGCTCAAGGGCTGAGTATGAACGCGTAGGGATTTTAGTCACGAAGATGATGAACGACCGAAGACAAAGTATGGCCGGAAGAATACTGGAACGATAGACACCCCTTCGTTACTCTGCAGGATGGTATGTTTAGGCTCCGCTTTGCCCCGCCGCCCACCAAACGTGTACTACTGGTTGCTAGAAGCGCTGCTCTCTCGTTCCCCGAGGTAACTTGTACATTGTATGGCTTCGGATTCTGTCAATGATCTTCCTGGATTGCACCGCGAGGCTTATCATGACTGATGTCAAATACTAGATATCGCGCTGAACAATGCGAGGGACGCAGTTGTCGATATGCAAGCACGGCCTTGAGTTGTATGGCTCTCACGGACTCTTAAGTCATGCTCGGTGCGAGATCTGCGCGAGATAGCAGGAATCTGACAGCATTGAAGGTGTCGAGGAGCCTGATATGCGACAAATTTCTCGCTATCTTACAAGATAGTAGGCTCGAACTCCGAGGTATCCATACCGCGTCCCAGACGTGGCCGAAAGTCTCATCTTGGGCCATCACATCGAACGATGAAGTCATCGTGTGAGCTGGGTGGGGGGCATAACTTGACGCGTACATTTGAGCCCAAGGGTCCAGGCATTGTTCCTGGATGGCAGACTACAGTACTCGATATGGTCCCCAACCCGAAGTTGGACACTTTTCCAGTGCATAATGAGGGACAATAGTGCGTCGGTATTGCTTCCCTATCGTGTCTACCTCATGTATGACATATCTCTGACATGTGTCCGTCAGGTTTCCAAGGAACCTGGCAATGCCGTCCAGGTCCGGAAGGAGCGTATTAGAGTTACTGCCTCGGAACTCGTGTTGAGGCGCACGATACGGTTACATTGAGATCATCCGCCTATGGCTTCTTCTAAAGGGACTCGAAATCACAAACTCTGCTCCATCTCAAGCCTTATTCTTCTGGAAATCCGGCAATGCCACGCTATCCGGGAGACACACTTACGCTCGTAGTGAAAATCGATCTCAGGGCCCCTTGCCAGCAAATAGCATACCTTAATCCGCATTTTTTCTAGGCCGCCAACATCTGTGCTTCAAAATGTTTGCAACCGGTGTGTCGCACAGGAGGAGTCTGTTCAGATGCAAAGAACATGAACCAGCTTGGCAGTTCATTATTGGCGTCTGGTCAGCTGTTCATGTTTCTCGAGTCCTCTTGCGCACAAACAGTGCGTAGATTCGATGATAGCGAACCGGAGCACATCTTCTCATCACTCCTGCCTTTACCAGTGCCGTCTCTCACATAGTGGCTCCACCATGCTGTCGCAGTCTCCTACCCCGGTCGGTTGTCACAGAAATGAGGTGGAAATGCTTGCCGTCTCAGGCAACTGGGCCCGTTATAATAACAGGCTGAGTCTGCGGAATCTGATAGTAAGTGCGGTCAATCTGTCCCGTTCGTTATCTGGATATCTGTGCCGAATCTCAACCTGGGCTCGTCAGGACCTGGCCTCGTGGAATACGGTCTATCTCATACACCGACCTCACGCCGCTCTCAACGCATGCATTTGCAGCTTGCAGGTTGTTCATAAGACATGCTTCTTCAAGCCTCTGCCGCAACGCCTGATGTTGACCCTTCGGTCCTAATAGACATTCGCTGGAGGGCTCTGCTTCGCGCCGCAGCACTGAATCTGGTACTTGAATTGTGCCGCTGTCGCAACAGCTATGCAAGCTATCCATTTCGCTCTTCACTACGTCTCAAATTTCCTCCTGACTGCATGGCCCCGCCGAGACAGTGGTATCGCATCAAATTTATAGATCATCCTAGGCTTTGCAGACGAGCACCAGAGGCATACGCCGGAAGGAAGCCCAAAGTCTGGTGCAGGAAATGTCTGGAGAAGGCCTTATGCGAGTTCAAATTGTCCACTGACTTTGCTCTTGAACTATGGGACAACGCCGAGATTTGTAGCAAACGTGAGTCTTACTTTGATTGCTCCATGCGTCAGCCTCTAATACTGCAGCATCGTACCAGTGAGAGAGGAGAATCGTGGTTGGATCGTATGCAGCACATGGAAATGCCTGACGCACCTTAGGTATTGCGAATATGAGCAGCCCGATGAGACTCGCCAGCAGGCTGCCCAAGAGTTGAACAAGATCAACGCGGCGCGCAGACAAAGAAACAAGCTCGCCCGACACTTGGAGCCCCGCCTCGCCCCACTCTCAACGTCACGCTTCACGCGACCCCCGAACCCACGCATCTGGTCACCGCTGCCGCTGCCGCTGCATCCCACCTCTTTCGCCGAGTCAGCATCGGAGCTGGCGGTGACCATTGCCGGAGCGATGCCTGGACAGGCAAGAAGGGACGAGCTTTGGCAGGAGGCTGTTACGCTGCAGTCCTCCTCCTCTATAACCCCGCTTGTGCCCGATGATTTTGCAGCTCCGCCTTTCGCCCCACTCGCATCTCAGTTTCCTGTGCCTTTCATCGCCACATCCACGGCGTTCTTTGGGCCACATGTCGCCGACCCAGGTAGCGATATCTGTGGAGCTATGCCGCTCATTGACAATATCTCGGTGAGCAGTCCTGACGCACTCAATAACTCTAGCTGTTCTCAATCAACCTTCTTTCAGGCCGGCACTCACAGGAACGGGATGCAGCAAGCAGCTCTCCAGCCTTCCCTTGTCCCCTATATGCCTCCCGAGCTCGTATATCCCATACTCACGGCTCAGCACGATATGTCCTGGATGAGCGGAAGATACGTCGCGCCGGACTCAGAAGCTGCTTACGCAGGCGCTGCCCTTCGTCATATCACGCATCTGTCAGGCGAGTACAGCATCCCTCCCCAGCCGCCGCCGGCCTGTTCGCAACAACCTGTCGGTGGGGACACCAGCTCCTTCTGTGGCACACGAATTCCCACAGAGGAACGTCTGCAATACTATGTACCTGTCGTTACACACAGGATGCCGCTGTCGGCCCAGTGTTCTGTCGGGCAAGATGGCAGCACGAAAGGAGATGTCTACTGCCCTTCCCGTCTTCAGTACTACGACGAATCTGGTACCGTGAGCCAAAGGTGTCCACTCGCGCCGGAACCCCTCCGCCCTCCGGTCTGGCCTCCTTGGTAGGACTGAGACGGCTGTAGGTAAGATGTTCGGCCCACTCTAAACTGCGTATGGTCTTTCAAACTCTTCCTGTAAAGCTCTCTCTCTGGTGCCGCTGAGTCTGTAGTAGGATTAAATTTCGTAGTTTGCAATGTCTTCCGGCTTCCTCTCCCACCCTTTTCCGTATTTACTTCATCAGCATCTGTTCAGATGAGGCCTGTGGTAAACGTCGTCCCATGTGATTCGCAGCTACGAGTGGTTCAACGCGGTAGCAGAACTCTTTGTATTTCACGGAGAAAACCGTGCTGTCGTGATTTCCTGTTTATGTCTTAATCATCGCATCTGTCGAATTTTGACTGGATCCGGCCAAGGATCTGGATTTGTCATTGAAGCTTACACTGAGGGAAGCTGTCCCTGGGGCTGAATGTCCAGCAGCACAGCAAGTGGAGGCGCGGTTTCACGCTACAAAATGGAAGGATTTACTAGTAAGGTGGATAGCGCCTGCTAAGAATAGCAGCTGGATTCGCAGCAGAATTCCGCAGTCCCTAGCTGGAAGCTGAGAGTTCGGACCACAATATCATGGGAAACCTCATACTGCAGTGCAGCGGAGCCCTTACAAACTGAGCACACCGTATGAGCGAGACATAAAGGTACTGCCGTTTTTCAACCCCAGTCGTAGATAAGATAAGATCTTGCGCCTGATAGGACCACCCGACTTGACGGCAGTGGCGCGCGCCTTGGATACCTTCGAGCTTTTATCCTGCAGAGCCGGCCACGTGCACAGGTGAGCAGATTCCATGCGTATTGCGCATATTACGCGATGCGTTGTACTCTCAAATATTTCCATCAATTTAGTGATCTTTATGACGTGTCTTCGAATTCGCCGCGCCTAAGCGTTTTATCTCAAACGTGAATCGTAGACAAATGACTGGCCTCGCTTACCAACCTCACCCTCCGTTGTAGTGCCTGTAAGTTCGCTGTTCCTCTTTGAAGCTGGCCGTCCGAAACTCGCTAGTTGCAATTGTGCTTCGATAGGCCCGGCTCCTCGACTCTGGCTGTATTCCCCAATCCTCCGACTGGTCCGAAGGCACTTGCATAGGAGAGCGACCCTTTGGGAGCTGCCTTGTATCCGTAGCGGGAACAGGCCTAGTGTGCGACGTACTAGGCTCCTGACGAAATATCGAGTCAGATGAGGGCACTATGACCGCATGGCGTTCAATCTGGTTATGGACAGTGCGTGCGGTACTATCAGGGAGTCTCAGGCTGTACTCACAGTTGAGCTTTTGCTCCGTACCACCCTGCAAGGAAATAAGTTTCGATAACCGTAGTACACTGTCCGTACGTCAATATACCCGTGTTGCGAATACAGCATGCTCTCACGTGGTATCCGCCGGGCCTTTTGCGGTTGCCTGTCGTCTCCACAGGCTCGAACCACGGAGAAGAGATATCCTAACACATCCACGGGGAAAGTAGTCGCGCCTCGTGGCAACATTACATCATGTGTCCCGGTAGGTAGTAAATCATGAATATGGACGCCAGCTATGAAAGACAGGCATACCAAATACCATACTGAACGAGGCTTGGCTGGACAGGTTTTTTACAGAACAGCGCCCGTAGCGCATAGCCGTACCGTTACAATCGATTTACGGGTGTTGCTTTTATGAGCAGCCTTCTCAGCGCCTGGAGAGAGCGACGGGATGTGTACGCAGACATATCTAGAAGCGGCGGGTAAGGTTCGGTGTCCGACACATGCGGCGAGTGACTCATCCTCCGCAGGAAAGGGGATAATCCTGTACAATTCTCAGGTGAGCGCATTTTACCCCAGTTAATGACCACGGCACGCCGGAGCTGCGACGTGCGAGCCTTCTGACCTTGACGGCCAATGCTGTACCGGTCAACGGATACAGGACTGCTGCCCCGAAATTCCTAATAGGCCGCGCGAAGCATTGTCTATTAGCTTCCACACCAATGCTATCGCCTTAACATTGCCTCAAAGTTCGGCCAAGGGACTGCCTTGTCAAGATACGAGACCGCGGCGAAGAACTTACCAGGACAAAAGCATGTTCGCTTGCAATTTGTTGGCCAACAATCGGGACCCCAGAACTTTCGCGACCATGCCGCGCATAATAAACTCTCGGACGCATGGGAACCTATGTGAGCGGATGGGTGCTTTATCGGCGATTAATCGACTACCAAGTTGCGCCTGACTGGATGTATTTGCTTACAGAATGTATGAAGAGCCAATAACAGAGAGTAGCGGCTTGTCCTCTCTCCCATTGCTTCCTGCATAAAGGTTGAACAGCTATTACCGCGCTGATCCACTCAAATTGGCCTCCACGACAATGAAACAGAAATTGCTGGTGCAGCTGACCATGCTGGTCGAACCTGTTCTGGACACCGCCTTTCAATTGATCTTGAACCCGCCTGCCGTCGAATATGATAGTGAGTACGCTCATGAACATCGACCGCTTGATACATGAGTTACACCTCGTTCCAGATCGAATGTGCTGTGTCTCGTATGTCGACGAACCTGTGCCTGGTTCTTGTTGTATTACAGCTTCCGTGTTCTTGTACGTCGTACATGCTTCTTCACGCCCCCCTGCTGAAGCTCGCTTGATGTTGGGCCTTCATCCCAGACGTTGATTGGAGGGCTTTCAAGACTCGTGTTCATAGGTCCGGACCTAGTATACACATCTTTAAGTTAAATCTTACCTCTTCCCCCACCGTTGCCACCCTTTCCGTCCTTCGCAGCATCTCGCTTTTCCTCCTTTGTACCATGGCTCCGCCTAGAAGTTGGTACCGAACGCATTTCACAGATCGTCGTAAATTGGCGTCAAAGGTGTACGCAAGCAGTCGGAAACCAAGAGTCCAGTGTACAAAATGCCACCCGGCAGGGGCACAAAGCTACCGTGAGTCTTATTCTGGTTACTTCTCGTCTTCGACACAAGCTACAGCTTTTCTATCAGTGCGGAGTGAGGAACGTGGCTGGTTCACCTGTACAAGAACGGCGTGCCTGAAGCATCTTGCCAACTGCGAGTCTGGGCAGCCAGAGGAGATCCGCAAACAAGCTACGGAAGAGTTGAAGATTCTCAACACGGAGAGGAGGGCCAAGAAAAATGAGCGTACCACACTTCCCTCGCCACGCATCCTGTCATCACCGTTGCTGCAGTTCACTCCTGCTGCAGAGTCAGCAGAACCAACGACGACTACTTTCGCGATGAGGGGGGTTGAAGTTCGGTACGGTAGTGCTGTGCGGCAGTCCCCTTCTTTTATACCATCGCTTGGCCTTGGTAGTTTCGCAGCTCTGTCTTGCCCGCCAATCGGGTGCGAACTTCCTATGCCTTCCATTACCATGTCACCGGCGTTCTCGGAGCCACATATCGGCAACCAAAGTAGCTATCCTTGCGGTACTGCGCCATCCATCGGTGATATCCAGGTGAGTACTCCCGGTTACGTTCATTGTCCGTCTCTGTTCTCAATGGACCGTCTGACAGGGCAGTGTACATGGAAATATGCCACGGCAAACATTCCTCCAATACGCCACCGACTTTCACATGTCTCCCGAACACCCGCGACGTGCACTCGCGGCTCAGTGTGGCATGCCCCAGACGAATGGTGAGTGTGTTAGTTCGGAGGCCGCACTTCCTGGCAATGCCTACCGCCCTATCAACCATCCATTAGGCGGGTACAGCACCTAGGCGTCCATCTTCCCTCAGCCGCTGTCGACGCACTCGCATCGGCTCATCCGCGGCGATAACTCCTCCTTTGGCCCACATTCTCCATCAGGAAACAGCGTCTTGCTACGTAGCAGGGGCGTCTACTACTACCAGCCACCGCGTCTGCGCTCACTGCTTAGTGCATGCGCTCGGCTCAGGAGAGCCTGGTAGCACTTAGCAGCTGCTCATATGCACCACCTAACTCTGGCTAATTTCTTGCGTCGTAGACTAGATTTGTATATAAAAGATATGCTTACAACATTAGTAAATGAAACTAGATAGTATACAAAATTTTGATTATGACACTTGAAGCTTGAAGCTTGAAGTACTGTCCGAAGGTGGTATACTCTTCACTTGCTCAAGTACGGGAATGTCTGCCCTAAATTAACGAATGATGGCACGGCCGATGGTAACAAGCGCCCGAACATCCCTCCTTGTTCCACGTCATCACCGCGCTGCGTCAGCCTACGTCGGCGGTGTCAGTCAACGGGCAATGCGTCGACGCCATACACGTCCTTGCATAAGTTATGTTCTTGCGACATTAACCATACCCTTCTCATTGGCAGCAAGGTCGCATCGTCAGCGCGGAGCAGGCGCACAAGCCCCAGAGTAGCGAAACAACGTTTTGCACACAACCAAGAAACCCATGAATGATACAACAAGCATTACAGGCCACAAGAACTAGGGGTGCGATGACCGCGTTGTTGCTGGGATGCTCGCAGCTGTTGCGGGCGGCGCGGCCCTTCACCATTATCTTACTTTTCTCAGCAAAGGATGTGGTGTCTCACGGATTACGGGCAGCGGTGATCGGTGAGTTCGTTAGATCATATAATCTTGATGTTGTTAAGTTGAGCTCGCGTCAGGCAATGGATTATCTGCCTAATCCACTTCCCACTGGCATCTACCATGCACCTCCACCTTATGTCGTGCATTTCGGGGTATGCCATGTTCTTACACTTACACACCTCAGCCGTGGCCCTGCCTAGCTTGCACACGAGCACCGGGTGCGCGTTGCGCTTGAACACGTCCTCAAAACCTCCAGCACAAACGCAGCCATGAGCGCCTGTGGGGCATATCATGAGCTGCTCGCGACGCGCCTCACAGCAAGCTCGCCGCTGCTGCACGGGTATCGCAAGAAGGGCGCCTGATGCGCTGCGTATCCGAGATCACCAGCCGCATGTGCCGCGCTGCTCCCTGCGCCGGACGCATAGTGGTCGTAAGACCCAGGTGAGTAACGCCTCCGCAGATCTTACAATATTATCCTGACTTGCCATACATTGTAGGCCTACCTCCCGTGTCTATCTCCTACCACAGCAGAATGAATCTAGCATAGTATACACCAGCATGTACTGTACAATTGTGCACCTAATATACCTCTTCCGTTAATCTATTCCCTATGAGTGAGTGTGCAAAGCCCAGGAGGCCATCTGCTGGTATTATCTACGGGCGAGCTGCAACAGCGCCATGGTATGCTGCTGAATTTATGCAGGCTGCCACGGTGTGCTGCCAAACTTATGCAGGTCGCCACGGGTGCTACGGAGACGTGGCGAAAAACTACTGGTCGCAGGGTAATAGGGGTCAGTTCCACCAGGCTGCTGGAACTACGGAGCTCACGGGGCGCTTCTGGTCCCAGACTTTTTTTCCTGATGTCCCGTACAAAGATATCCACATCACTGCGAACTGTACATGCCACACGACATCATGCTTTCTCCCCGACACCCCGTCGGACATGATAGCAGTATACCAGGGCCCATCTACCACCTTCCCTCGTTTCAGTGTGATGGAGAGCCTGGCTCTGCAGGCTATAGGAGTGCCTCTGTGCCGGAGCCTCTGTCTCCTTCGTTTTGGCTTCCTTGATTGTACTGAACTGCCTGGTACCTTATGGTGAGCGCACCGTTGATCAGCCATTCTTCCTAGAGCATAGTCACATTCTTAAGTTGTTGATGTTGCTCTCTCCTCTTAGAGCCTTCCCTCGTCCCCCTCGAGCTGTATAACTCTCCAGTGGTCATATCTGTGGCACCTGTAACTGCCTGCGCTATCGTTTTGTTGTGCAATGATCACTCTGATTTTTCTGGAAGTGTCTGCCCATCGATGCTCATCATTGGCGGCATGTATCGACCCCTTCATGACGCAGCCTTACGGCCAACGCCGAACATGCTCAGATGTCCTTGTGGGCTGTGTTAATATGACATCCGTAATCTGCACGAATGCAAAAGCCTTAGGTTGTCAAACTTACTGGCAGTCGCCGCGCGCTCGTATGAGTTCCTAGGAAGCGTGCGCTACGCGGGACGCCGAAGTACCGGAGTGCCACAGCTAAGCGCTCCTATCCACGTTGCATCCTCCCGGCAGTGTGCTCCAACATAGCGGGACCTTCTTCTGGATTCCTATAGACAAGCCAGTGCTGCGTACAGCCGCAATAATTAGATGACGAAGGGGCCAATCGGCGGACTTGATATCGGCTACAATTCATGGACCGTGTGTGTTATACTTATGAATAGTCTAGCCTTATGCTCGAGGTTCGGAAGCCTGAGAGCTCGGCAATGTGTACATATGAACGAGTAGTGGTCACAGTATTTTCCCCAAAGATTCAGGATGATCGGGACCAATGGCAGCTGTACAGCCTGTACTCAGAATGAGGTGCTTAGGCCCCACCCTGCCACGGCGCATATCAAACACGTACTACTGATTGCTAAGTTAGGAAAGTTTTTGACATTCTATAGAGCATCTGAACTGTATGTCGCGCAGTCTTCGATGTTGTCAACGCGTCACGGTGTGGGAGAGGCTGAACGCTCTGCACGTGACGCACAGGTGGCGCCGGTGGATTATATGTCGCAAACTCGCGGCGGTGTCTACTTTACAAAAACGGTGAGGAGTATTTTCCTGGAACGTCCTAGCTTGCAGGTAATAAAGAGCGGGTGAGCATTTTTGCACACTGATCGGGGAAAAAATGCGACAAGGTCATCCCCCGCGGGCCGCGGGTGCTGCAAAGCAGATCGCCCGATATACTAGTCCCAATTCGACGAATTTCTTGTCCGGCGCACAACTTCATAATTAAAAATAATACTACAGTAATCTCTCCGCCTTATCATTTCCGCCTCGATGCCTTATGCGCAGTTCTATGCTGTCTATGACCCGACTGACCCACTCTTCATCGGGTTCAAGAGCAACCCAGCCCCAAAAGGCACATAATATGCTAGTTGGTACTTGTGGATTGGTGCAAAATTGCACGATGTCATCTTGAGATTGCTTGCCAGCCCTTCGAATAACTCAGCTTCATACGGTCCGCTCCCTCAGCACACTAGGAAACGGATTACGACACCACGCTACTTATCTGGACATACCTGTACTGTGCCATTCGACCAAGTACGCCAGTTACGCGCCATGGGCCCCAAGCTGTGATAGCTGCCCACCCACATCACGAAAGCCGCCACCGTCAACCAGGAGTCACAGGTCACACCTCTGGCCCACTCTGTCGAGCAGGTACAATACCCGTATTGTGATCTATCTCAAGGTTTCTCCACACCAAAAGCATGTGCAGCGAAAGCATGCTGGCCAATTCAAGCGCAAAACATTCGCACCCACCCTGCACACAACGAGTACGTCGTCTGGCGGATACACAGAAATCTAAGAGACCCGGCTAGGTGGTTTGGTGGCGATCTGCTGGCCATCTTGCACACAGGCACTACGCTGACCTGACCACCTCGATTAACTCACATCTCATACACCAGCTTCAATTTCCATTGATTGCACACATGCCGCAAATTTACTGTGTGGCCGTACGTGATGGATGCTTCTTCAAGCCCCTCCGACGTTGACCCTTCGATTCTACTAGATATCCGCCAAGAAATTTTGGATCGTGCAGCAGCTGTGGGGTACTTATATGTGGATTGTACCACTTTACAGCAATCAACAAGGCTACCCATTCCATCCTTTGTGTCATCTCAATTCTCCTCGAATTTCCTCGATCATCTCATGCCACAGCCAAGGCAATGGCCTCGTTTCGAATTCGACGACCATCCTGGACTCTGTAGTAGGCGAGAACAAGAAGCATACATTGGCGGCAAGCCCAAAGTTTGGTGTAGGAGATGTCGAGAGAAGGCTCTGCGCGAGTACGGGCTGTCTGACGGCGCTGACTTGTGGTATAACACCGAGATTTGTGATCAACGTAAGTCTTATTGCGGTTGCCGGCGTTCCATGACCCGATTTCTAACGCTGTAGCGTTCCGCCAGTGAAGAAAAATAATCGCGGCTGGATCGCCTGCCGCACATGGAAGTGTCTGACGCACCTCAGAAATTGCAAATCTGGACAATCCGACGAGAATCGTCAGCAGGCTATTCAGCAGCTGCGTGCTCTCAACGCGCAGCGCAAGTTGAAGACCAAGCGCACCCAATGTTCGAAGTCGCGCTTCCGAGTAGCCCCATCCCAAACGCCTCGCCTCACACCAGCGTCGCTACCGCTTACTATTATCACCCCCTCTGCTCAGCCAGTCTTCGGACCGGCAACGATTAGTTCTGGAGCGATGTTTGCGCAGTCGAGGAGGGATGACCTTTAGCAAGAAACTGTTGCGCTACTTCCCCCTTATTCCATGGCCTCGCTTGGCTCCGATACCTTCGCAGCTCCGCCTTTCCCACCGGTTGCGCGTCAGCCACTTGTTCCTTCCGTTACTACATCCTCGGCGTTCTTCGAGCCACATGCCGCCAGCCTGGGCAATGACTTTGACGGGACTGTGCCGCTCGTTGGCGATGTCCTCGTGAGTAGTCTCTGCGCCTTCGATATCGTTGACTTTTTCTTATGGATCTTCTAGCACGCCGGCACCTATGGGAACACTGTGATGCAACAAGCAGCCTTCGAGCTCACCCTCGGTCCCTACACACCTTTCGCGCCCCAGGGCACTACGCCTACAGCTCGGCACGGTATGTCGTGGAAGAGTCACGGATACGTCGCGCCAGAAACTACGTACCTAGATGCTGTTCCATATCCCATCATGCATCTGTCAGACGGGTATGGCACCTCTTCTCAGTCACCACCAACTTATAACCTCAGCGGTCCGTCTGCGGGGACGCTAGCTCCTTCTGCATCCCAATTATTCCCACAGGAGGCTGTCCATGGTACCATGCGCTGGTCATTGAACGAAGTATGCCGCCGTTGACGCAGAGTCCTGTCATGCAGGGTAGCACCACGGAAGAGTCTGTCTCCCTCCCTTCCCCGCATCAGTATCACGGTGAGCCTAGTACCATAGATCGAAGTCATTTATTTGCGCCGGAGCCCCTGCGCTCTCCTGTCTGGCCTCCCTTTCAGGGCTAGAATAGTATGTGGTAAGTGGCTAGTCCCTTCTGAGTAGCGCGTTACCGCTCAACCCACTCCCCTAGATCTCCCACTGGCGTCGCATCAGTAGTATAATCATATCGTTGCTCGTTTCACTCACACTTTCCTTTCCTTTCTCTTCCTCTCTAATTTGCCAATGCTTGTGAGAGTAGTACCTATGGTAAAAATTGTGGCATATTATCTGTGGCTATATTCACAGACGAGTAGGTTAACGCGGCAGCAAACTCTCATGTGTGGGTCATTCAACGGAAAGCCCGTGTCGCAATCGCCAGCTTGTGCCTCACTTACTGCATCAACCGGAACCGGCCACTTCGCCCCGGATCTGTCAGTGAACGTTGCACTGAAGCAAGCTGCTTCTGGGACGGTCGCTTGATGACGGAAAGAGCAAAGGCGAGCGCCGCGAGACCTTACGCCATGGAGTCAGAGTTTCGCAGGAAAGCTGACGGCCGCTAGAATAGAAGTGATTGGATTCCACGGGCCCTAGCGGGAAGTTCGAATCATCGAATCACGGAACCACGGAAAGTTTCGTGCTGCCATGAGGCGCAGCTCTTATGGACAAAGCACGTGACGAAAGTCATCTGTCCGAAACTTCGCCAATCTTTATATGCAGCGCAGTCATGAAGGCACGACTGCCTCGCCAGTGTGGAATACAAAGCACCGGCGTCAAATTTCGTACTAGGATAGCCGGGTTTAGTGTGGCGAGCGTAGTGTGGCGCTAGCTTTGCTATGTTTGACCAGGGGCAGGGTCGTGGCCCAAGTTTGATGAACTCTGAGCTCAGTACTTGATATAAGGAAAGGACCGTATGAGTGTTTCATTCCATGTCATACTTATAGTCACTTGTATACTTTAATGCCACAGAATTCGCCTACAGATACTCTTCATCCACGATAATGACCGCCTTTCCGGTGTTATCGCCAGTATGCACGTCCCGCAGCGCTTTACCAGCAGACTTGAGCCCGCTGTACCTGTGTTCGCGACTGGTGATCTTGCCTTGCTTCACCAATGGGATGACCTCGTCGTAGAAGCTCGAGAGGACGTGTGCAGCCTCACCCCGTGCGAGGAGAAAACCCTTTACAGTCAGACTACGTTGGAAGATCTCCTCAAAGTGCTAGATAAACAATGTTAGTGGAGGCGAGCGGGTACAAAGGTAGCTTGGCGCACCCGGACGACACTGCCGTCTTTGTGCGCAGCTTGACTAATGGCGCCACAGGCCTAGATGCCCAGTCAGCCGCGCATATACTCAATGACTGCGATGAGCGTAACCGACACATACAATTATCAGCCCCTCACTATTGAAATTGATCAACGCAGCATCGAGTGTAGGACCAGCGACATTATCCCAGTAGCTAGGCACTCGAGTGAGATCCTGTTCGCTGTGAAGTCGCGGTGTGCTTTACATGTCAATCGGCCCGTGCTCGCTTAGAATTGCTTCAGCATCCTGCTCTTTGTAGTTGAACGCGACATCGGCCCCGCAGTCCTTCATAATTTCGACCTTCGCGGCCGAGCCTGCTGAAGCAATGATCTTCAGATGTGGCGCCATTACCTTGGCGTACTCGATCACAAATCTATGACATTACGTCGATCATTGTAGATCAAAGAAATTAAAGGCACCGCACGTTCCCACGGGACCTGCGCCACCAGAGACAAACAAAGTCTTGCTCTGCGTGCCCAATCAATCCTACGGAGCATGTGCAGATTCTCAACCACTCACCGTCTTGACCTTCTCAGACGCAAAGCCTTTCAGCCCTTGGTAGGATGTCATACCTGCGCCACCAAGGGTACCCGTGTAGATCGACAAAGGATGACCGGGGATCTTCTCGACTTTTCTGAGAGGCCGCGCAAGAGCCATAGGACGGGTACCAGGGAAGACGCTATAATCCGAGAATTCTAGATAGTAGTAATATGAACGTGCGAGCATGATAGGAAGATTAATCTCCGCGAACCAAGCATGCCACTGACTTGATCACCCGATTTGAAGTTCGGGTCGTCGCTGCGCACCACAATAGCAATACCGGAATTTTCAATGCTGTAGGGCCGAGTGTTGAGCGTTTATTGAAAGGATACGATCAAGGCGAACTTACGGCATTCCAAGATCGAAAGCAGGCACAAAGTGGGGGACGTTCGGGTCTCGCATGCGGTAGCGCAAGTACGGGTCGCTGCTTAGAGCAATGGTCTTGAGGAGCACACCGCCGTTGAGCGGCATGCTCTCTAAGTCGATCTCGCTCTCGATATACTTGAGGTGAACATCGGGCTCGATGTGGCCCTCTGGGTGGGCTGCGTAGACGACACTGCCGTTCTTGACCGTCGGCATGCCCGCTAGTCGTGCTCAAGGCGTGGATCTGAAGAGAATGTGAGACGCGGTACCACAAACACACTTGACCTGTTATACCGCCGGCTCGGGGGCTGAGAGTATCCGGCCGTGTGAAGATGACTAAGAGCATGAAATGAACGGTGATAGAATTCAACCGCGTGATGGCTTCTTCTTGAGCTATGTAAGCTAGTGGTCAAGCCTTTAGTGCACAGAGTATTTAGCTTCGCAATTTTACTGCATTAGCTGACACAGTGAGACGTGCCTCCTGCGTTACATAATATTCGGGCGTGAACAAGCAATGCCAAGGACTCAGTGTGCGACGCGGTTGCCACGTGGCTACCATAATTACCGTCACGTGATGCTGCTCAGCGAAGCGCCGTTCCTGAGAATGCAGCTTGCAATTCTTGACCTCAGTCTCCTCGGACGACAGACAAGCAAACTACAGCGAGTCTTTCCAGGCATTCACGTCTTTAATAGTCATCGTCCATGCTAGAGCAGACTTTCTTTTTCTCTATTTCTTGTGCCGAAAGCCCGAATTGCGATACCGCAAACGTCTGCACATTTGTCTGCAAGGTTCCCCCTCTCGTCTCGCCCATATACTGCCCAATCCACTGCTCGGCCCCATACTGGCCAATTAAGGCCTCTCAGCGGCAGGCCTACAACATTTACATTCTCCATATATGAAGCGAGCCATGTCGTAGCTATCCTCGATGGTCGTGGTACTAGTCGCGAAGTCGGTATGGCGGCCTTAGACGAGGAGGCGGGCAGGATCAATATTACCCAAGTAACGATTTGCCAAACGATGACATGTGCACGGCCACAGATATAAAGTCTCACACTTCTACAGCTCGCGGATTTCTCCCCTTCTGTCAAGACGCTACACTAAGTGCACCTCCACAGACCCTGCATCGTGCTCGTCCGGACACCTTTATCGCAATGAGAACACGATGTTGTACAAGGTGAGCACACTCTATATCAACCTCGTCAAGCTCTCACTCCGTGTAGGGCGGGCTCGGGGCTATAAATGCCAAGGTATATGCCGTTCTAGTGACTACGTCGGAGCTCACGCGGTCTTAGATGACCGACCAGGCAGACTGTGCCAATTCCTTCGATGTCGCTCGTGAGGTTTACAAGGAGAACGTTGGCGACATTTTCTCTCTCAGCAATGCCCTATCCGAAGAGCACGATCTCCCTCTGATACTCGTACCAAGACACCAGCTTACTCAAGAAGACCGATCTCGAGAGTGAGCTTCCATCCGGCTCTGTAAACGTGACGTAGAATAAGGGCAGGTGAGTGTTCTCTAGCGTTGAGCTAGTGAGTTTCAAGCTTTGGCTACGAGGATATGCTAACGAGAGGTGGACGAGCAGAAGAAGAGAAATGCAAGAACGAAGGATGCACTCGATTCTGAGCGAGAAGATCGCCCGCGACCCTGCCACTGATAACTTGATAATATCGACGTTGACCACGAAACTACGCTACGCTTCTGTTGTGTCGATCACATGCATTCGACTCATGTGCTTCAGTCTGCCCTGAACTCACTGGTACACTTGCCACTAAGTCGGACCAGAACCCGATCTTCGAAGGTGTGCAGTCGGCGGGGACGCTTGTCTATTGCGAGACATCGAGCTTCTAGGTATCCATGGTCTTAAGTAAGAGCGGTCATGTCCAATCAATCCTTCTCTATCGCTAATATTTGCTCTGGCAGCATGTCTGGTCTGTATGCATACGTAGACGCCAGTAAATGCCTTGTTCTAAATGCCCTCAGGTAAGAGCACCTATCTTCACCAAATTTGTCGGCTCACTATCATGGCAATGAGCGGGCGCTTCGTACACGCGGAATACTTTTCGAACGATGACGAGTTGGAGAAGATCCTGAGCACGTTCGCACTTTGTAAGACTAGTTACAACGATTTCCATAGTACCGATGGACGAGCTCGGGCGCGGAACGTCGCCCGAAGAGGTACTGGGATTTGCATGCCATCGCGGTGCACCTAATCGAGCTGAAGGTGAGCTATGTCGGCGCTGATCGTGTCACGATACTGAAGAATGGTAGCTATACGTCTTTTTCGCCGCATACATTTTATAGGGCATACACGAAGTCGTTATGCTTACTCAATGTCCTTCGGACACTTCGATGAGCTGGTGACGATGTTGGGTCGTTAGTCTTTAGTCGTAAAGTAGGTGGTCTACTTCCCTGACACAGAGTTGGGCCCTAACATTCGGCGCAGCCTACATTTTTCTGTGCAGAAAACACGTCACACTAGTATACAAATTTTGGAATGAGATTTGAACGCAGGTATGCTAACTGTTTGAACTGGAAGTCTGGCTCTGAAGCCATGTTGCAGAATGATGTACGGAGCGCAGGATAACATAGCGAACTACGGTCTGCCACCTCATTCGTGATCTGTCTCGCAGACCTCCTCGCCGCTGTCATGTCTGAAGCGAGGCGCGTCTCTGAGAAGCTCTCCGCTATCGATGCCAAGAACAGCGAGGAGAGCAAGAGCACAAAAGTCCGGCGGAAGGCGCCGCACAGTGTAAAGCTTTCCTCTCCATCTCGCGCGGTCGGTTGTCTATGGAGCTCAGCTTGCTTACGGGACTCTCCCGTTCTTTCTCCGACTCTATTGGCCTACCTAAATTCCTGCTTTCTTGTATAACTTTTCTGTGACATCTGAGCTCAAGACTCGGCTGACCCAGGCTCTAAACTGTTAAATTCTGCCGAGAGAGGCTGCTTCGATCGCGCGCTTCTAGAAGGACAACACGTGTGCTCTGCAAAGATTTTGTAACATGCTTTATTTGTGCTGGTTCTAACCCTAATGTCTTAGAAGCTGTTCCTCACGTCGTTCTTGCCATTATCGTTGAGCAGGTCTACTGGCTTAACGCGCGCTAGGCCGCAGGACGCCTTAGACGCCGGGAAAGGTGCTTCACAATGATGTACACGCCCCAGTCTCCGTTGGCTCCTTCATCACGCCCAAGTTGAATATCGTCTCCGCTTCCACCTGGCAGCGAACGCGGGGTAGCTTTTCCCACTCGTCGCTAGAATCCGTCTACATGTGCGCGACGCGCTGCAACGTGCTTCGAGTCGAAATGATGGGTGGCGACGATCCTCTGGGCATAGCTCTCCCCTTCGGCGGCTGCGAGAGTGGAGAGGTCCGTCGGCGCGCACTGCGATGCGCACATGGGCTGCGTGTCGCACATTCAGACAGCGCATGGTACCGGCGGCGGTCATATGCCTGACTTCCTCGCCTCGACGGTGAATGTTAGTGATCAGAGGTTGTGCTTGAGAAACCAAGCCCCGCTGGGAAATGCTGGCGAAGGCTAAATGTAAACTCTCGAATCCTCGGCACGCCGAAATCACATTGCCTGGAATTCTCGTGGCAATGGGTCTGGTGTGGGCGCTCCGAAGCTCAAAACTCGAAGGTCTCTCTTGACCAGTTGATTAGCTCAAGGGGCAAGTATCATGTGAGGTTCGTGGTAGACCGTTGCTATGAATAGATCATAAAACTGACGGTCAACGGACGTGATCGCAGCCACAGTACCAACGAACGACTCGTGGGCGACATGTCTACGGCCCTACGGCCACAGTAATAAGTGCATTCACTTCTCCCGTTCGCTATCTGGACATCTGTCTCCGATCTCAACCTAGATTTGTTTGGATTGGGCCTTAGAGGATGTTATCTCTCATACACCGACCTTACGTTGTCCTAAAAGCGTTACTTATGCAGTCTGCAGGCTGTGCATAAGACGTACTTCATCAAGTCTCCGCTGTCATGTCTGGCTCTAGCCCTTCAGAAACGGACATTCACTGGAAGACTTTGCCTCGCGCCGCAGCACTGAACTCGGTATATGTACTTCGTACAGTACCAGAGCCGCAGCGCTCACAAAAGCTGCTCATCTCGTCTTTCACTACCCCCGAACCCTTCTCCTTATCTCATGGCACCGCAAAGACAGTGGCCTCGCGTCGAATTCGTAGACCATCCCAGGCTCTGTGAAAGAGCACCAGATGCCTACGCCAAAGGGAAGCCCAAAGTTTGGTGCAAAAAGTGTTTGGCAAAGGCCTTACGCGAGTGCGGACTGTCCGATGACGCCGCTTTCAAACTGTGGGACAACGCTGAAATCTGCCGCAAACGTAAGTCCTGTTGTGGCTGCTTCATATTTCAGCCTCTGATATCATGATGCCGCATCAGTGAAGGAAGACCATCGTGGTTGGCTCGTCTGCCGCACGTGGACGTGCCTAACGCACCTAAGGGATTGCAAGTCTGCGCAACCCAATGAGACTCGTAAACGGGCTACCCAAGAGTTGGACGAGCTCAACGCCGCGCGCAGACGAAAAAATGAGCTCAGCCGACGCTCAAAGCCACGGCTCACCCGACGGTTGAAACACCGCCTCACCCCACCCTCAACTCCCCGCCTCACCCCACTCCCAACGCCCCGTCTCACGCGATCCTCAGACCCGCGTATTTGGTCGCCGTTGCCGCTGCCGCCGTCGCCGTATCTCGCCTCTTTTACCGAGCCAGCACCGGGGCTGGCAGTGGTCATTGCCGGAGCGACGCCTGGGCAGGCGAGGGGGGACGAGCTTTGGCAGGAAACTGTGGCGCTGCAGTCTCCCTCTTCTATAGTTCCGCTCGTCCCCGATATTTCCGCGGCTCCGCCTTTCGCCCCGATTGCGCCCCAGTTTCCTGTGCCTTCCCTTCCTACGTTCACGGCGTTCTTTGAATCGCATGTCACCAATGCAAATAGCGATCATTATGGAGACGTGCCGCTCATTGACGGCGGTAGTTTTGTGAGTGATTCCGATGCATTTGGTAGCTCTGATCGTTCTCAATGGATTTTTTCACAGGCCGGCATGCACGGAAGCGAGATGCAGCAAGCAGCTCTCCAGCCTGCCTTTGCTCCCTGTATGGCGCCCGAGTTCCCGCGTCCTATGCTCGCGAATCAGCACAATATGTTCTGGAAGAGCGGAGGATACGTTGCGCCGGACTCAGAGGCCACTTACACAGGAACTGCCTCAAATCATATCATGTATCTGCCAGACCAGTACAGCATTCCCCCTCAGCCGCCACCAACCTATTCACAACAGCCCATCGGTGGGGACTCCAGCTCCTTCTGTGGCCCATGTATTCCCACAGAGGACCGTGTGCGATATTATACGCCAGCCGCTTCAATGCTGCCGTCGGCCCGACGTCCTGTCGGGCAAGATGACAACGCGGAAGGAGCTGTCCACCACTCTTCCTGGTTTTGGTATCACGTTGAGCCCAGTACCGTGGGACAAAGGTATTCACTTGCGCCGGAACCCCTGCGCCCTCCGTTCTGGCCCCCTTGGTAAGACTGGCAAGTGTCCGGCTTGCTCCGGGCAGTGTGTGACCAGTCAAATCCTTCTCCTGGAGCTCTCTATGTTGTTTCTTATGTGGTGGCACTAGATAACACTCCGTGGCATGTAATATTGGCTTTCTCTTCTCTTCTCTCCTTTCCCCCTCCTCTCCTTCCTTCACTTAGTTCATTGGTGTCTGTTCGAGCGAAGCCCGTAGTGGCCATTGTTCTATAGAATTCGCAGCTGCATTTGGGTAAATTGGCGCAGCAGTAACAAGTATTATATGAGTTATCTAGTAGTAAAAACTGTACTACCGCGATTTTCTGGACGTATCCTAACCACAGCACCTGCTGGGCTTTGATACGGCAATCGATCCGGATCTGCCACTGAGGCTTGCACTCAAGCAAGCCGCGCTCATGACTAACTATCCGGCTGCGGAGCGAGAGGATGGTAACGTCTGCTGAGAATAGCAGCTGGATCCCGCAATTCCCAGCTGGGAGCTCGAATCACGGAATCGCGAGACGCTTGATGCTGTGATAAAGCAGAGTCCTCACGAACAGAATACGTGCGGTACGAGCGAGACAACTTACCGCCATGAAAGCATCGGTTGTGGCCTGAAGCGCGGAGAACACGTAGATGTGGCGGCTGCGATCTAGCGCTAATTTGCCGCCTACGTCATACTTGACGCTACACAGAATAGAATAGGATAGAATAAAATGACATAAAATGCGTAAGATTCCATACCTTAGAGCTACGCAACCTCGCCTATGGTGCTCCTCATCCAAAATATACAGCCATGGCCTGTAAAGCCTATCCGGTGGCCTTGAGAGCGCCGTACCCGTACCGGTGCTCCCAGCGCGGAACGACCTCGTCGAAGGAGCCGAGAGAACATGTGTGAACTCCCCTCGCGTGAGGAGGCCTTCTAAACATAGGCTTCGCAGGACGACCTCTTCGAGGTTTTAAGTTGTCAAACTTGATCAAGGCGAGTAAAGGCGTAGGTAGTTTGGCGTACCCAGACGACGTTGCCGCCTCTGTGAGCGGCTTAGCAAATGGCACCACAGGCTTGAACGAGGCAAGATGAGCGGCGTGTCTACCAGCGAGAAGACGACAGAGAGCTCGGAAGCGAAGATATCAAATGTCGTCTGCTTTTTCGGAGACGGTGCGAGGATGTGCTTTCGGAGAGCAGCGCGACGAGCCACAGCGGGCACCAGGTTCCGTGTGAAGCCATGACAATTGATAATGTTGTAGTAACCGAAGAGACTAGAGAGAGCAAGTGGCGGGACAGACAAACAAGACGACGCGTGAGTTGCCTTGTTGCAGTTTGGCGCTCAAAAAGAATTAACCGCTCAGCGATGACATAAGCACTGGAAAAGGGAAGCCAGTGATCGTCTCGTGTTGGCTGTTGGCGGGAGAGTGCCGCAACATACACTGTTCGCATGTCATTGCATTCATGGGGTGAGCACAGCAAACTGTTGTGTAATGCATGCCGGCTCCTGTGCAACTGGGCCGTTATCCTCGAGGTCTGTCGAACCACGGAGAACGAGTCTTGCCACAGCTTCGCCGGACGGCATCAGGAAGCACTACCATGCTACCCGATGCTACCCAACGCTTCGGAGCACTACCTAGCTCGGGTAGCGTCGGGTAGCATGATTATTATTCCCTGATGGGAAAGTACTTACGCCCCGTCGCGGCAGCGCGACATGCGCTCAATTGAGGGTGACTAGCGCAAAAAGTAAAAAGTGGGCTTATGAACCGCTGTTCTGGGAAAATCTCGACTGAACAAGCTTAGTGTTCTATAGGAGCGAAGCTTGTGCCGCTGCAGTGGTGCAGCAGCTTGCTGTTACAAGCAGCTCACGGACGTCGTGTTCATGGACGGTTTGATTGGTGTACGAAGATGCCAAGGCAGTCCACATTTAAGCATGCGTAAATGCGGCAAGTAAGGCCTTGTGGCTGACACACACGAGCAACAAGTCCTTCTACGCAAGGGAACGGCAGTGCACGTAGTCGGGCGAAAACATCCTACCATTGATGGCTAATGGTCACACGCTGGATCTGAGTGAGCTAACCTTGGGCCTTAGACGGTACGTGTTAGCCCGAGGGTACAGGGTTCCACGTCCGGCATCCACCTCGGGGGTTGGAGGCCGCGGCATTTCTCGCTTCGGCAGGCGCATAAAACTGTTCCGTATTCCTAGTAAGTTGTGCGACGCGTTATCCGCCGGATTTTGCCGCAAGTTGCTAATTTCTTACCATATGTTTTGGCGACAAGACTATACTATCGAGACATACGGCCACAGCCGATAGGAAATCGTGGCCAATCTGCGGCTGGCCAATTCATAAACCTTCAAGTCTTGGGACTTTCACAGCAGTGTCGCGCACGATGAGCCCGCACGAGTAGCTAGTACCTCACGCACGATTAATTAGCCGACGAACACCGTCTGACTGAAGGTGCCCGCGCATGAACAGGGTGTTGAGCCAGCCACTGCGGCTACGATTTCGCGCTCTGCTCGCTGTCTGTTACGCAAACACCATGCCATGCCACTACAGCGTTGCCCTACCGCAATCTGTCGTCTTGACAATAAGATGGAACTTTGGACACCACACATTGTCTCATATTAAACCTGCAGGTCGTCGAATGCGGTAGCGAGTACGTCCATGACATTGGCCTCTTCATGACTTACTTAATCTCACCTTAGATTTGTCAGGATTGGGCACCGTGAAACGAGGTGTGCCTCATAGGCCGACGACATTGCACCTAGCGCATGCTTGCTGCGCAGTCTTCGTGCACTTCGATATGGGTCAGGTTCCGTCGAGCTTCCTCTGCAGACATCCATTAGGGGGCCCTCATGCCTCGTGTCCTCAGCACTGAGCGCGATATATGTAGCCCAATCGTATTCCTACCCTGCATAGACCGCCCGCTCCATCCTTCACAACATCTCGTTCCTTATCCCCTATCTCATGGCCCCGCCAAAGCACTGGTGCAGCGACGAGTTCACATACCATCCTGGAGCCTGCATACAAGCACCAGAGGCATACACCGCCGGAGGAAGGCTCAAGGTCTGGTGCAAGGGATGTCTAGAGTTGGCTCGGATTCAATACCATCTTGGGCATAATTCATCCCGCGACACCGATAATACTTTGTGGGACGACGCTGAATTCTGCGACGAACGTGAGTCTTGTCTCGGTTTCCCCATGTTTCTGACTAACTGTGACGGTACCTTAACAGTGAAGAAAGAGAATCGGGGCTGGATTCCTTATCGAGTACTCGCATGCCTGTGTCATCTTTCCCGGTGCGAGCGTGGGCAGTCTGCTCGCACTCGTCAGCGAGCTGAGCGGGAGTTGGCAAAGCACAATGCGGGGCGCAGGCAGAAATACAAGCTCACTCGACCCCCAAGACCGCGCCCAGCCCGTCCCCTGACCACACGCACATCCTCAGCATCATCGCCGCGCACCACCTCTTCTTCTGAACCAGCGGGGCCGATGTACACCCATGCTGATTGTCCAGGCGGCTTCCATGCAGGAGTATTTACTGCCAGCCGCGGCAATGAGCAAGTGACAATTCCTTCCACGGCGATGTATGGGCGGGCGGAGCCCAGGGGGGTTGGGGAGTGGCAGGGCAGTGTTACAGCGCAGCCTTTCTATTCTATGACACCACCTGACTCTAATAGCTTTGCGGCTTCGCCTTTCTCACTAATCGCACGTCAACTTCCCATGCCTTCCCTGACTACGTCCACGGCGTCTTTGGGGTCACACGTCAATGACCCCGGTAGCGATCCTTTCGCATCTGTGCAGCCCATCGGCGATGTCCAGGTGAGTGGTCCCATCTGCGCTCAGCATCTGTCTTCGTTCTCAATGGAACATCTGACAGCGCGATATGTACGGGAACATGACGCTGCAAGAATCCTTCCAATACGCCGCTAACTCATACACACCTCCCGGACATGGCATAATTCAGTACGACATGTTACAGATGGACGAAGGATATGTCAACACAGACGCTACACTTCCAGACGCTACTTTCCGCTCTATCACACATCTGCCAGCCGGGCACAGCACTCAAGCATCCATCCGCCCTCAGCCGCCGCCGACGCGCCGGCATCGGCCCATCTGCGGGGATAGCTCCTCCGACATCCCGCTCAATCCCATGCCAGGCCATCCGTGGTACCAAGGACCACCTACGCCACACGCTATCCTGACATCTGCCCGACAGGGTGTCGGACAAGATAGCGGCATCCAAGGGTCCCACTACAGCTTCTCTCAGTTTCAATACAGCGGCGAGCCTGGGCCTGCAGGCCATCAGAATTCGTCGGCGCCGGGGCCTCTACCCCATTAGGGGTTCTTTGGTAGGATGTCAGGTTTCTGGTAAGTGCTTGGCCCCTTCTGGACAGCGTTCTGTCGCTCAACCCCTTCTTCCTAGACTTAATCTCCTCCTCGTTGCGCCCGCTCCCTTGTCCTTGAGCTTTATCTTACTCCCTTGTCTACTACCTTCTCGCAGAGCTCGCTCCCTGCCCTCCGCTATTACGTCTGTGGTAGAATGAATGCTTGACAGATTAAATTCACATCGCGTTATATAATGATCACTCCGTTATTTCGCGATTTTCCACTCAACAGCTCATCACTGCGTCTGTCGAGTCATGACTAGACCCGACGACTGATCTGGATCTGCCACTGGATATTGAGGCTTGCACTGAAGCAAGCTGTCTGTGAGAGCGACTGTCTGGTAGCAGATAATGCGGGGAAGCAGCCTTATGCTACAAAGCGAGAGCGTCCCTAAATAGGCATTGAGAGGGGCGATGCATGCCATGGGCAGCAACTGGATTCCAGACTCACCCCCCAACTAGAAGAGATACTTCACCCCATCTTTTGCTGCACGCTGATGGCCGAGCTGAAGGGGTCAGCTGTATCGCGCAGTCCCTAGCTGGAAGTGTGGATCACGGAAAGTTTCGCGCTCTGGTAAGACGGCGTTCCCAGCATGAACAGAGCGCATATAGGCCTAGACCCCGCAAGCGAGACGTTTGCTTGGAAGTGTGAAAATCTCAGAGCGATAACTGCTAAAGGCGTCGCCACATTGTCGAATGTGCTGCGCGAATATCAGTGGTTGGATTTGGTGTGGCGAGCATTGTGACACAGGTTTTTCGCGATTGTTCTGGAGCAAGGACGCCGCTTAAGGTTATGCGAACCTAACGCAGCACTCAACACAAGAAGATACGTAGGGAGAGTGCCCCAACCAATACTGTGCAGTTCTTGTCGCTTGCAAACCGGTATTGCCTACAGACGCTCCTCATCAACGACGATGACCGCTTTCCCAACGTTATCGCCGGTATGCACGTCCCTTAAAGCATTTCCAGCAGCCTTGAGACCGTTGTATCGATGTTCGCGGCTAGTGATCTTTCCTTGCTTCACCAGCGGAATAACCTCGTCGAAGAAACTCGAGATGACTTGTGCAGATTCGCCTTGTGCAAAGCGTAAGCCTTTCACGGTTAGGCTGCGCTCGAAGATCTCCCCCAAGTGCTAGATGGATAATGTCAGTGAAGGCAAGTAGGTGCGGATGCGGCTTAGCGCACTTGAATGGCACCATTGTCAGCGTGGGCAGCTTGGCTGGTGGCGCCACAAGCCAGGTTGGTTGGTCAGGCGCGCATATACTCAATGACTGCGATGAATGCAACTGGCACATACAATGATCAGCCCCTGGCTATTGAAATTGACCAGCGCAGCATCGAGTATAGGGCCAGAGACATTGTCCCAGTAGCTAGACACTCGAGTCAGATTTTGTTGGCTGCGGAGTTGTAGTGTACCTCACATGTCGATCGGCCCGTGTTCGCTCAGAATTTCCCGAGCATCTTGCTCCTTGTAGTTAAAAGCGACATCAGCACCACACTCCTTCATGATCTTGACCTTCGCGGCCGAGCCTGCTGAAGCAATGATCTTCAGATGTGGCGCCATTACCTTGGCGTACTCGATCACAAATCTATGACATTACGTCGATCATCGTAGATCAAAGAAATTAAAGGCACCGCACGTTCCCACGGGACCCGCACCGCCAGAGACAAACAATGTCTTGCTCTGCGTGCCTAATTAATCCTACGCAGCATGTGCAGATTATCTGATGCTCACCGTCTTGACCTTCTCGGATGCAAAGCCTTTCAGCCCTTGGTAGGATGTCATACCAGGTCAGCCAAGGGTACCCGTGCAGATCGACAAAGGATGACCGGGGATCTTCTCGACCTTTGTGAGACCAAATCGAAGAGCCATAGGACGGGTCCCAGGGAAGACATTGTAATCCGAAAACTCCAGATTGTGGTAAAATGAACGTGCGAGCTGATAGGAAGATTGATCTCCACGAACTAAGCACACCACTGACTTGATCGCCCGTCTTGAATTTCGGGTCATCGCTGCGCATCACAGCAGCAATACCGAAATTCTCGATGCTGCAGGGCCAGATGCCATGAGCTTTGATCGAGAAGATACGATCGAGGCGAACTTACGGCTCTCCAAGATCGAAAGCAGGCACAAAGTGGGGGATGCTCGGGTCCCGCATGCGGTAACGCAGGTATGGATCGCTGCTTATAGCAACCGCCTTGAGGAGCCCGCCACCGTTGAGCGGTACGCTCTCTAAGTCGATCTCGCTCTCAACATACTTGAGGTGGACGTCAGGCTCGATGTGGCCCTCTGGGTGGGCTGCGTAGATGACGCTGCCATTTTTGACCGTCGGCATGCTAGTCGAGACTGAGTACTGAGGCGTGGGTCTGAAGAGGATGAGGGACACAGTATCACGGAAATACTTGACCTACAATATAAATATACCATACGGCTCAGGGCTGAGAGTCCCCGGCCATGCTGAGAGCATGAGGCGGAACGGATGATAGCATGAGGTGAAACGAGTGACAGTATGAGGTGAAACGGTGATAGCTTAGCATTCAGCCATCATGCATCATGCATCACGCATTATGCATTATGCACTATGTACAGTACTACTTAACACAAGTGCTGTAACACTTTGACCAACAGTTCACACCCTGTGACCCGTGACACTTTTGAAACATGATCAGTTCGCAATTCACACGTGACCATTAACCAATCATATTGCGCGCTTCGTATCGAAGCGCCTGGACAAGTCCTCCGTGACGATGACGAGCAGTTGCGGGCGTCACCTAGTGCTCACCAATTAAGATTACATACGAAATTTGGGGATATGTATGCATTAGAATTGCGTACAGCGTACACGGACGCCGTAAGTTATGATATGCATAATCTTACGCATATTTAATTTTAAGTAATCATATTTAATCATATGTAATAAGATTCAGGCGGTATCTACCTCCAAGGCGAAGGTAGTATACTAAGGTAGCTAAGCATCAAATCACCGACACAGCTGTACATTACTGGACACATTCTCAAGGTGATATACTACATCTGCACGCCCACCTCACCACTGAAGTGGTCAGGCTCAAAGTACCCTGAAATTTCATATAGCATCCGGAAGTCGGGCTTGCCATTGGTGCGCAGCGGGAGCGGCCACGGCCCAGACAGGTCGAACAAGAACGCGCCCCCGCCGAGGATGTGCATGTCCGAGATGTGGATCGAGTGCACGTCCTGATACTCGTACACGGCGCTGACGCTTGCGTGTGAGTTGGTGTGACTGCCCCGCGGGCGCGTCAAAGAGTAGCGGCAGATGCACAGATGTGAGCAGGGGTTTATAAGAGAGCGCGGACGCCGTGCTGCCGCTGCCGCAGCTCTTCGTGGACGACGGCATGCTGTGCACGACGCTGGTGTTGTCGGGTGCAATAAGATGTGTCCTGCCGCCGAGCCGATCGAACTCGCACGCGGCGGGGTCCGCGCGCCCGGTGCTGCAGCTTCTGGACGATGTCCTGCGGCAATGTCAAAGGGGGCAGGTCAAGGCGCAGTCAGTGGGGAGAGGGAGGAAGAGGAACGCACGATGCTGTTCCCAGCTGTCATTGTGAACAGGCTAGCAGTAGACACTTCCCCACAAGGGACTTTTTCATGAGCTTGGCTCTTGCATGGTCAATCCTAGCCAGTGTAGAGGCAAACTTCGGCCTCTACCTCTTGAGGAACGCTCATGACGCACTGACATGACCTGCTGCATGTCAACATCCAGAGAATTCCAATGCCCATTACATAAGGGCTGACGCTGTTTCTGTGCTCGGACTTGTAGAGCGCGTTGGTGTGCGATTCTTGAGCGTGCGGGTGGTGTGCGCCGTATCTGAAATCTCGGCCCTTCTGGGGTCCAACATATGTAGCATACAGATTACATACGGGCAGCATAATTTACAATATGCATATGTACACATATGATATGCCGTGCGTACAAGTAGGAGAATGATTGTGGAGACCTCCATAATTAATCTTAAGATATGCTTAATCTGAGATTATAATGGTATGTAATCATAATTTTGGTGAGCACTAGCATCACCTAGCTAAGTTACATATTGACTCGAGGGGTATCGGCTAGCACCGTGTCAGCCGATTCCCCAAGGAAGCCCGTATGTATATATTATATCATGAGAGGTATGTATGCAATACAGAATCAATTGTGTACATTGAATAGTATCATAGCTTGCCAGAGCAAAATAATTTTGTGCAGATGTGCATATGGCAATAAGGGTGCCAGTGTGACTTCACCATAATACACACAAGAGTGCCCGCTTATTCCCAAATGGAGTATTTTGTCAAGGGCACATTAGTCCATAAAGTGCCCCTCAGGTCATTAAAAGGCCCAAAATTCCCTCTATTCTAACCTTAAAAAGAATTTATTCGAGCGTCCGCTGGTAGCCTCTGAGTGCATCCTCTGCACAAAATACCCACATTTCACACAGTCATACCCAAAGAAATCACCTTTAGCAGGAATATTGGACTATAATGTCAGTTGTAGGCAGTCAGAAGGCCCGAAATGCACCCTTCTGTGAGAGCCCACCTGAGAGCGTTTGACTTTCCCACCATTGGATTTTCCAACACAAACTTATTCATTTTCAACATTAGCAATGGTATTCTCATACTTTTGGATAATGCCCTCACAATGGTGGCAGCAGGCATGACAATGGAGTGTGCATAATGGGCATTGAATCAATCAGCCTGAGACCTTGGAAGCTTCTGATGATGGCCAAGCAATGAGATTCCACTGAAGGAAACAGCCCCACAGAGTGCCAGTGGTACAAGTCGTAGCTGCAACCAAGATCGACTTCTTGTAAGCGGAAGCACGTTGGCCTCAAGGAGCTGCTGGTACTGCGTGCGGATATTGAGCTGCGTGCAAGAGTGCTATGCAGGCAATAGGCCGACGGCACTGGCAGCAAAACCGCAGTTGACGTAGCAGCCGAGGCTGATGTGCTGCAGGTGGCAAGAGAGCTCAAACAAATGGGCCAGGCTATCAACGTTATATATCAAATCTGGGACACAAGCACCAAGCAAACATGCACTTGGATCATTGGATGACCGCTGGCCCCGACAGGCGAATTTGTCCCCTCTCGGGCGGGAATTTGATATTGGGCCACCACATGCCATGATGTGTGGGGTTCAGCCCAGATGTTGCTCACACGTCCGTCGGTGCTAAGCACATGGTTCGAGAGCATGCACAGAGGGTAGATCGGCATGTGCAGCTTGGGACTGAGCGTGAGCGAACCAAGGAATTGTCAGACTCTGCGAT